CACCATAGGAAGAATTGCACCATGCATTCCAATGTTGACGCTCTGTCAGTTAAACTTCGTCTTTCATTTTATAGTTTTTCTAGTTTATAAATAAAGCTCTTCTTAAATATGCATTTAAGAAGAATAGATTGACTTTGCTTGATTAAGGTAAATGATTGTTTTTGGCATTTCATACTTGTTACTTTATTAAAATAATGACTAGCTTGAAAATAACTTTAAACTAAAAAAATTTTTAAAATAAGTGATACTTGTTCGACTTGACAACCATATTATTATATATAACCTTATTTAATGTAAGGAGTGAGAGTGAGAATCATCGTACAATATGATAAAAAATATTTTGGCATTTCATACTTGTTAACTTGTTAGGTAACTAAATTATATTGTATTATCGATGCAGAATAAATTAGGCAAACAATTTATTTAATCTCCTAAATCGTTACACTTTTTAATAATTTCTGAATTTCAGTCGTAAATATACCTGACAGATATTTTCTTCATTTTATTAACATTAATAAAAAGAAGAAAAAATCTATCAAATATTTAGCATACCTACAAGTAGGTTTACTACAAATACATCTAAGTTAAAAGTCAGAACTGTTCTTGAATAGAACAATCACCATAGCCAGAATTGCTGCGTGCTTCCCTATGATACTGCTGGAGACTACAAGTCGAAAAGGGATGAAGTTCTTCTTAAATTTTCATTTAAGAAGAAATAACGTTTATGATTATTGAATACATTTTTTAAAATTAAACTCAGTTAAAAATGTGAATAATGTGTTAATCTCCTAAATCGTTACTATTATTAATAATAACTAAATTTGATAGTGAATATGCCTGACAGATTGTATCTTCATTTTATTAACATTAATAAAATAAAAATTGTACATGCTTGGGTCATTCGCAGTTATGTCTCTTGAAGCGGTATATCCCTTGAATTTCAGCTTTGAAAATGTCGATTTGCATCAAACGTTAACGATTTACGATTATTTGAATGAGTTGTATGAAAGAAGGGTTTTTAAATTGGTATGGGAGAAAGAAACGTTGTCTTTAAAATTTATTTCAGTGTTCAAGAATGTTGATTTATCGAAGTCTATTTTCTTATTACATGAGGGTAGTGAAGAGAATAAAACATTGAATGGATTAACTAAGTGGTTAGCTCGATTATTGAAAACTACTAAATTAAAGAATCAAGAAACAGAAGATGATTTGTAACGAATTATACGATAGAAAGAAATAAATAAGCGCGAAATAGTAATTTATACTATCAGTTGAATAGATTAGACGGTTTACGGTCTTAATATGTTACGGGTGATGTTTAACTATATGTTTCTCAGATTTTGAGTAGCGCGTGGATTAATGATTGGATCACTGGAGAAAACAATGTTTCACGACGATCATTTTGGAAAACTGTGACATATAATGGAAGTGTATCTGGTCATCATTTGGCGTAATATTCGTACATCTCATATCGAGGTGGTGGTGGTGTTGCATACGGTAATAACATGTTATCCTTACATTTTCCTTCACGTCAATATGTAATTTTTGAAAGTGCCAGAAGTGATGGCAGAGAGGGAATTTGGTTAAAAAAATAAATAAAGATAATATCTGTCAAGCATTTAGCATACCTACAAGTAGGTATACTACAAATACATCTTAGTTAAAAGTTAGAACTGTTTATAAATAAAACAGTCACCATGGCAAGAATTGCAGCTTGCTTTCCCAACATAATCTTGAAATTACACAGCAAAGGACTTCGAAGCAACATCACAAAAATTAGTGCCGTCGTCCATATTGCTGACCTTAACGAAAACATTAATAAAATAAAAATAAAGTCTTTTATGTACTGAGCATACCTGCAAGTAGGTATACTACGAATACATTTGAGTGAACGGCTGGAACTGTTTAAATTACTCCTAAGGAATAAGGAAACGAAGCCTTTTTACAGTTCGAACTTCCCGTTATTCACTGCTGCAGCACGAGCAATATCTAGTAATGATAACGCAAGCATGCGAAACTTGATAGTTAGAAGACGAATGTGCAGGGCAACAATTTGATTTTGAAAAGCTAAAATATGATGTCAAATATTTAGCATACCTACAAGTAGGTATACTACAAATACATCTAAGTTAAGAGTTAGAACTGTTCTTCAATAGAACAATCACCATAGCCAGAATTGCAGCATGCTTCCCAGTAATACTGCTGAAGACTACAAGTCGAAAAGGGATGAAGTTCTTCTTAAATTTTCATTTAAGAAGATGCATTCAAACCTATCATGCCAAAGAGTTAGAAGAGAAATGTGCAGGACAGCAATTTGACTTCAATTACTAAAACATGATTTCAAAAACGCTACATGTGCATTACCCACTGAATGCATCTCTTGCCAAGGACATGATATTCATGTGTGCAACTTTCTGCATGCGAGGAGCAAATTTTAATAAAATAATGGAGAAGTCAGATGAGGAGTTAAAAAGACATCTTAAATCACTATAAATTATATATGGAACTGCCAATATGTTAAAGAGTTAGAAGAAAAGTGTGCAGGCCAACAATTCGATGTATGAAGAAAAGAAAGAGAATTGAAAATAAAAGGAATAAGTTTTTGCAAACACACCTATGCACAGAGATTATCTCAAATCTCAATAGAATACAATGAAGCTGACAGTATTCTAAAATATTGCAAAGTACAAACGATGACTTAAGGAGAATTGAATCAACTAAAAAGAATGTGTGCTGGAGCAATAAGGCAAGTAACTATTATGGAAATTCTTAATCTAGCTTTAAGTAAATGGAATAATAGATTTGAATATCTCATAGTTACAAAATCTTAAAAAAAGGATTCATAAGTAGCGTAGATTATAAGTCTTTTTGCGTACAATCACTGGTGGTTTTTACAAATTCAAGATTATGTTCTTAATTATGATATTGAGACTGGATTTCCTATTAAAGGTGACTTTTATTATAATGACCATCTTGTTAGATTTGAAGGAATGAGACAAAAATTTTTGACGTTCATAACTATAAATCTGATCAAATTTACTGCTGAACAATTAATAAACTTGTCAAAAAATATATGACAAGCAGATAATGAAGTACAAGCAGGAATTAATGAACCTAAATATGCCACTGAAAAATCAGTTTCTAAATAAATTGAACAGTGAACTCTCTAAATTTGAATTAATAAAAATGTTTACTAATTTAAATTAGTGACTGACTTTTTGCTTTTGAATTAGTAAATTTTACTAATAAATAGTAATTTCTACTAATTTATTAGTAAAGTTTACTAATTCAAAAGCAAAAAGTCAGTCAATTATTCAAATTAGTAAACATTTTTACTAATTCAAATTTAGAGAGAATTGAATAAGAAAAATATGTAATTCTTATTTAGGATCATTATTGGTACAAAATATAAATTTTCAATAATACCTAGTTTTATGTTACAGAAAATGGACTTTAAACAAAAAATTTAATTTTTTTTCAATGAATCATGCATTAATAAATATTTATAAAATCTTCAAATATCTTTGTCACTATAACAATAATTTTCTTTAATTTTTTCTGTTAATTATTGATATTTTTTAAATTCTTTTCATAGTCCGCAATTTTTTTAAATTTTGAATTAAATTGAATTTTAGTAAATCAAAAATAAAGTTCGAGTAATAATTAGTACAATTTACTTTGAAGTTGGTAAAATTTTGTCCAAAAATAGTAAAAATTGATATTAAAAAAATTTTTATTTACAAAGTAACTTAGACTATTATTAATTTGAAGTTAATTCATAATTAATCGAATTAATAACATTAACTTCAAATTTGAGATTCAACATGATCGTAAAAATTGTTGATTTCTCCCTGAATTAAGGGGAAATTCCTCAAAGCAAACATAAGTTTTTCTTCAAATAAAAATGATAAACTCTCTTAAAACATTGTTTTAGAATTTTAATTCATTAAATTCTACTGAGAAAATCTATTGTTATTTTATTTTTATAGTTTTATCAAGTCTATTCATAATTAAATTTAAATTGTTTAAAGTAGAAATTAAGAACTAAAAAATATATATTTATCAATAAGAAAAAGTTATTTTAAAACATTTTTTATCTATTACTTTTTTCACTTTTCGTTAAAAAACAACGATTTGAAATTTTTCTAATTTTTTTCGTTTAACATTTAAAGTGAATATTCAGGAGAGAAAATTCCTCTTTAAATCTTCTAAGCAATTCAGTTTCTGTAGATTGTTTTTAAAATAAATCTAAAAATATTAAAAATGTTGCCCATTTCAGAAGTTAATTTTTTATAAAATAGTAGCAAACGTTTTATTTTTTTAAAATTACAAAAATGAAATATTAACAAAACTTATTTAATTTTTAAAATGACTATCGTTTACAGAAATAAAGTAACAAACATTATTCAGAAATATCCACGAAGTTGGCATCGACGCTTAGCGTCAATAATTATTTTTCAGAGCTTTTTAGTAATAAAAATGGCTCTAATTCTACATTTAAGTATTTGATCTCAAAATCTTTGAAATAATTGTCTAATTTTATTTATAATGAAAATATATTAAATAAATAAAAACCTAAATAAAAAAATTTGAAAATATTAATAAATTCATAATTTAAGAATATTTAGAAAATTAAAAAAAATTAATTTTTAAATAAAATTGAAAATAAATAAATAAAATTGAAAAATAAATAATAAAGATTAATAAAGGTTTCAATTAGTGGATTTGTAAGATCTCAAATTGAACGACGATTTAAAATGGCGTGCCCTTTTCGTACGCCATTCGGCCATTGAGTGGCGAAAATGTGCTCATCATTCAAAATTTTTTTAAATATATATATAAACATCAAACTTTTACTTTTTTATGCAAAAAAGTGAAAAATAAAATATAAGAAAAATTAATAATTTACAAATTTGAGTAAAAAAAATTATTTTAAAAATAATTTTCAAACATTTGAAAAGCATCGAAAATCTCAAAATTTAAAAAAAAAAATTACGTACCATTGACCTGAAGATCAATATATCCTGGTGATATTAAAGCATCCTGACAATCGATTACATAATCAGGAATAATTTGTTCGTCGTAAAATATTTTTTCTGGATCTATGATCTTTCCATCGCGAACCCATAAATCCTCCATTAAAATCTGACCGTTACGTAAAATTCTACAATTACAAAATTGTTTGAGTTTATTCTTTTTCGACATTTTTTTTTTCTTTTTCGAATTTACACTTTATGTAAAAATAAAATACATAAATAATAATGAATATTTATTTATAAATTTTGAAAAATTCTAGGCAAACATAGATTAATTTTAATTAACATGATATCTAATATAATCACAGAAAAAAAATGAGTGCGTCGTGCAAACGATTTGAAGAGAAAATGAGAAGGAGGCAAGGAGCCGGAACAAAGGAAGCCGACCGGAATTTAGAATAGCGGCGTGGACCCACGTGGATCGTATTGCGCATGCCTTTAACGAAATGAACTTAGGGCTGTATCACATGTAAGAAGAAATTAAAGGGCTTTCTACAATTCATCATCATTGACACGAATAGGCATAAGGGTGCGATCACACGTCTTTTGCAAAAACCATTCTTGTCTTTCTCTCTCTCTCTCTCTCCTAGGACAGAGGCATAAGTTTGGCTCACTCTATAATTTCTTACTTTTCCCAAAAACGGAAGATGTAGACTGAGTCAAACTTATGCCTCTATCATAAGAGAGAGAAGGTTAAGAATGGTTTTCTAAAAGTCGTGTGACCTTACGGCTTACGTTAAGAGCACTCAGGGAGCATTTACACCTTCGGTAAAAATTTACAAAACGGAAAATTTTTCACTGAAGTAAGAGACAGGCTGTATGTCTGTCTCTCTTACTCCAATGTAAATTTTCCGTTCTGGACTATTCTTACAGAAGGTGTAAATGCTCCCTTAGGGGCCCGCATACAAACTACATCAGGCATATTTTGAGAAATTTTACCCCCCCTTCCCCTCCACCCCCACCGTAAGACACTTTCTATACATTAGCGCCATTTTTTCTGCTGTTTGTAAAGGCAAACGCAGAATAGAATATTTATCCGGAACCGCAATCGTAAGCGTAAGAATGAGTTAGAAAAGGATAAACAATATACCTATCCTTCTTTAACTCATTCTTACGGTTACGCTTACTATTGCGGTTCCGGTTAAAGATTCTATTCTGCGTTGGCCTTTAGATTTAACTTGATCCTCCCACCTCCCCCTTAAAGCCTTACGTAGTTTGTGTACGGCCCCTTACAACTTCGGTAAAAATTGTCCAGAACGATAAATTCACATTGGAGTAAGAAAGACAGATACAGAGACTGCCTCTCTCACTCCAATATAGATTTTCAATTCTGGACAATTTTTACCGAAGGTCTAAATGCCTCACAAGAAGTAGAAGTAGAATTACTGGAATTTATGCATAGCACCTTTGTTTCTAAACTCAAATGCATTAATACTTTCCTTCCGATTTGACAATATTTTAAAAAGTCGAAACACTTCTATAAAAATGTTGTTAGTTCGTGGCCTATAAGTTTATAGGCCTACGCAGAAGAGAATCTTTAACCGGAACCGCAATCGTAAGCGTAAGAATGAGTTAGAGAAGGATAAACAATATACCTATCCTTTTTTAACTCATTCTTACGCTACGCTTAGCCTGAAGTCCCATGGCACCATTTTGCGTTGCGTTTTGTAACTAGGCCATGAGTGCAAGTACAGCAAACGTATATCTCCGTCTCTCTCATTCACATGGCCTAGTTAAAAAACGCAACGCAAAATGGTGCCATACGACTGATGACTACTTGTATGCATAAGATAGAAATAAATAATTTTAAATGCTGGTTATAGAATTAAAAAACTTAATAACATTTAAAACTAAATATGTTTTTTGTATTTATTAAAAAATATCTTTATTTCATAAAAATTATCGTATAAATATAATATATATATATATGTATGTATATATAAACATTAAATTAATATAAAAGGGCAATAGTAACTGTATTCAAGTTTCTGAATTACTATTATTGATAGGCCTTTTGAATATTTCGACTTCTTTCTCATCATCATCAAAGAAACTCGTTCCGGACGCAAGTGGACGGAATAAATAAGCCCTCCTGTTGGTTCTCTTCTCTTTCAGGTACGACTGATACTTCATAAATACTAATGTAATAAGTACAACAACTATAAATCCCGCAGTTCCTGAAAAAATAATTAGAATTTCATAAGTACATATTTAAATATTTGTCACTTAATCTAAAAACTATTTATAATGAAGTCTCAGTATCGTTTAGACCAACGCACAAAAGCTTCGCGAACGAGACGCATAAGATAGAAAAGGACAAAAATATATATTTGTGTCCTTTTCTTACTCATGCTTCACGTTCGCTTTACGATGCGCGCGCCACATTTTTCATCTGCGAAATGTTTAAAGGTAATTAATTACATCTAATAAATAATTAAATAATTACTTAATAATTAGTTTACTGTTCTTAATTTGTTTTTATAATGAAATCTTGTTGTTAGTGATGTTAAAAATACACGATAAGAAATAATATTGTATTTTTAACTCCTTAAAGATGATAGAACAATTGAATAATTAGTATGAAAATACATAAATGTGTTGTACAATAAACTGATGACTTTCGTTTAAATAGTTTAAATTATCAGATAAACTGATTTATAATAAAAGTTAAAGGAAAGTCATAGAAAAAAAGTATATTTAAAATAAAGAAAACAAATTTAGATAATATAAATAGCATTAACCCTCCGTCACACACATGAGAAAATATTCCGACCTTACACACGTTCAGAGGGAATCGCTCACCACATTGTAAAATAAGCAACATTACAACATAAACAAAGGAATCAACAAAAATTTAGTTTTAACACAAACTTACAAATATGTAGTAAATTATTCTAAATTATAAAATTAATCAAATTAATTTTCGGTCTCAAAAATGAAAATTAATTACACGAATGCACATCTTCAAAGAAATTCCACTCGACATGTAAAAATAATGTAACATTAACAAATAAGCAAAAAAATCATTAAACAATTTATTTTAATTATATTTATAATATAATTTTGTCATCAACCAACAGTGGAACAAAAAATGTTTTTAAAACTTGATTTTTTTATTTAACATAACCTCACTTTTTCGAGTTTCTTCTGGCTTTGAAGCTTCATAATTAAATATTAATTATGTTTAAACTAAATGTTTTTTTAGAAATGTGTTGAGGAGTAAATTGTCGAAAGGTATAGAAACTGATTTTATTTTGCAATGAGGAAAACAAAAGTTATTTAAAAAATACTGAAACCGTAGAGGGAATCCCTCCCTAGGTGTGTGACGGAGGGTTAACTTTAATCCATTTTTTTTATTTATTATTTGAGATGAAATTTTACTCAAGACAAAAACAAACATGAACGTATACAATGAATAAAAAATATAATATTAAATAAAAATTTAAAAGTTTTAAACTTTTTTTAAAATTTTTAAACTAAGGCAAGCTTTGCCGGCTACTTATTAAAAACATTTTCATTTTTTAAACAATATGCTCTTTTTACAACATTAAAATAGTTTTTAATGTTAATACTTTTTTTACTTTCACATTTTTTTATAAAATTTAGTTGAGATTTCTAACCGATTTCAACACAACAAATACAATAATGAATGAGGTAACGAATATTGCTGACGAGTAGTGAGTACTGCGCCATCTCGAGGAACTTTTTTGCACATTAAAGTGCAAACCACTAAGCTGACTAATTTCTGGGAAAGACGGACAGGGGTGCTTGTGTAGACACGAACCAAGAAAAAGAAGGATGTAGAAGCAGCATGAGTATAAATTTGCTGCGATTTTTATAAACTAAAAAATAAGACTGAGAAATAACAACTTTTTATAAAAAATTGCCTTTGAAACAGTAACAGTTTCTGTGGAAATAACAGTTTTTAATATTAAATTTTACTAACTTTAATAGAAAATTTTTACAAGTTCTAAATTAATTTTACTAATTTTTTTTCTGAAATTTATTATCGCATAAGGTAAAGGTCCCAATTATGGGACAATTTACAATTTTGTCCCTATTATGAGACAGTATTACAAAAAATAAAATAAATGCAATTAAAATTGGTCATAAGAAATTTCTACTTATTTCAAAAAATTTTACACGTTAAAAGAATAATTATTTGTGTATAGCATTTAATTTAATAAGAAATGTTTATTTGCATTTTAGCTTTTAAATTAAGGTAAGCCAAGTTTTTCGTCAGACTACCGTCCCACATTAGGTGCACTTATTATTTGTACGGAAGCGCTCATGCGCAAACCCTAGCAAGTGTGCTTGCCTACCGCTCTGAGCATCTCGAAGCAGCTCGGCATGTGTGCATATAGGCACACCTGCACGTGTGCTTTGAATGTTTTGATTCTCATCATTTTTCATAAATTAATAAAAACTAAGTGCCTTATTTAATTAAACTGTTAACAATAATTATAAATATTGCTTAAAGTAATAAATAAAATATATTTTATTGAAAAGCGCTTAATTTAATTTATTTCACTGATTTTTTTTCAAAAAAATTTACATAACCTCAATATAATTTAACATCTACTTGATCTACTTTATGTTAAAAGCAAGAACTTTATTTTGTTTTAAGATAATTCTATAACATTGTTGTTCAAAGTATATAATATAGTTATAATGAAATTTAAAAAATTTAATTTTATTTGTTATGAAAATATTTATTATAAAAAAAAATTATAATACTATAACATGCGACACAATTTTAGATGGAGTTTGCGAAGGAAAAAATAAAAATAGAATACAAAGAGGAAAAGCAATGCATTTTTGTAATTGACAATAAAGTGAAAAAAGCTATGATGGATGGATAATAAATAAATAAAATAAATATTAATAAATAATAAAATAAAATAATAAAAAAAAAATAAATAAAATAAAATAAATAAATAAACATTTTCATAACAAATAAAATTAAATTTTTTAAATTTTATTATAATTATATATTATATACTTTGAACAAAAATGTTATAGAATTATCTTAAAACAAAATAAAGTTCTTGCTTTTAACATAAAGTAAATATTAAATTATATTGAGGTTATGTAAATTTTTTTGAAAAAAAATCAGTGAAATAAATTAAATTAAGCGCTTTTCAATAAAATATATTTTATTTATTACTTTAAGCAATATTTATAATTATTGTTAACAGTTTAATTAAATAAGGCACTTAGTTTTTATTAATTTATGAAAAATGATGAGAATCAAAACATTCAAAGCACACGTGCAGGTGTGCCTATATGCACACATGCCGAGCTGCTTCGAGATGCTCAGAGCGGTAGGCAAGCACACTTGCTAGGGTTTGCGCATGAGCGCTTCCGTATATTTGCTATCCCTATTATGAGACACACAGGAAATATACAGCAAACATAACCTCAAATATTTTCAGTTTTTTCGCATTAATTTTCTACCAGAAAAATTAGTTTTATAATTATTTTTTAAACCAGAATTTGTTTATTGTATTTTATTCTTTATAATTAATATTCAAATTATTAGGATAAGTCAATAGAATTCTAATTACTTATTGAATTAAATAAATGTCTCATAATAGGAACATTCATTATGGGACACCCGTACATACAGAAATCATAGTCCCATAATTAGTGCAGTGCAGAGTTTCATAATTTAATTAATATTATTTTTATTTCATGAAAAATAACCATTTTAGGGTCTAAATATTATTCATAACATATCAATCTTTCAATCTATACCCTAATTATTCATATTAACACTCCCGATTCCAAGAAATTTATCATAGAAATTTAGTTTAGCTTAAACAGCGTCCCATAATTGGTACTTTTACCTTATATCATAAAATTCACGAAATTCTAAAAAACTGTACATGAGGCATTTTACGTGAAATGTCCTAAGTTGAAATTTCAACTTCTTGAAAAAAATTGAAACTCAGGGAATTTGTTGTTCTATCAAGTAGAAATGTGCCATAAAAAATATTTTTGATTTTTTCGAAAATTTGGAGGGGGTAGAGGGGGGTAAATTTTACCAATTTTGCTAACACCAGCTACTTTGTGAATTTTTTCCGAACATACTTTTAATGGGAAAAATTTTGTAGAATATGTTTCTGAAAGCTTTTTTCGTCCTCTTTCCAATGGTGAATTTTATTTTTTAATATTTTAAAAATTGACCCATATTTTTGATAATTAATATTTAATTTTCAATTTCCCAAAAATCGGTCCGTTTTATTTGAAAATAAATTATTGCAAACGAAAGCTGAGATTTGCAGAATGCCCTTTTTTTTGTTTTTGAGTTATTAAATTTCAAAGAATAAATTAAAAAAATAAAAGAAATTTGCAGAAACAAAAGATTCGATAATTACCCTCAAAAGAGAGAAAATAAATGATATTATCGTAGAGTAAAATATGTATCAATACTTCAAAACACTTTAACAATTGTTAATGATTACAACAATGAAGAAATTAAGAAGTAAAATAAAAAATTTTTTTAAAATGGAAATTACTCACCAGCTATGAAGACAAAGGCGAGTCTTGGCACTCCAAGAACATTTTTATCCCTTCTAAGCTGAAACTTTAAGTAAGTGAACTTGAGAAGTTCAGGGAGATCGACTAATCTCGTTTCTTTAATGTGACCAGGCGCACTGGCCGTAATAACATGAGATCCAGCAGTTAATAACATCCAAAATGCTCCATTCTTAAAAGTTTTCACTCGATGTGGCGATAAATCATGCGACAAAAGTCCATTTTCAATTGCATCACCTTTTTCATCGACTACCAAACCAAATACTCCTTTATTCACTGCACCCATTAAAATTAACAGACTTTCTTTATTTTCATTCCAAACTGTTTCTGCATTATCAGTATTGCAACAACTAACATAAATATTCAAATACAGTGAATTTGAATTATGAAATGCGTAGTTCATTAAAGAGTCTTCGGTAATATTTTTAGAATTTTTAACTGTAAAAGAAAAAAATATTATTCAGTAAAAGTCTCTAAAGTAGAAACATCTAGAGTTGCATTACAATCCGAGAAACTCGTTACACTCTTTCGACTTCATTTGATTACCAAAAAAATTTTACGATCTCTTTACTCGATTATTGTTTATATGGTCTCGTAATAACGAATGATAACTTCTGTCAGTTTTAATATTTGATTTCAAAAAATTTTGAAAAATGAAAATTGCAGAATATCAAGATTCCACAAATTGGTGAAGCAAATATTATTTTTTTTTAAATAAAAAGATAATATTTCTTTAATTTTTTTAAGGTATTTATAAAAAAAATTTGAAAATAATTGAATTTTATGACGAATTCAATTATTTTCAATAATTGTAATAAAATTCTTTAGTCGATTTATAAATAATAAAAATCTTCGTAAAAAATTAAATTATTTTTTTTATAAATAATCAAATTCTTGTTAGAATTTCACTTATTTTCAATTATACAATTTTAAATAATTTCTTTAAGAAAATTTAAATTATTATTAAAAATTTTGTAAAAATTCTCCGAGAAAATTCAATTTTTCACAGGAGTTCAATTATTTAAAAAAAATTCTAATAAAATCCAATATTCAAGAATTCAATTATTTTAAAAATAATTGAAATTTTCGCTGGAATTCAATTATTTTAAATGCAACTTTAATTGAATTCTAGAGAAAATTAAATTATTTGTAAACATTTTTTCAAAATTCAATTATTTGCAGAAATTATAAATTTTTTTTGGCAGGGATTTAATTATTTAAAAAAAGTTTTAATAAAATTCTATTCAAGAATTCAATTATTTTCAGAAATATAGTTAAATTTTTGATGTACTGAAAATCATTAAATTCTTGTTAAGTATTTAGAAAAAAATTTGAATATATAATTGTATTCATTTCAAGAATTTTATCAAAACAATTTTTTTTAAATAATTGAATTCTTTCGAGGATATGTAATTGAAATTGTATTAAAAATAATTTAATTCTTGTAAAGATTTTTATTAAAATTCTTTAAAATAATGAAGTTTTTTTTAAAATAATTTTTACTGAAAATTTTGAAAATAATTAAATATAATAGAATTTCTTTTAAATTTTTTAAATAATCGTGTTTACTATTAATTGTAATTAACATTTTTTCTGTAAAATTATATTAAATTTATTCATAGAAAATTGAATTCTTTTGAACAATTTTCTTAAAAGTTTTTGTAAGTAATTACATATTCTTTCTTTTTTAATAATTTCATTAAATTTCGTAAAAATAATGGAATTTCTCAGAATATTTTTATTATTTACAAAAATAATTGAAATTTTTACCAAAAATTTTACAGTTTATAAAAATAATTGGATTGATTCGAAGAATTGTTAAAAATAATTGAATTTATACTAAAATTTTTGAAAGTTATCGAATTTAATTAATATTTTTAAAAATAATTGTATTCTTTCAAGAAATTATATTGAAATTGTATTGAAAATAATTGAATTCCACGGAAACATTTTATTATTTATCAAAATAATTGAATTCCTTTGTAGAATTTTGAAGAATTTTGTTATTTATAATTTATAAAAATAATTAAATTCTTGCAGAGGATTTTACAATTCATAAAAATAATTGAATTGTTTCGAAGAATTTTATCTGAATTTTTTGAAAATAGTTGAATTTATTGAAGGAATTTTATTAAAAATTTTGAAAATAATGATTTTTTAAAAAGAATTTCATCAAAAATTTTGAAAATAATTGAAATTTACAAAGAATTTTATTAAAAATTTTTGAGAACAATTGAATTTAGAAAAATTTTATTACAATTTTTAAAAATAATTGAATCTGTTAGAGAAATTTTATTAAAATTATCTTGAATATTATTGAATTTTTTCCTAGAAATTTAATTAAAATTTATTGTATTGAAAATAATTGAATTTCTCAGAATATTTTTCTTATATATTTACAAAAATAATTGAATTCCTACCAAGAATTTTACAGTTTATAAAAATAATTGAATTGTTTCGAAGAATTGTTGAAAATAATTGAATTTTTTAAAGGAATTTTATGAATATATTTTGAAAATATTTGAATTTTTATGAAAACTCTTGAAAATAATTAAATTTAAATAACATTTTTAAAAATAATTGTATTCTTTCAAGAAATTTTATTGAAATTGTATATTGAAAATAATTGAATTCCTCCGAAACATTTTATTATTTATATGAACATAATTGAATTCCTTTCAAGAATTTTATTATTTACGAAAATTTTTAATTCTTGCGCAGAATTTTCTTATTTATGAAAATAATTAAATTCCTGCGGAGGATTTTACAATCCATAAAATTAATTGAATTGTTTCAAAGAATTTTATCTGAATTTTTTGAAAATAATTGAATTTTTTTGAACGAATTTTATTAAAAATTTTGAAAACAATTATTTTTTAAAAAGAATTTCATGAAAATTTTTGAAAGTATAATTGAATTTATTTATTTATTCACTCGGATTGTGGAATTTAATATTAAAATTCTTGAAAATAATCGAATTTAATTAATATTTTTAAAAATAATTATATTCTTTCGAGAAATTTTATTAAAATAATTGTATTGAAAATAATTTAATTGATCTAAAGAATTTTATTATACTTATGAGAAAAATGAAATTCTTGCTTAAAATTTTATCAAACTTTTTTGAATAATAATATACAAGAATATTTAATATTCTGTATTTATTAAGTGAATTCCTTAAAGTTTAAGTCTGTAATTATTCAAAAATTGATGTTTATTCTTGAAAATATAAAATTTTTTAATTTACAAATTTATAATAAATGAAATACCGCGTTCCGCGCGTATCTTTTTCTAGTTCATTCGAATGCAACTCTAGAAAATATTTTTAAAAAATTGGAATTCTCACCTTTTTCTTGGCACTTCGATTTTTGAGAATCCATCAAAGGATTGTATTTTTTGTACTCATTCACTAAGTCGTTGAGGAATGTTTCGAATTCTTGAGCTTTGGATGATGTTTGTAGAGTTCGAGCTCCAGTTTTTAGATTTACGGTCAAAATTGGATTGATCTCTTCAAACCAATTGATAAGCATTTGCTCATCATGGCCAAGTGGTTCGATAAATTTCCCATCATTTTCCGATTTTGTAGAGCAAGTTTTTTTCTTTCCATTTGAATAAATTTCCGGCACAAAGTAAAGATCAACTTTTTCCAAAATACTCCTAATTCGTTTACTCCTCTCCTGTTCCTTGAGCATATAAGTAGCTAGCGAAATGAGAATCTTCGAAGTGAGAGGATCGCCCGATCCAATACCGGACATGAATACCAAAGAAGGTTTCTCAAATTTCCCCCCCTTTTGAGAGGATATTCTTAAGCCAGCAACAATATTTCCCATTGAACTCTTGCCAATAATTTTCAATTCTGTGATTTGCATATAATTCGCATTAAGTACCTTCAATTGTTTACTACTATCGCTTAGAGTGACTTGATCTAAATTTTTATCGAATGCTTTCGATTGTTTTAGAATAATATTGAAATCGGTCATTACGTGTTCGTTGACATGGACGGAAAATATCACAGACTCGTAGCCTTCGCAGGAAAATGTGAATTTATAATCACCGGGCGTGAGAGTTAGGAGGAAGTAAGCCATATTTTTAGAAACATTATAAATTGATGATCCTATTTTAATTTTGGCGTTGCGAAGCGGTTCGCCAGCTTCGTTTGTTACCAGAGCACGAATTCCAGTTGTTAACGAAAGCAAAAGTTCTTTTAATGGTGGAAGATTCTCCCGCCAAAGAGGGAAAACTTTGTCCTTCGCCGGGTATTTACAGCATGAGAGTGGAATTGTAATCTGAATGTGATAAATAATTCTGTATTGTTTTTGAAAGTTTTTAATTTGTAAAAGAAAATTTTTACTTACCACAGGTGTATTGAATGTTTCCTTAATAAACTTTCTAGTAATTTCGAGACCATTGTTCAGTTCGTTACATTTCTTAGGCGCTATGGAATTCGCATAATTATTAGAAAGTGTCTTGTACACATTTAGATCATCAGGTGTTGAACTGTAAAGAATTGTAAATTTAAAATTTAATTGCATTGTAAATTGTAAATTTAAATTTAAAATTTACAGTAAACTGTAAATCACTAATACAATTCAAATGAAAAAAAAAAAATTAAAATTAAAATTAAAAATTCCAATTAAACTTTTTTTTAAAAATATTAAATTTATTAAAAATAATGTTGACTTTACAGACCAAAAATGAAAAATTACGGACCAATTACTGACAAAAATATAAACAGTCCGAGTCAAAAAAGAGAATATTTTATTTAAAGCTATAAATTAAATTTTTTCCTAGAACAAAATAAAGGAAATTCTAAATTTTTTCATAACTATAAAACAGAAAGAAAAAAAAAATTTTAAATTAAAAAAAAAAAATTGTTTAATTTTTTAATTTTTTTTTCTTCAAGTTTTATAATATTTAAAGATGGCAAATTGATAAAATCACTATTTTATATATTATAAGAATATCTATACTTCTTCAATATTATTCTCATCATTTCAATTCAATTATTATTTTCCAAAATTTTAAACAAAAATTCTTCTTTAAATCCATTAGTTTTCGAAAAAGTTCTCTCTGACAATATTTTCAAATCCATTCGTTTCAAATATTCAATTTAACGAATTTCAATAATTCTTTGTAAATTCTTCAATTAAATAAATATTCGAAAATAAAAACTTTAAATAGTATAAAACAAAATTCAATTAAACTTTTTTCAAAAAAAAATTAATATCAAAATTCAATTATTTCTATAAACATTCAGGCTATATTGGTTTTAATATTCAATTATTATCTAAAATATTAACTGAAATTCATTTTAATGAAATGAAAATCAATTTTTACTAGAAAATTCTACTAGAATTTAATTTATTATTTAAATACAAAAATTAAATAATTTATTGAATAATTGAAAAGTTCTTAAAATTGAATTTTCCTAAAGGATTTTGTCAACAAAATTTTTAAATAATTGAATTCTTTTGACGAATTTTAATAAAATTTTTAAAAATAATTACATTTTCCGAGAAGTTCGATAATTGTATTAAAAATAATTGAAATTCTGCAAAGAGTTTTATTATTTTTATAAAAATAAGTGAATTTCTAAAAAGAATTTTACTATTTATGAGAATAATTGAATCTTATAAAAATTTTATTATATACGAAAATAATTGAATTATTGCGAAGAAATTTGTAAATACCTTGAATTTCTGTGAAATTATTATTATTTTATGAAAATAATTAAATGTTTGCGTAGAAATTTATTAAGAATTTTTTAAAATAAATTCTTTTGGAAAATATTGAAATAGTAGATTTTGAAAACCATTGAATTTCGGAGAAGAATTTTTATTATATTTATAAAGATAATTGAAATTTTGAAAAGAATTTTTAAACATTTTTGAACATAGTTGAATTCCATCGAGAAATTTCATTAAAAAATTGAAAATAATTGAAATCTGACGAAGAATTTTATTAAACTTTTTTCAAATAATTGAATTCCGGTGAAAAATATTAATTTTGAAAGAATAATTAAATTTTTAGGCAAGTAATTGAATTCCTGTGAAGTTTTCATTAAAATTTTGTGTAAATAATCAATTTTTATTACAAAAATTTTTCGAGAATTTAATTATTGAATACAAATTCTAATATTTTTGTAAATAATTGAATTCTTTAAAAGAATTTAATAAAAAAAATTTTTTAAATAATTGATTTTTTCGAGAAATTAAAAAAAAAATTTTTTAAATAATTAGGTTTTTTGGAGCAATTTCTGTAAAATTGTATTAAAAATAATTAAAAGCCTGCGATGAATTTTCCAAATAACTAAATTCCTGAGGAGAATCTTATTATTTATAAAATTTTTTGAATTATTGCGATAAATTTTATTAAAATGTTTAAAAAGAATTGAATTTCTGTAAAAAATTTTAATTTTTTTTGAAAATAATTGAAATTTTTTCCAACGATTTTATTAGAATTTTTTAAAATAATTTAATTTCCCAGAAAAAAATTTATTACTTTTAAAAATAATTGAATTCTTCTGATAAATAGTTTTCTATTTATGAAAATAATTCAAATTTGTAAAGTATTTTATGAAAATGCCTCAAAATAATTGAATTTTCGGGAATATTTTTGTTAATCATATGCAACAATTGAATTCTTTCGAAGAATTATTTGTGTAAATAATTGAATTCTTGGAAAGAATTTTATTAAAATATTTAACAATATAATTGAATTCTTTTGAAAATTCTAATATTTTTGTAAATAATTGAATTCTTCCAAAGAATTTAAAAAAAACATGTTTTTAAATAATTGATTTTTTAGAGGAATTGAAATAAAATTTTTAAGAATAATTACATTTCTCGAGCAATTACTGTAAAATTGTATTTAAAATAATTAAAATCCTGCGATAAATTTTATTATTTATGAAAATAATATTGAATAGTTGCAAACAATTTTATTTAAATTTTCAAAAATAATTGAATTTGTGTGAAGAATTTTATTATCTATGAAAATAATTGAATTCCGGAGAAAAATATTATTATTTATGAAAATAATTAATTTTTTTTGATGATTAATTTTTTAATTTAATTTTGAAAGAATTAAATTTTTGGTTAAGTAATTGAATTTCTGTGAAGTTTTTAATTAAAATTTTGTTTAAATAATCAAATTTTATTACAAAAATTTTTCGAGAATTCAATTATTGAAATACAAAAATAAATAACTTATTGAATAATTGAATATTTCTTAAAATTTAATTTTTATGAAGAATTTTATTAAAGTTTTTTAAAAAAAATTAAGAATAAATGCCATTTTCTATCATTTTATTTAAAATTGTATAAAAAATAATTGAATTCCGGAGAAAAATATTATTTACGAAAATAATTAATTTTGTGTGATGAATTTTATATTTAACTTTTTTTAAATAATAGAATTTCTTAGAATTTTTTAAAAACTTTTTGAAAATAATTAAATTTCATCGAGAAATTTCATTAAAAAATTGATAAATAATTGAAATCTGACGAAGAGAATTTTATTAAACTTTTTTTCAAATAATTGAATTTCTGTGAAAAATTTTATTTTTGAAAAGAATTGAATTCTTGGGTAAGTAATTGAATTTCTGTGAAGTTTTCATTAAAATTTTGTTTGAATAATTGAATTCTTTTGGAAATTTTTTTTTAAAATAGTAGATATTAAAAATAATTGAATTGAGGAAAAGTTTTGAAAATAATTGAAATTTTGACAAGAATTTTATTAAAGTTTTTGAAAATAATTGAATTTCTGCGAAGAATTTTATTACTTTTAGAAATAAGTGAATTTCTGCAATTATCCAATTTCTTACCCAATTTCAGAAGAACCACCACCTAGAATTATAATAGTATCTAATTTTTCAGTCTTCAACAGTTTCAGAAAGGCATCTGTGGTTGGATCGGCTTTTTCTGATTTATTCTGCATATTAACGAAATTCTTTCCAATTTCGTTGTCAATATCATAATTGCAAGTTTCGGGTACATTTTCAAAGCCTGGATCGATCGCAGGTAGAAAATGCAAAACGGCATTGGCCAACAAATTTTTTATTGGCGGCTCGCCAATATCAAAACCCATTATAATGTGTGTCGCCATTCGCAACCATATTTCCCTTCCAATCGGCTGAGTTGCGAACAATCCACCGAAGAGACCAATATGCAACTTGTTCTCCTCTGGTGAACCAATCTACAATTAAAGAAAATAATTTTTAATTAATTAAATTAATTAATGAAATTAATTAATTAAATTAATTAATTAATTAAATTAATTAAATTAATTTAATTAATTTAATTAATTAAATTAATTTAATTAATAATCACAATTCTTAATCAGCATATAATTTCCTACATTAAAATAATTTCTAATTACGATTTTAAGAAATAAGTTTTGTTTAAAATTTAAGAAAAAAAATTCCCATTAAAATACTTACATTTTCAGTAACTTTTAGAGACTGAATGTCCGTGGAGATTTTTGAATTCTTTGCGATAAATTGCACCAGATTCGCATGTCGATTCTCCAGTTGTTTCAACATTACACTGAGTTCATTATTTTTAAGATAACCATGCCTCATATTTGTCCTAAGACCGAAATCGTAATTAGAATTCCAAGTAGTTGGATCGTCGTGCATCAGGGTAAAATCTAGTGTTACTTCTCCTGGAAGACCAGAGGAGTCTTCAGGAACAGTGACATTTTGAGAAACAGTCTCATAGCCAGGTGCATATGCTGTGATATTATAAGTTCCTGGTAGTAAAATTCTCCAATAGTCACCATCTTCTGCAGTGTAAATTACATGCTCGTTCCCTTGTACAGAAATTCGAGCGTGATTAATTTTCCCTCCAATTGAAGAGTGAACTTTACCGTGAACACCTTTTCGTGCCTAGAAATATTAGTAGGGGAAAAAATTTTAATAAATTGAATTGAATAATACATTTTTTAATTTCAGCCAATAAAAGCTATTTAACTGTTTTTTTTTTTTTTTTTTTTTTTGAGATTTTACATTAATTTAAATTCGCTAATACTAGAAATAATCAAAAACCAATTCTCAAAAATTATAATAAAATTCCTGAAATCGATTTAATTATTTTCAAAAAATATTTGAAATTCTAATTTTCAATATCTAGTATTTTCATAAAATTTCACAAAAGAATTCAATTATTTAAAAGAAAGATTGATAAAATTCATCCAAAATTCAATTATTTTGAATTTTTGTGGAGAATTGTATAAAAATTTTGTTAAATATGTAATTGATTTTTTCCAATTTTTTTTTTTGGAAAATACTATTTTAAATTAATTCAATTTCTGCGGAAATTTTTGTTGGAAATTGAATTTTTTAAAAAAATTTTTAACACAATTCTCAACAAGAATTCAATTATTTTCATAAATAATAAAACTCATCGAAGAATTTCAATTATTTTTCAATACTATTTTCAATTAATTAATCAAAAAATTCCAATTATATTCACAAATAAAGTTTTCCACAAGAATTCAATTTTTTAAAATAAAATTTTCATAATAGTTATTATATTTCGAAAAAATTAATTATTTAAAACAATGTTTACCTATAAAAATTCTTTTGAAGAATTCAATTATTTAAAAAAAAACAAAATTTTTCACAGAATGTCAATTCTTTTTAAATATTTTAATAAAATTCTTCGCAATAATTCAATTATTTTCATAGATAATAAAATTCTTCTCAGGAATTCAATTATTTTTGAAAATTTAAATAAAATTCTTCGCAACTATTCAATTATTTTCATAAATAATAAAATTCATCGCAGGATTTCAATTATTTTAAATACAATTTTACAGGAATTGCTAAAAAAATGTAATTATTCTTAAAAATTTTATTTAAATTCCTCGAAAAAATCAATTATTTAAAAACATGTTTTCTTTCAAAATTTTTTGAAAGAATTCAATTATTTACAAAAATATTAGAATTTTCAAAAAAATTCAATTATATTGTCAAATATTTTAATAAAATTCTTCCTAAGAATTCAAATATTTACATAAATAATTCTTTGAAAGAATTCAATTATTTTCAAAAATAACAAATTTTTTTACAGAAATTCAATTCTTTTTAAACATTTTAATAAAATTTTTAACAATAATTCAATTATTTTCATAGATAATAAAATTCTTCTCAGGAATTGAATTATTTTTGAAAATTTAAATAAAATTCTTCGCAACTATTCAATTATTTTCATAAATAATAAAATTCATCGCCGGATTTCAATTATTTTAAATAAAATTTTACAGGAATTGCTAAAAAAAATGTAATTATTCTTAAAAATTTTATTTAAATTCCTCGAAAAAATCAATTATTTAAAAACATGTTTTCTTTAAAAATTTTTTGACAGAATTTAATTATTTACAAAAATATTAGAATTTTCAAAAAAATTCAATTATATTGTCAAATATTTTAATAAAATTCTTCCTAAGAATTCAAATATTTATATAAATAATTCTTTGAAAGAATTCAATTATTTTCAAAAATAACAAAATTTTTTACAGAAATTCAATTCTTTTTAAACATTTTAATAAAATGTTAAACAATAATTCAATTATTTTCATATATAATAAAATTCTTCTCAGGAATTCAATTATTTTTGAAAATTTAAATAAAATTCTTCGCAACTATTCAATTATTTTCATAAATAATAAAATTCATCGCCGGATTTCAATTATTTTAAATAAAATTTTACAGGAATTACTAAAAAAAATGTAATTATTCTTAAAAATTTTATTTAAATTCCTCGAAAAAATCAATTATTCAAAAACATTTTTTTTTTTAAATTTTTTGAAAGAATTCAATTATTTACAAAAAAATTAGAATTTTCAAAAGGATTCAATTATACTGTCAAATATTTTAATAAAATTCTTCTTAAGAATTCAGTTATTTTCATTTAATAATTCTTCGAATGAATTCAATTATTACAGATGATTAACAAAAATATTCCCGAAAATTCAATTATTTTGAGGCATTTTAATAAAATACTTAGCAAAATTCAATTATTTTCATAAATAACAATATTCATCACAAGAATTCAATTATTTTTATAAATAATAAAATGCTTTTCAGTAATTCAATTATTTTCAAAAAATTCTAATAAAATTGTTGGCAAGAATTCATCTATTTTCAAAAATAACAAAATTTTTCGCAGAAATTCAATTTTTTTTAAACATTTTAATAAAATTTTTCGCAATAATTCAAAAATTTTTATAAATAATAAAATTCTTCTCAAGCATTTAGTTACATTGGAAATTAATCGCAGGCTTTTAATTATTTTTAATACAATTTTACAAGAATTGCTCGAAATATATAATTATTTAAAAAAAATTTTATTTTAATTCCTCAAAAAAACCAATTATTTAAAAGAATATTTTTTTTAAAATTCTTTGAAAGAATGCAATTATTTAAAAAAATATTAGAATTTTTCACAGGAATACAATTATTATTTTTAAATATTTTAATAAAATTGTTCGAAAGAAATCAATTATTTTAAATACAATTTTAATTAAATATATTTGAAATAATTCAATTATTCTTTTTTTAATAAAATTCTTAATTTTAATAATTCTTTAAAAGAATTCAATTATGTCGATAAATAAGAAAATTATTCCCGAAAATTCAATTATTTTCAGGCATTTTAATAAAATTCTTTGCAAAATTCAATTATTTTTAAAGGTATTAAATTTTGTCTTGGAAATTCAATTATTTTAAAAAATTCTAATTAAATCGTTCTCAAGAATTCAATTATTTACAAAAGTATTAGAATTTTTCACATAAATTCAATTATTTTTAAATATTTTAAGAAAATTGTTCGAAAAAAATCAATTATTTTAAATACAATTTTAATTAAATTTTTTGTAATAATTCAATTATTCTTTTAGATTTTAATAAAATTATTCTCAAGAATTTAATTACTTACATAAATAATTTTTTAAAAGAGTTCAATTATAAATAACAAAATTATACCCGAAAATTCAATTATTTTTAGGCATTTTAATAAAATACTTTGCAATTAATATTGCAAAATTCAATTATTTTCATAAATTAAAATATTCATCACAAGAATTCCATTATTTTTAAAAGTATTAAATTTCTACTTGAAAATTTAATTATTTAAAAAAAAATTCTAATAAAATCGTTCCCAAAAATTCAATTATTTTCCTAAATAATAAAATGCTTTTCAGTAATTCAATTATTTAAAAAAAAATTTAATAAAATACCACACAGACATTCAATTGTTGTCATAAATTTTAATTGAATTCTTTGTAGAGTTTAATTATTTTGAAATAACTTTTCGAAATTCAAGGATTTTCAATATGTATCTATATTTTCATAAATTTCCAAACAGAATTCAATTGTCTAAAAAATTTTTTTTGTAATAATCTTCGTAAGAATTCAATTTTTTTCATGAATAATAAAAATTTCTCGGGAATTCAATTATTTAATTTAGAATTCGCATAAAAATAAGTCGAAGGAAATGAATTATTTAAAAAATTTTATAAAATTCTTTGCAGGAATTAAATTATTTTTAGAAATATTTAAATTCTTTGATGAATAATAAAATTCGTTGTAGGAGTTCAATTTATTAGCAGAATAAGAAAGAAGTAAATATTTTTGATGAAAATTAGGAAAAAGTTAGAAAAATAAAGTTTTGTGAAGTGTCTAAAACGAGTTGTTTTGGTCGTCAATTTTAATTTTTCGATAGCTAATTTTTTACTACATTTTTACTACTTTTTTTTAGTTTGAAAGCTACTTTTTGCTACTTTTTTAAAATTAATTATCGAGTGCGAAGTCTGAAATTGGAAATTAAAGAAAAGTTTAAATAATTGTTTTTCTTTAATTTATATACGTACGTACCATTTCGATAAAAGCTAGTAATGCGTCTTTATTATCCAACCAAAATCCTGGCAGTTTATCGGCAAGCGGATACTTAGTACAACCAAGTTCTAATGTTATTTCAAAATCATTGCTTTTGAGGTAATTATAGTCCTGCATACCACCGGGTACAGAATACCATTTAGCGCCGTTTGTGATTCCATTTGGAAAAGCGTCCTGCAGAACTCCTTTTCTTCCCAATCTAAGAGGATCGGGACATCCTTCACCAAGATGCATACTTGGATGTGTTTTAGAATAAACCAATGAGATCATTTTAAAAATTTCATTGTCTGGTGTTAGATTATCAGTTGACCAATTTTTCGTCGGTCCATCATCGTATGGATAATTTGCTACCAGAGCACCACCGTGAAGATTTGCTGACAGAACGAAGGGTATTTCTGAAATCCACTTCATTACTGCTTCCGTCTCAGGTTCTTGCTTAAGATTTTCCTGATGTTAGAAAATAAATCAACTTTAAAAAATTAAAACCCAAATAAAAGAAAAAGAACTGTTTAAGGGTCTACATCCACTTAGGATTTTGAAAAAAAATCGATTTTTTATTGCATTTTCGTAATATACTGAAAATTTCAGGGTGATCCGTTAAATATTCCCCAAATTCTTCGCAAAAATTCAATTACTTTCAAAACTGAATTTAATTCTTCATAAAAATTCAAATACTTTCAAAATTAAATTTAATTCTTCGTAAAAATTCAATTATTTTAAAAAGTAATCAAATTCTTAGCAAAAATTCAATTATGGTCAAAAGTTTTAAAAAATTATTTTCAAAATTTCAATTATCTTTATAAATAACAAAATTCTTCACCGAAATTCAATTATTTTCAAAAATTTTAATAAAATTCTTGTCAAAATTTCAATTATTTTTAAAAACTTTACTCAATTTAATAATTTTCAATATTTACTATTCTAAAAAAATTTTCCAAAAGAATTCAATTATTTAAACAAAATTTTAATGAAAACTTCGCAGAAATTCAATTACTTACCCAAGAATTCAATTCTTTTCAAAAATAAAATTTTTCACAAGAATTCAATTATTTGAAAAAAAGTTTAATAAAATTCTGCGTCAGATTTCAATTATTTTCAATTTTTTAATGAAATTTCTCAATGAAATTTAATTATTTTCAAAAAGTTTTTAAAAAATTCTGAAAAATTCAATTATTTAAAAAAATTTAAATAAAATTCATCAAAAAAAATTAATTATTTTCGTTATTAATATTTTTCTCCGGAATTCAATAATTATTTTCACAAATTCGTTGCAAGAATTCAATTATTTTTATAAATAACAAAACTTATCGCAGAATTTCAATTATTTTTTATACAATTTTAAATAAAATGATAGAAAATTGCATTTATTCTTAATTTTTTTTTAAAAAACTTTAATAAAATTCTTCATAAAAATTAAATTTTAGGAAATATTCAATTATTTAATAAATTATTTATTTTTGTATTTCAATAATTGAATTCTTGAAAAATGTTTCTAATAAAACTTGAATATTTAAAGAAAATTTTAATGAAAACTTCACAGGAATTCAATTACTTACCCAAAAATTCAATTCTTTTCAAAAATAAAATTTTTCACAAGAATTCAATTATTTAAAAAAGTTTTTTTTTAATTCTTCGTCAGATTTCAATTATTTGAAATTTTTTAATGAAATTTCTTAATGAAATTTAATTATTTTCAAAAAGTTTTTAAAAAATTCTGAGAAATTCAATTATTTAAAAAAATTTAAATAAAATTCTTCACAAAAAATTAATTATTTTCGTAATTAATATTTTTTTCTCCGGAATTCAATAATTATTTTCACAAATTCGTTGCAAGAATTCAATTATTTTTATAAATAACAAAACTTATCGCAGAATTTCAATTATTTTTTAGACAATTTTAAATAAAATGATAGAAAATTGCATTTATTCTTAAATTATTTTTTTTTAAATTCGCCGAAAGAATTCAATTATTTTTAAAAACTTTAATAAAATTCTTTATAAAAATTGAATTTTAAGAAATATTCAATTATTTATTTTTGTATTTCAATTATTGAATTCTCGAAAAATTTTCTAATAAGAATTGATTAATAATTGAATTCCACTGAACATTTTAAATTATACCTAATTGAATATTAAATAAGCATTATAGTGTGAATTTTTAGAAATAATTGAATTTTGAAAAGAGTTTAAATTAAAATCTTGGAAAATTTAAAATAATGATTTTATCACTCCGTCATCTTAAATTTATTATAAAACATGATAGAATCGATTTCTTTATTTTTTATAATAATATATTCTCATTAAGTAATTTAATTTCAGAAGGTTTTAAATTTGAAAATCTTAATTCCTGAGGAAAAATAATAGTGACTAATTGTAAGTGACGCGCTCCCAAGAAAGGTGCTAAGAAGCAAACGAATTATAGGTTAGGTTCGTGTTAGATTTATCTTGCGGTTAAAAGTTTATTTTCAATTATTTGAATTTGAAACCAATTGTCATTAAATATTTTAGATATAATGAAGACTTGAAGATCAATAATTTCTAATTAATATTTCATTCTCTTTCTGTATTTTTACGATTTTTACTAAAAAAATTACAAACATAACCTCAAATTTTTTGCTTCTTAGGTACCTTCCTTCGGAGCGCGTCACATATATTTATTTAAAAAAGAACATATTGTTGTTTTTCAATAATTTTAACAGAAGAAAGTTTGTTAATAAATGTAATAGAACATTTTTTTGAGCATCTAATAATTTTTAGAGCAAATCAGAATATTCTTCAGTGTCAGGGAAAAAGTGAAAATTTTGTCTATAGAAATCAGGAAGAAGTCAGGGAAAAACAAAATTAAATTTTTGTGGCAATCCTGTAAAATATCGAGTTTTTTCGACTGTCTAAGTGGATATGTAACCCCTTAAAACTTTAACAAATAAAAAAGAAAAATTAACGTACCCCTGACGTGAAATACTGATCTGGGAAATTTCTATTCAAATCAACCTTATGGGCATTTTCTCTACCCTTAACTCCATCGATGTCACCAAGTACAGAAATTTCATATCCATCCGGATTCATACTCGGCATCACGTGTAATCTAATACCATTAACAATTCCTGTGGCCCTCTCATCAGATCCATAATTCTCGCAAAGATACTTGATCAACATTAAAAGTACCTCTCTACCCACAACTTCATTTCCGTGCATATTTCCAATATACTTCACCTCTGGCTTACTGATATTATGAATTCCAGGATTTTCTGTCACCTCCATTACATAAAGTTCTCGATTTTCCACCGAACGTCCAACACTATAAAGCCTCGTAATACTCGGATAATTTTCGCTCAATTCCTTCAGAAATTTCTCCATTGCCGTGTAATTGTGATGAATGAATTCGTAATGATGATAAAATCCATATTTATCACGTGGTTTCACCAGATTCAATAATTTTCGAGAACTTGGACGAACTATTAAACATATTCAAATTGAAAAGTGTGGAATAAAGGAAATTAAACGAGAAATTAAATAAATAAACCCATTGTACCCTGGAACTAATTTCAACCCTCAAGTTACTTCCTTTCAAAAATTCTTGTTGCAACTTGTTCGGGGTATGTCACTGAACATTTTCCAAAAAAAAATTTCGAATTCGATGTTAGTTTTCAAAAATTCAAAATGGCGGAAATTTTTTTTAATTTATTCAACTTCAACTGTAAAATTATTGTTTTTGTATGATAATTTTTCGAACAAGTTATTTTAAATTCGTCGCTAAAAACACTAAAATTAAATTAAAAGCGCCCGACGGATTTTGAAAAACGTTCAGTGATCTACCCCGAACAAGTTGCAACCAAAATTTTGTAAGGGATGCAACTATTGTTTGTAATTGGTTCCACAATGAACCACAAAAAAAACAAAGAATTAAAAATTAAAATATTTTGTGAAAAAATAATTCATTTAAATTATAAAGAAAAAGGTGAACGAAAACAAGCAACACAAGGTATTGAAAAATAAAATTGGATTGAATAATGACAATTTCAGAGCAGATATAATTTTATTTTCAACTTTTTATTCATACAATTTCATACATTATTCCATTACACCAATACTCTGTACTGAATTTTTATTTGAAAATAAATCAATTTATAACGTAAACTATATATATGAAGACCATGTTTATAGCAAGGTTTTTAAAAAATATTGTCGGAAATATTATTTAGAACCGTTTTAAAATATTTTTAAACTTGTGTCTCAAATGAGCCTAACTTGTTGTTGTCCTTTAAACAAAAATTAAAAAAGTACATATCTAATATAATTTACTACATCCGCTTAGGGTCCTACTGGCAAGTGGACTAACTAAAAACCTTCATTAGTAAGAAAAGGCTAGAAAAATCTACATCCTTTTGTTACTAATCGCTTTCCCTTAGTCCATATGCCACCAGGAGTCCAGGACTCTTGTCGGATTTAGGTAAATTTTCTCAGAACATATTTGCATTTTAATATCTCATGGTCTTTATTTTGAAACATTATTCTAACAAGTCTATAAAGTTAATTTTACATTTTGATATACTAGCAATTAAAATTTTCTGTCAAAAATTGAAACTAAACATAACTAAAACACTTATTTACTAGAAAACATCCATTCCCATAGAAAATATTCAGGCTATAATTGTCACTTCTATAAATATTGAATTACTAGTGCCCGTTTATTGTGTAATATGGTAAATGTCAAATTTTTTGCTTTTTGTTCAAAAATGCTATAAAATCACAGAAATATTTGTTCATTTTGATATATAGACTAAAATTAAACTTTTACATTATTTAAAAAATGATAGGAAATCACAGAAATATTTGTTCACTTTCAAAAAAAAAAATCGTATCACTAATATAAGTTTTGAATTTTCGGAAAAAATTTTGTTTTTTAAATGAAGTACAATGCCAGAAGCATTATAGATTTAAAAGTATTTCCACGATGACAAGAAATAGCTTCAAATATATTGATAAAGAGATTCAGTTTTTCATTTCTCCATACCTTGTGTTCTTGCAAAGGTTGCCGGTATAAGTAGTCAGATCTTAGGAGCTAAATATTTTTTTTTTAATGAAGTAAGTTCTTTGATTTTTGTTTTATCAACAAATGACGCTCCGATCCAAGTATATATATCAATCGCGCACTGCAATCATAGAAATATAATTCATCATTATGTGATGATGGTCTAATGAAACTTAACAGCAAGTGACAAATTGGGCTTCATTGTTACTTTTCTCTTAAAGTATAATTAAATAAATTGAACTGGTTTTTTTTGCTAGTAATTTTAAAATATTATACAAATTGATGCAAATTCTAAATGTTTCATAAAAATTAATTTGAAAGATATCAAAAATATCGAAGATATTTTGATATTTTGATATCTTTTAAATTAATTTTTATGAAACATTTAGAATTCGATAAAGAAAAGTATAACAATTAATTTAATTATTTTAATTAATTGTTATGAAACATTTAGAATTCGATGGAGAAAAGTGAGGTTAACAGTATGAGTGTTAACAGCCTTTATGATCCTATACAGTCGGTGGTCGGAGAAAGAATGACGACAGCGCACATAAGCTGCGCATCTCCCTTTCCCCCACCATGCGCCTTCCTCGGGCTAACAGGAAAAGAACTCATCTCTGTAAGGTCTACTAAATTTCTAGGTTATGTGTAAGTTTTGAAAAATCTTCCTAGTCATTTTAAATTTGAATTTCAAAAAAAAAAATTTAGTCCTTTTATTAAATTTAAAAAATTACTTTCAAGCAAGAAAAACATGTGTCCACTCGAGGACTCCATCAGGAGGACAAATTCCATATAAAATGTAAATATATACGTTTCATTACAAATTAATATAAAAATATTAATACTTTTCTTCATCACTGCTAATCGTTAAATTTTTTTAGACCTTTCGATAAATAACCAGTTCAATTAATTATTCTAAAAGAAAAATATTGGACAAATGAACATTGCAACAATCACGTGACCCTAGTCACACACTGTTAAGTATTTCTAATATTCTACAGTTTAGTGTGTTTCAGAGAGGCTGATGGAGCTATTCGACAAATTTAATGTTCCATCGAACAAAAAGTAAGTTAAATTAAATAAAATAAAGTATATTAAATAAAAATCTACTTCTAATGCAGTTTGTAGAATCATTGAAATTAGTTTCATTCCTGACTTTTGGCAGCGATACTAGTACACAAAATTTTTTATTTTCTTTAATAACCACGTTTGTGCATGAATTTATACAATCTTCTCAATTATTGTAATTTAGAAGATACTTACACGTTGTACGTTGGCAGATTTTGTAAAAAGTGTCTTTGTTCAGAGAAAAATTTATTGAAAAATGTTTGTTAACCTATTTCTTGTCAGTGCCGTTTCTTTTGAACGATAATCGAAGATCTTACATAACCTACAAATTTCATAGACCTTCGAACACCGTTAAAAGATTAAATTAGTTTGGACCAGGACGCGGAAAGTGATTACATTATTATTTAGAACAATGTTTGCTAGAGAACTGATCTATTTAAAATTTTTGAAACTCCTGCGAAACTAAATATAGTCTTAACTTGTGACCAATTAAGAAAACATTTTTTTAACTATTGTTGGACTAATAACGCTGCCAAATATCAAAGACGGAACTAAACCTAAAATACTTACATAAACGACAATTTTCTTCAAAAAGTCAAAGTTGTTAATACTAAACTTTTGACAAAAGTTTGCAAATAATTTTTTCATTTCAGTTTTTTGCATTATTTAAAAAAGTTACGATAAATATGAACTTTTTTTTTATTTTAGTAATTTAGTTCTTAAGATCCGATAAACTACTTTATTACATAAGTATAAAAATAAACCATTTCTGTTAAAATTTTTAGTAAGTGAATTGTTTAACTACAAAAAATTTCCATAACCACCAAAAAATTTTTAAGCCCATGTGATAATTAAATGAAAAATGATAGAAAAAAGCGAGAATCCAGCGTTTTTCTTTTAAACTGAACGACCTTTTCTATTTCGTTTAGTAAAAAAAAAAAAATAATAATCAATAAGAGGATAAAGGAAAATGGACAAGTGGTGTTGTTTGGATGAGAGAAACTAAATTTAAAAATAAGGTGCTTAAAAAAACAATGAATTTATACAAAGAATAAGCTTTATTTGTAAATAAACAACGTGTACATTTTCAGTCTATTTGATTAAAAAAAATAATACAAATATAAAAATATGACAAAACACAAGTAGAAAAAACTATTTCATTAAAAAATAGTTGATAAAATAAAATATGTTTATGAAATTGTTATTTGCATGCCTTTAAAATATTTCAGACAACTGCAAAGTTTTCAAGGGTTAAATTTGTATTTTTGTTTCCACTAAAAATTTATTTATACAGTCACTTTTAATTGAATTCGCAAACATAAATAAACATTTCTACAGCATACTTGTAATAAGCATTAACATTTGATCTTTGAATGAGTAAATGTAAAGTTAGGCAAAGTTGACAAAGATTGAAAATTTTTGTTTGATTCAAATCTTGACGTGACTTTATTGATTAGATTATTTCTAGTGCATGAGTTTAATATATAATATTTAATTAACATATATTAATTATTAATAGGCAACAGAATCGCATCTAAAAGAAACTGATTCTGAAGCAGCCGATGAGTCACATTAAAAGTATTATATTTATGAGAATCAAAGAAGTAGTTAATGGAAGAGTACGTTTGAAGAACATGAGGAATAATAGGAATAAATTTTTATTTGTACATTCTTCGAAAGAACTATTTTTCATTATTATAAATCAATTTTTTTAAATGAAAAAAAAATATATTACGTTATATCTGGCGCCCATTTTTTGTCTAGAAAATTAAGACAAATTTAAAGTTATGAATAATAGTGAATGATAATTTTCGAATTGAAAAAAGTTTTTGTTAAATTCTGGCGCCCATTTTTTGTCTAGAAAATATAGACAAAAAAATTTGTCATAGGAAAAAGTGAAGTTAGTGAGAAAGGAGCATTAATCATTGTAACGAGTTTTCCTTTTTCTTGTGGAATTCTCCACTGCTCGCTACAAAAATGGCGGATACGAATGTGTGAAAATTGAACAGTAGATTCCACTCTTTGAATCCACTGTTCGACCATCGGTGATCCGTTTAGAGGTTATCCTCAGCGCCAGGTAGGTGAATTACCCGGATCCCGATGAATCACGGAAAGAGGCAACAACTCCCGGGCTAGCTCTAGAATACTAGGCTTTATTGGTTCTATATGAATGCGAACCGTATCTCAAGGATGTCTTTAAACTAGGATCCTTATTCAGGAACTGAGAGAGAATTTTGTTCCTTCTAATAAAAAAAATAACTAAATATAAACGAAAGTAAACTTCTTGTTCCACCAAATTAGACAAAGTAAAAAAGAAATTGTTTTGATAGTTCTCAGTGGGTTCTCTTCAAACCAAAAACAAATCTTCCGCCTGGGTATTTAAAAGGAATAAAACTACTTAAGAACTTAACAAACACAAAAAAAAACTGTAAGAAAATAATTGCAACCGCGAAATAAACTGACACAGCCGTCTTCGGACGGCTGTGTCTGCTAATTCCGATCGATAATGAAGAAGGCGACGTTCCTCTTCGAGGCGTCTAGCTTCCGCTTCGGCAGCCATTTCCTCTCGTACTCTTGTTAAGTACTGCTGTCTGGCCTGGTACGCTTCTTTGGCGATGGATGTCGACGAATATTAAACACCGTAAAGCGTTCACAGATTCAGAAAATGTCGGAATTATCTGGAATGTACTATTTATTGTCACGAAAAACGTACAAAAATATGACATTGTTAAACATTAAAAGTAATAGCTGGGATTTTGGCACGCTAATGAATAACATCGAGATTCTAGATAACTTTAAGAAGATGACTAATGACAATATTTCACTTGATAATCCTATTAGCTTATTTAACAGAAAAAGGTTTCGTGTTGAAGTTAATGATGTTGGAAGAAACGCGGATAAACCGACTTATTTCTTGATTGATGAGATAACTGGGATTTCGCAACGCTTAAATATCATGATGAAATTTCAGGTATATACTCCTAAGACCGGACAAGATAGAGTCAAACAAACGAAGAGCTTCAAAGTTGAGTATGATGACGTGGAAAGTGTTCGAATAAAACGAAGTTCTCAACGTCCAATTACAGCGTTTAACTCTGAACTAGATGAATTATCGGAACGAAGTAGAGCGAGTAGTGCCCGAACAGATAACTCTAAACTATCTAAGGAACAAGATTCGATTGAAATCGAGACGATGTGTAACGTTCAGATAAATGCCAAAGTGATTGAAAGATATCGTCTTATTTGTCTCGAGATATTAGAAATTAAACAGATTAAAGAAATTGGCGAGTTGTGTCGAGTGCTGACGATAGATGGATTGTTTGATTGGATAGAAAAGTCGAAAACGTTTCAACACAATTGGAAAGAGTTTTGCACGTACTGCCCACCCCAATTGTTGGTAAAGTTTAAGGAACTCTTCAAAAAGCATGAAGTTCAAATTTTCAAGACGTATGGTGACGAAAGAATATCCTCATTATTTAGCGTGGTATTGTTTAGTGAAGTTGAAAGCAACTGGCCCCTTGAATTGCTTCCTCGTCTGTCGGTTTGTCCGTGATGACCAAGGATGAGTTTCGCACCGCCTTATGGTGTAATTTTTGGTGCTTATTATAAATAAGCGAACAGATGTGTGAAACTCTCTCTCATCTCATACAATATCTCTTTATCTTATAAACTCAACATTTCTCTTTTCCTTCTTATGACTCGATACAATGAAAATTAAATAGTAAAAAAAGAAAGCGTTGAGTTCAGGTCTGGCCACCGCCTGTAATTTTTCTTTGTTTCTCAGTTATAATTTAAACAGAATTAAATCGATTGATTCACCATAAATATCTCGTTTCGGCGAAACCCGTACAAGTCGCTTATACGTGCAAAATCATATTTTCCACGTTATATCATCTATAATTTTATTAATTTTATAGATTGTAACGCTGTAGATTTTACATCTCTCAAATTCCTCGACCGTGATGTGGACGTGAAGCCCCCTTTTTATTACTAATAATATTGTTAAACTATGAAAGGGGTAATTATAAATAATGTAAATAAAGAATACACACTTAATGTCAAAATACTATATTTTGACTGTCAAAGAGTTCGAGAGCGCATCCTAGCAACAATGTTAATTAAGAATAATTTCTGCCTTATTTTATTGTTTTTGTTTAAGCTCGTTGGACGCAGCTTTCAATAGCGCGAGTCTAACCAATCACTAATAAGTCCTTAGTCTCGGAGTGAAAAGGACTCGGAACACAACTTGAGGGCGTTTAAGTCAGATGAGCAACGTAAAAACAAGGAACAATATTCCTTGCAACAAATGATTATATTTGTTATTTATTTTATTTATTTTGCACTACTCCGAAGCTCAAAGAAAGGCCAGTCCAAGATTAGTTGCTGTTTCGTGAATAATATTAGATCGACGCCTAAGGTGGCTGCAACCCGTCTTACATAGGTTGATTAGAATTAGATTTTATCGACAGGATTACAGCCACTCAAAATTGTATCCAACGAGTTGTAACGAACGAGCTGCCGCTAGGCGCTCGTTCTTCACGTTTTAGACATCACGGTAGATGGTCGTTATAATTGTCAAAAAGAAAGGAAAATTACAAATATAAAGAGGAAATATATAATTGATATTAAAGTCCAAATTGGAAATTAAGTTGAAACAATGGTGAGTTAGAATATTTTATTCGCCTTAATTGAAATTCAATTTAAAATCAATTATAATTCTTTTACTTATTTCGCTCTCAGACTCTTAGCAAGTCCGTTTTAACCTCAAATTGTTAAATTCACTACTTTAGAATAAATGTGATTTTGTGTGTGTAAATAATTGTTTATTTATTTATTAAAAGTCACCACTCGTTCCCACACCTAGTCGGCAAATTAATTAATCAATAATTTAACTTATAAATTCTAAACGTTCTTATCTAATTCTAAATATGGCTTGTATTTTCTTAAACTACTAGAGGAGCAGCCAGGCGCTCAAAATTAATAAAAATATTAAAGATCGCCTTTATAATTTTTCGCCACCAGAATTGTTTTCCCTAATTCTGAGTTTTAATAATTAATAATAAATGAACCGGCGTGGCGACAGGTTATAAGATAAAATGAAGAATAATCAGTTAAAAATAGAACGAAAATTAAAACTTAGGTACGAATTTATTTTCTTGATAATTCAAAAGTCACGTTGTTACGTTTATAAAACTGATAGTGTGGGTAGGGGTACGAGAACCAAAATTGATGATTCCTGGAGATGAGTCAAGTCTTACGACTATACCTCATATAAAATATTCGGATTTAGGTTGCTTTAAGTGGGAGCCTATAGATAAATATTTAATACTGGTATATGAAGTGGAGTATTTCCGATTAAATGATAGTCCAATATGGTATCGTAAACGTGGATTTTTAGAAGTTGTAAGAGAAATAAATATTATTTTAAATTGTTATGCCATTATAAACATGTGGACTTATATATTTATTTTATATTTTCAGCGAACTCGGGTTGATTTCACAAGGTATTGGGCTCCTCCTCGATTAGTTCTGCGCAGGAATAATTATTTTGTGTATAAGAAAAATTTAATGAAGTAGAATAAGGAGACATAATGTGTAGTTTTTGTTAAAAAAAATTAATAATAAATTTTTTTTTTGTTTTTTTGTAAAGTGATATTTTATATAAAAAAATATTCAATACTTTAATAGTATAAAGTGAGGTAGAAATAAATTAGTTCTATTTTTATTATAATTTATCTTGTATTCATTCCCCCTCCTTTTTGAAGAGGAATAAAGACCAACAAAGGTATTATATTTTGTAAGTATATCAATTGTTTAATGTTTTAATAGTAATTTAATTTTATATACGTATATTGATTAGATTATTTTTTTAGGGAATAGATAGATTTATCGTCATTCATGTTAATGTGGGTACAACCATCGAGAACATAATTTCATATGGACTTTTAACGATGAAGGATGCACAATGGAGGGATCACTGACTCATTTGGAGGCGTTGGGATTTTAGTCAACCTTTAGATGAGAAGAATAATAAAAAAAATTGGATTTGTCATTTCGTTTTAAGATCGTTTTAATTGTTAGAATTTGTTTGTTATTTCTTTAGTTAGGTTGTAACAATATATAATTTTCAATGTCTAATTCTTTCATCCATTGATACAGTCTTCTACCAGTATGGACGGAATTTAATATCCAATTTAACGCAGCGTGTCCATATGGTAATAAAATAGGGTTGTTTTATTCGTAGGCTATTTTAATTTTATCCATATGTTTATGGAATCGTTGTCCTTGTTCTCCTTCAAGAATAACATTATGCTTATCTGTTATATCTATGATTTTGTATGGGCCGTGATATCGTTTTTCGAATTTGTTATTTCTTGGTTCTTTTCTTATATAAGCTAGGCTTCCTATTTTTCCTTTAAATTCATTGCAACTTCTGTCATATTTCATCTTAAAGCGTTCTTTTGCCTTCATTAAATTTTTTGCTGCTATTATTTTGATTTCATTTAAACGGGTTATGCGTTCTCTTAAATAGGTACCATAGGTTACTAATTCTTCGTTAGAAGGAAAAGCTGTTGGGATTCTTGCTACTTTTCCAAAGATTATTTCGTAAGGAGTAAAATTTGTGGCTTCGTGGACAGACGTATTATAGAAGAACATAGCGAAGGGGACAAGTCCGTCCCAACCCTTACGGAAAAAAATGTCATAAAAAATGACACTCATGAGTGTCGTATTTTGAGTGTGCTTATTTCGCTACCACACTCAAAAAATGACACTCTTTACGTAGTTCGCTCAAGGCTCTGTGGGAGGTGTTGTTTCAAACTCTCTCGCAACTAACACGAAACTTGAAAAGTATATAAGGAGGCAGCATTCTTACGAATATTCGCGGAATTTTATTCTGTTCGTTATCTTTCCTGTTTTTGCACTGGATGCAAATAATTTTAATTTGTTAAATCAGCCATATTATTATCATTGATTAGAATTAGAATTTTTCAAGCGATGTTTATCAAGTACCATTTTCCATGTCGTTTTTTGTGTGTCATTTTTTCAGTGTGGTAGCGAAATAACCACATTCAAAATACGACACTCATGAGTGTCATTTTTTTCCGTAAGGGAATCGTCATAACGTTTTGCGTAATGCTTTATAAAATCTATTAAGACTTTGTGGCTGCGTTCTAGTGATCCATTAGTTTGAGGTCGATATCCTGATTTTGTTAGTTGTTTTACTCCGAATATTGGAGTCGTTGGCTGATTTTATTTTGAATGTTATCGCTTGACGAACGTTTTCAAATAAAATAAAGCTTTTGACTAAAATTTTACATCGAGCTGCCTCAGGGTGTTCTGAGTAGTCGAGCTGTTTGATTTCGTCAAATGAGTTTTATTTAATTTGTTTAACTACTAACAACGAAAATCAGAACTCGGATTCAGGAGACAAACTTTGGCATCTGCCTGATGGGACACTGTCTAAACTTAGTTTAAATACAATTGACTTGAACTGCCTAAAAGAAGTGACAAAATTAGGTGTGGTCCAAGGGTTTTTATAAACAGCTTCTAGTACTATATATATGTTATTGGGATCTTCTTAGAAAATTGCATAGTACATGGCAACGTTGTAATGCATAAGAATATGCGCACGCATTCTGTTACAAAGAAGTAGGGGAGTTCTCTGAAGAATTGCCACAATTGAAAAGCAGAATACAATGATTCGTACACTCATTGACATGATGCCCCCTGAAAGACTGCAATTTTTAAATTCCAATCAATCTTTGCCCCTCCCTAGCGCAACGAGACAAGTCACATCGAATACATCTCTGCCATTGCCCGGACAGAGAGAACAAGTAAATGCCCCCAAACCAAATTCGATACTACAACAATACTTAAGAACGCTTAAGAAAACGGATGTAGATGTAGAAAAAGATTCTCTGAAGTTCTCTGAAGACTCTCATAGATGAGATCATCAGTCAATAACAGAATTGATAATAATAATAATAATATAATAATAATATAACTGATATATAAATAATAATGTTTTTAGTTAGTGTCAATACTCATTCTTTAGCAATAATATGTGTTTACATATATATGTAACTAGAAACTCATTAGCTTAGATAACGTAAAAAAAATGGTACAATTTTAAGATGTAATTTGAATCTTTTTGTCTCCTATACTTCCGTTTTGACAAGTGCACTCCGCGGCACGCGTGAGGTCATTGTTTTCGTTCTCGAGAATATTCCTTTGGGAAAAAGGCCTATACCTAATACGTATATTAACGAGATGTTATATAACATATATGGTAATTGTTAACTATAAAATAATCTATTAAATGTTTTGATTATTTTATATTAATAAATAAAAAAAAATGTTTAGTGCAAACGTAACAACGTACACAATTAGAAACAATTACTGGCCAATAGATCATTATGTTTTTCAAAACAAAAAATGAAATTTACAAAACTACGTCAATTATATAATTGTAACCCTGAAATTTTACTAAAGCATAGTAAAGAAAATTTAGAAAAATCCAATTCTATCTATTTGGAACCAAAAGGGTACTATCTATCTCACACAGAGTACATCCTTAAATCCAAGTAAACCAAATTACAATCTTTGCAATACTCATTGATGAATTAAGCAAAAATGTAAGTTTATTAATAAATTCCATTAAAGACGGAAAACACGGAATAGTACAACCTCAAATCTTAACACCCATTAATTTAGGAGGATGTTGACACAGATTTATCAATCAACATGTGATTAATTTTATTATGATCATTTTTATAATAGGAAAATTAAACAAAAATATACTATTTAAATAACTGGCGCTTATTTTTATAGAAGAAAATTGCATTTTTTACGTCCACGGCACTAATATTGATAAACTGTTTTTAACTCCATAGTACTATTTTTCATAGCGTAGAGTTAATAAAAATCTCTCATAACATTTATTTAATTCTTTGTGATCTAAAGTTAAAATTACTAAATGAGTAATCTGCCTTTTTTTATTGATTAAAACAAGTAAATGAGTATATTTTGCCTGTTAAAGAAACAGGTTCAATCCTTAACATTACATGCAGTGAATGAACACATAGATGATCATTAACCATCAAAATGTTATTATGATTGCAAAAATCATGAAATCAATAAAGTAAAAAAAATCAATTTATGAGTTTGAGATTCTTAATTAAAAATAATCAATCTAATAAAAGGAAAAATGACTTCCGTTACATATGGCGCCCATTTTTTCAAGATAACTTGATTTATGGTAAAATTAGAAAGTGTCAGAGATTGCATAAATCATTAGCACACTTAATTACATCTTCTGAAATAAACTTCATAAAGAAGATTATCTTTGATAAAAATATGTTAGTCCGAAGACTAGAATTTAGATATGACAATAATTTTCATTTCTATCATAAAATAGAAATTTCTCAACCCTTGAAAACTTGCACTGTCTCTTACTATTTTTTTAATGAAATATTTCGTTCAGTTTGTCATGGATCTGGCAAACGCAAAGTTTCTCGCTAAAATAAAATTTAAAAAAACGTACAAAAATTATTATATGAATTATGCAGAGCGAAAGTAATGACTAGAGAAGCTTTAAATGTGTGTTCTTTAAAAAAAGCGAGCTAAATCTATTAAAAAAAATCTAAAATAAAAACATAGTTTACATTTCAGTCTTCGCTATCTTATTTCCTTGTTGGGTATTTATTTTTTTACACAAAAAAATTTCAATACACCTGGATAGTGAAAAAATTGAAAAAACCTTTATCTATTTTGTAAATTGAAATATTAGAACTTTTTTTTCTTCTAAGCAAACAAAAACGTTATAAGCTATAAATCTCATTTTTTTGTTAAAGTAAAATTATACATCCGCTCTGCATATTAACAAAAAAAAATGTGTCGCAGTTTGTGTAAATTCTTCAATTACCTTGTGCGTTGAAGGGCTCTGACTCGAGAACAAAATTTAAGTTGACCACGTCATTCTTGCCGACAGTCACAATATTTCGATTGCTTGGTTTGTATCTGTAAGCAAACATTGTATTTCTTCAAAATTATTTTTATCATTTCAATTCAATCATTATTTTCAAGAATTTTTAACTAAACTTCTTCTTTAAATCAATTAATTTTCGAAAAAGTCCTCTAACAATTTTTAAATCCATTTGTTTGCAATATTCAATTTTGCGAAATTTAAATTATTCGTAAATTCTTCAATTAACTATATATTAGAAAATAAAAACTTTAATCAATATAAAAAAAATTCAATTAAACTTTTCAAAAAAAAATTCATTTCAAAATTGAATTATTTCCAAAAATTCACGCTATTTTCCTTTTAACATTCAATTATTACCTAAAATTTTGAACTGAAATTCATCTTTACTAGAATTTAATATTATTTAAATACAAAAATAAATAATTTATTGAATAATTCAATGTTTCTTAAAATTTAATTCCCATAAAGAATTTTATCAACAAATTTTTAAATAATTTTTTTTCGTGTTTTTAACTAAAATTCTTCTATAAATCCATTATTTTTAATGTTTTCTAAAAAAGTTCTTTGATAATTTTCAAATTAATTTGTTTACAATTCAACTTTCCAAAATATCAGTTATTCGAAAATTTTTCAATTAAATATAGGTATAATAGAAAATAAAAACTTCAAAAAAATAATTTTAAGTAAAATTGAAATAAACTTTTTGAAAAAAATTAATTATTCTACAGAATTGTTAGTTAAAAGTATGAAAAATTAAAATTTTTAAAGATTCTAATATAAAATCTTTTCAAAATTCAATTATTTTTAAAAACTCACGCTATAATAATGCTTTTAATATTCAATTATAATCTAAAATTTTTACTGAAATTCATTTTTAAATCAATTTTTATTAGAAAATTCTACTAGAAATTCAATTATTTAAATAAAAAAAAATAATCTATTAATTGTATTCTCATAAAGAATTTTATCAACAAATTTTTACATAATTGAATTCTTTTGACGAATTTTAATAATTGACGAAAATAATACAATTCTTGTAAAAATTTTATTATTTACGAAAATAATTGAACTATTTAGAAGAAATTTATAAAAAATTTGTAAATAATTGAATTCTTTTAGAAAATTTTATTAAAAATAATAAATATTGAAAATCATTGAAATAAGAAAAATTTTTGAAAACAATTGAAATTTATAAAGATTATTGAAATTTTGACGAGAATTTTTGTAAATTATTGAACACAATTAAATTTCTGCGAAGAATTATATTAATTTTTGAAAATAATTGAATTTTTTTCCAGAAATTTAATTAAAACTTTTTATAGAAAATAATACTTAAATTCTAATAAATAAATTGTAGCAAAGGTTTTTAAAATAATTGAATTTCTTTAAGGAATTTTAATAAAATTTTTAAGAATAATTTCATTTATCGAGGAATTCTATTAAAATTTTTTTAAAAATAACTGAAAGTCTGCGATGAGTTTTATTATTGATGAAAATAATTGAATTCCTGTAAAAAATGTTATTATTTATGAAAATAATTAAATGTTTGCGTAGAATTTTATTAAAATTTTTTTTAAATAATTGAATTATTTTGGGCAATTTTATTAAAGTAGTATATTTATTAAAAATCATTGAATTGAGGAAAGTTTTTGAAGATAATTGAAATTTTGCCATAAATTTTATTAAAAATTGTTGAAAATAATTGAATTTCTAAGAAGAATTTTACTACTTTTCAAAATAATTGAATTTCTACAATCATTTTGTAATTGCTTCAAAATTCAATTACTTTTAGTGTTTTTAATTAAAATTCTTCTATAAATCCATTATTTTTAATAATCAATTAAAAATATATATTAAAAAATTTAACTAATTTCAGAAGAATTGGAATAATTAAAATTTCTCAAAAATCTACGTTCTTTAAGACAATTTCTAGTTAAATTCATTCAAAATTGAAATTTTACAAAATTTGAAATTAAAATCTTTTGAAATTCATCTGTACTTATGAAAATTGTAAACGCAACTCTTTTAAAATTCAATTAATTTTGAAATAATTATATAAGATTAGATTTTAAGAATAAACTTTAGAAAATAACAATTTTCCAGGATTTCGATCAAAATTCCCTGATATTTTCAGGTTTTCTCAAGGTTTATAAAATTCCCTGACATTTCCAGGTTTGCAGGTTGCGTGGCAACCCTGGACATGAAAATATAAAAAAAAGAATTTTACCTCCAAGCAGTGGCGTAAACTGTGTACTGTCCGGGAAGAAGAAGACGCCAATACTCGCCACGATTTGTTGTGACAATATTGTGATTAATTCCGACGACAATAATTTTTGCGTCCTCAATTGGCTGTCCATTTTCATCGGTGACAGTTCCCTTTATTCCAATATGCGCTTGCTCGAGATATTTCAAAAGTGATTCTTTATTTAAATTCCAATGATGAGGCATTTCTTGAGCTTGTGGATATTTACAGCAGCTCACTTCAAATGTTATTTCAAAGGCATTTGAATGAACATAATTGAAGTCTTGCATTCCTCCAGTCACTTCATACCTGTCGAACAATTTTTAGACAATTTTAAATAGTTCCTTTTTTTATTACTATTATATGGCTTTTTAACAAAATTTCTTTTAATATTATTATTATTTTTAAATTTAAATCTTCAAAATTTTTTTAAAAAGGAAACAATTTGGAATTTTTGGTCTAAACTATTAAACGATAATATTATTATTATTATTTATCATTATCATATTATCTTCATTTTTAAGTTTATAATTTATCAGAAAGAAAAAAATTGTTTTCCAAATTAAAAAAAAATTACCAGTTAGCTCCATTAGTAATTCCATGTCTGAATTCTTCATATGAACAGGAATTTCCCTTTCTCATTGTTGGATGATTATCAGCATAAGTATGGGCAAGATATTTAAAAAGATTATCATCCGGTGATTTGCTTTCTTCGCAGCAACTTTTGAAAATTCTGTAAAAGAAATTCTTAATAAATTTTTCAAGCATATTTCGAGGAATTCATTTAAAATTGTATTAACAATAATTGTAATCATGTGAAGAATTTTATTATTTATAAAGTTAATTGAATACCTGCAACGAATTTTATTAACAAATTTTTAAACAATTCAATTCCTGGGAAAATTTTTTTATTTTTTAAAATAATTGAATTTTTCAAAAATATAAAAAAAATCAAATTTTTGAAGAATTTTAATTATAAATTTAATATAAACATAATTTCTTCGAAATTTTAATAAGTCTAAAAAAATGAAATTAAAAAAAATTTTAATGTATCGAAATTTAAAAAAAAACAATTGAATTCTTACAAACTATTTTAATAAAATTTTTAATGCATTTTTCGACAAATTTGATTAAAATTGCATTAAAAATAATTGAAATCCTGCGACGAAGTTTATTATTTATAAAAATAATTGACTTCCTGAAACGAATTTTATTAAATTCTTTTTTAAACAATTCAATTTCAGGGAAAAAATTTATTAAATAGGTATTTTTGAAAATAATAGAATTTCTTTAAGGAGAATTCCACAAAATTATTGTTAAAAATTTGTTCTTACCCTGAATCATAAGGATAACTGGCAACAAGAGCTCCGCCATGAAAATTTCCAGACAAAACAAAGGGTTCGGTCGAAATCCACGTCATCATTGCAACAGTTTCCTTTTCTCTTCCTTCAGCAAGAGTGTGACCATGTCCAACATTATTTGAAGACCTATCGAATTGGTCCGGAAAATCACGATTCAAATCCACATTATTCGCATTTTTTCTTCCCATGTAATCAGTATTTGGATTACATTCGCCCTCCTGAAAAAATAAATCAATTACAATTTATTTTTATTTATTTATTTATATCAACAATTTATATTTGCAGTTTTATTTTTTCAAAAGAAATTTTTTTTAAAACTTGTAGGTTATTATTAACTACAAGTGTCGAGCTCTTAAATTTTGCAAGTTAAAAATAAAACAAGATTAAAAAAAAAATAATTAAACAGTACAAATTATTTTTAGACTGAAACAAAAGACATTAAACAGGTGTGTACTTATTATGAAAATGAACTTAATTTAAATTTATACAATCGTACGACACAAAGCGAGAACGATTTATTGTTTAATTTTAAATACTAAATCTCAAAAATGAGAGGAAAATAATTATAAGTAAAGTTGAGAAAATAAAATGATAAAGTATAAAGTAAATATTTGTCGAATTATCAAAATATGTATCACAGAAATAAAAACTTCCCCAAAGATATGAGCTGATATTTTTTATGTTTTAATATTTATTTTCATTACAAGGAAATTGGGTAAACACTTTTTTCTACTATTGCAAAGAATATTAAATTTATTATCGAAAACTTATTGCAGGGAAAAAAAAGTATCTTTTTTTCCCCAAAACAAGAAATAGGGTGAATAAATAATAATCGAAAATAGGAAAATAATTTTCTGTAAGTACAAAATAAACACGTGCAAGACAAATAACTTAATAAAATAAAAACAATTTTAACTATTATTTTTTAATTTTTTGATAACATTTTTTGCAAGAATTCATTGATTTTCAAAACATTAATTTTAAAATTGAAAATTTGTTAAGGAGGTTCTCTCGCAAACAGAAATAACAAACAGTTTTTTATGAAATTTGATATACTAATAGATAATGGTTTAAGGAAGATGTAGTTAAATTTTTACAGGTCTAGGTTGATTGTGACAAAAGATATAAATAATTTTCTTTCTTTACATTTAACACTGAGTCTTATGGGGAATTGAATTTTCTTGGTTTTCAATCTCAAATTATGATAAACCTGACAAACAGATATTAGTCAAACTTTTTATACCTATAGTTAAATAACTAATATATAATTAATTAAAATAAAATTGATCAGACCTTACCTAGAACACTCAAAATTAATTATTTTGTTTAAAAAAACACCATATTTTGACAATCAGAACTTACTCAGTACAACGCTTGGCAACGGTGCATCTTGTAGGTTAGGTACAGAAAAAGCGCGAAATTTGAAAGTAATATAGTTAATTTTAATATTAATTCGTAATAATGAATAATAATTAATAAATATTTATTTAATAATAAATTCTTTATTAAAAATTTTGAAAAATAATATGCATAAAATTAATTTAATTATTTTTAATTTTCATACACTTTTCAAAAAATTTATAAAACATTGAAATTTTTGTAAAATGAAAAGAATAATTAATAATTTCAATTAATTAAAATTGAAAGTTAAATTAAATTTTTTTAAATTTAATAAATAAATAATATATAAATTTTGGTTGGGTGAACAAAACGTGAAATATTTTTGTTGAAATCATATAGTTATTATTTATTTGTAGTATCACATTTTACTATTTTATAAAAACGCAATAAATATTTTTTTCTAAATAATACATACAATAAACCATATAATGAAATAAATTTCAATATTTTGTATTAGATAATTTACAACTAAAATTTGGTAAGAAATTTTTTTACGAAGTCAACAATTCGTAGTGAGTAATTTTTTGCTGCTGGTAACTTTAACAACAGACTTATAACATGTTAAGAAGAACTCGAAATTCGTTGTTTTCTTATGCTTTAACAATTAAATACAATATGTAGGTATTTTTTTGTTTTTCTTAGCAACACATTGTAAATAATAAATAAATATAATACATTATCTATTCTTTGACAGTATAAATAATAAAAATAATAAATAGTAAAAATAATATGCACTTAAATATTTCGCTTTGATTAAGTTACATAATTTGGCATGATTATTTGGAGTTTTTTTCTAAAAACTCAACAATTTTATTGATCACTCTTCGCTGTTTGGTGACTTTCACGTTTCCATTTTCATCGACGCCTAAAATGTCTAGCAGACCCATAAATTTATTTTCTTTATAAGCATCAACAATATTTTCGTACGTGATATTTGCAGCTGCTATCTTCTTCCTCGTAGCATATGTAGTACATTCATTCAAGAGATCTAGCTGGTTTAGAAACGTTGAACCTTTTGACACTTTTGCTTTTTTTCTAATTGCTGCTCTGTTTCCAATTACTGATTTCTTTCCAGTTGTTGTTTTTTTTTCAATTGCATCCCAAGTTACACTGGCTTCGACGATCTGTTTGTCAGAAATTTTTAATTTTATTAAAACTTGTTCTAGCATTTGGACATCACATATTGCATTATGAGCCTCGTCTGTATTTATGTCAAAATCTTTTGCGAGATTCTCCAATTTATTTTGCCCTTTCCCCTTTTTACCCGTAGACCTCGCGATTAAGGGCAATGAATCAGAAAATCCTGCAACTATTGATCCAAAATGTTTTGACATAAAAACCTTCGCAATCGCCAACATTAAACGCGGGTAGTCAAATTTGCAATTGTGAGCTGCAAGTATGCATTTTTTTCCAAAAAAGTAGAGAAACTCGTAAAATGCAAGTATTGCTTCCATTAATGAAACCGATTCCACTGGTTTTCCGTGGAGAAGCAATTGACCGTTAATGTATCGCAACCCATTAACAAGACTTGCTTCTTCCGAAATCTTTTGACTTGGACTAATATATACTGAAAATTGATAGTCTTTATATTTTGCAGCGATTTGCAAAATGTCAGTATCTTTTTTCAGACTTCCTGTTTCCAGGTCAAAAAATATTACAATAGGTTTAAAATTGTTTTTGCCATTGAAAAGAGGAATTGTTTCGTCTAAAGCGGTAAGAAGTCCAATGTTGGGTGAATAATTTGTTCCTTCGGAAAGTTCTTTTTTATTTCTTAATTCAGTTTTTTGTTTTTTTAGAAATAACCTTCGTTTTTTAAACGGACGAGTTTGAGATTTTAAATATCTCTTTTTATTTTTTTCATCTACGTTGTCGGTATATTTCTTAGTGTGCTGTCCGGGAGATACATTTAATTTATTTAATAAATCAGGAACATATTTCTCACCCTCGTTTTTTTTATTAATTGAACAAGCAACTCTAACATCGCTTGATGTTGACATTCCATAAACCCGACTTTTCGGTGCTTTACTAACAATCGTGGCATTTAAGCTTTCATTAGGATTACTTGAAACCCCGGCAGCAAATCGATTAGCATTTTTGGCCATAATATTAAAAAGGCACTTTAAATCCTCAAAAAGTTTTTCATCTTGGAAACCGTCATCAATATTTGCGTGCTTATAAGTTTCAGGATTTTCTGAGAATGTGCACCACGTTCCACAATTATCATGAATATTGAAACAATGATATGGTATGTTCTGAATAGCTTGTGACAATTTGTCACAGTTTCCTTTATTCTGAGCAATGCTGTAATTAAAACACTTTTGTAAATATTTTATACTTGTTGCATTTAGCTCTTTATGTCGACTTTGAATTTTAAAAAGTTCATTAGTCAAACCTTTACTGGTATGATTTATGTCACTTTGCTTTACAATATCATGAGCACTTGCGTTTCGTGCTGCACAGATTGCACTGCTATCATTGTCGCCAATCATTACTCCCACCTCTAAATTGCATTCTTTTAAAATTGAATTATTTGCAATAATCTCTACAGCTGCCTGAGGTTCCATTGCCTTCGCGCTTCCCTCAAAATTCAATCGACAATCATGATCGTCTTTCGCATGTCCATTTTCACACATCCTACATTTTCGATTGAATGTTGCGTAAGAAAGAACTTTTTTAGAAAAAAACCCTATAAGTGACCCAGTGCCCGAAATGCTGTCGTACGTTCTACCTGTTCCCCTAGTAAACCAACCCATATCAAAAGATGCAGCAATGCGTACTTTATTTTCTGCCGAAATTTTAAAATTCTCTACTATTAAATTCGGAATATTCGGAATGTCCGGAAACATAAACTCGACGTTTAAATTTGAAGGCCTGAAATAAAATAAAATATCTAATTAAGGACTCGTAATAAATAGGTTTCAATCTCTTTGTTTAGTAAAAAACAATTGTTTATTCTTCTATTTTTTACAATTAATATACATATTTTATCAATTTATTGGAAAAGATTCAAGATCTCTTTACATTACAAATTTCATGTGCTCAATAAAGCATTTGGATAGTTTATAATTGATTTCATAAATTAATAAGAGAATAAATAAGCTTTATAAGATAATGAAAGAAAAATCTTATTCAAAGTCAATTAAAATAGATATAACAGAATTATAAACACTGTACATATCAATATCCTTTAATATATATATGCATAAAATGTAAAAAAAATTATTTTTTCCACAACATGAAAAATAATTTATGTGTAAAAACTTTGTTAATAGATTTTTAAATTGATTTTATATATTATGATTCAATAAATTGATTAAAAAATAAATTGTATCGTTGTAAAATAAAAATTTGTAAATCATTATAAAAAATAAGCAATTGAAAAAGATCTCATATAATATTTTAAAAATAAATGGAAAAGATATTCTTAATCAAAAAGTGTTCAATTAAAATTATAATTATATGAAATGCAATAATAAACAATATATGATCGCAAAATGCACGTATCGAACAATGTAAAAAAACACTTACAACAATCGTTTCACTTCTTCATACTTTTCTATAGTAAGCTTTCTTTCTTCCTTAGCTGCTTTCAAACAACTAGCATGTGCCATTTTTTCAGCCTCGATACCTACTTCTTTTTCGTGTACTTTAAAATTATTCCACCTGAATTCTGGAATGTTTAAAGACGACAGAATTTTATTTAAGTGAGTATTACCCATTCCTCCATTCAGTGTACCTAGAAATAGATGCTTATATTTTACTTCATTCATTTTGTTACAAAAAATGATATTATAATTGTTTATACTCACCAACAACAACTTTTGTGTTTACATCAAAATGTTTATGCATATTTGGACCGGATACAATGTGCTGTTTGTCCGTTGAAACTTGTGTGGAAAGTAAGCACGTGTTACATTTAACATTGAAAACAGATGCCAAACCAAATCTTTTTTCATTTACAATGTCTGTTAATGATAAAACAGATTTACAATTTTTACAATTAAGTTGTTCTGCCAACGTTTTTAAATGCACGATTCGTCTGCCTTCAGCAGACTCGCACTTTACAAATTCACAGTTTGAATCATTTTTGAGGTTAGGTTCAACATTTTTAATGCCATAAACACTCCGAAGATTTTTACCCACATTTTGCATTCGACAACGATTTTCGTACACTTTTTTGGTAACTTTTTTACCCTTCCAATAATAATTTTTTACACTTTTTTCAGCACTATTTTCTAAATTTTCCGACATGATATCACATTACCGTATGTATTTACAAAACAAACAATTGCAGACGACACGAAACGGAAAAGAGGAAGCATAAATCCAACGTTGTCAAGCGTTGCGCTTGTACTACGTGATTCAAATGAAAATTTAAATGGACATTGCTTTGACTAACCACGTAGAGAGAGAACCTCCTTAAAAGAAAAATTATTTTAAAAAATTTAGGAAACAAAAAAGCAAAGAAATTTTCAAAAAAATTTTTTCTAGTGATTATTGGGTTACTTCAAAGACGATTTTCTTAAAACCGAGTCAGAAAGAATAAAAAACAAAATTTTAAAATAATTTAAAGATATTAAATAAAGAAAAAGACATGTACGTTTTTTTAAAAAAGAAACAAAATTTGTATTCCAAACATTATCTTAAACTTTACTTTCTTTTGACTGTTTATCTTGCATGTATAAATTTAACAATAAAATTTCATACACGTAGATTATGCACGGAGGACTTTTACTTTAAATAAAAATATTAACTATCGTACTTGAACAATTTATTGCTTCTGACCACTGTGAAAAAGAAAATTAGTGGTTAAATTTTATTACTTTATGAAACTTTCAGGCCTCGGATCGACTTTAAAGCGGAAAAAAATCACTTTAATCGAATAAAAATACAAAAAAGGTCAAAAAAGTAATTTTCAGTGTTGTCACAAAAATTTTATTTTGTATTTTCCTCACTTTCCCCTTTCACTGATTTCTAAATTCAATTATTCAAAACTTGAATAATTTTGTTAAATAAATATTTAAATACTTCTTATTTTTTTTCACGGGAAATGAAAATTAAAAAATTTCAATTTAAAACCTTCTGAAATTTAATAATTTTTAAAAATTACAACTATGACCCTTGCAAAATTCAATTATTTTTAAAAATTCTCCGAAAGTTCTTTCAGAATTGCATTATTTAAATACAAACATTCAATTTTTTATAATAATTTGTAACTGTAACAGTTATTAAAAGGTATAATATTTTCAAAAAATTATATAATAAAGAAATTTTTTAATTTATTTTTTTCAAAATATTTTTAATAGTTTTTGAATGACAATAGTTTTTTTAATTATATACAATTGAAAAATTTACAAATAATTCAACTTTGGCTAAATCTTTTAAAAATAATTGAATTTTTGCAAAACATAAAAAAAATACTCAAATTTTTAAAGAATTTTAAATATAAATATGAACATGATTTCGCCGAAATTTTAATAAGTCTAAAAGAGTAAATTTAAAAAAAAAATTTAAGTTACATCTTAAAAAATTATAATAAAACGATTTTAAGAATTAGTGTTTTAAAAATATATTAATTAAATTTTTCGAAAATAATTCAATTTTTAAAAAGAATTTTTGTATATAATTTTAAAAAAAAACTAATTTTTTGTTGAATTTTGATTTAAAAATTTTGAATACGATCGTTTTCTTAGAAATTTTAACAATAATTCCAAAGAAATTTTAATGTTATTATTTTTTGTATCCATTTGAATTTTCGAAAATATATAAATGAAAATACTGAAAATAATTGAATTTAAAAAAAAAAAATAGAATGAGACAATTTTAAGAATTATTTGTTTCAAAAATATTTTAATATAATTTTTAGAAGGAAATTTTCATTATACATTTTTGAGAAATCAATTATTTTCAAAATTTGCAATTAAAATTCTTCAAAAAGTTGATATATTCAAAAATTGCAATAAAATACTTGAAAAAAATCATTTATTTTCAATTGCGAATTTGACAAAATTTAAATTATTCAAAATCTTTTTAATTGTATATTTCGAAAATTTAAGCCAATCTTTTATTTATTTAAACAAAAATTTAATCGATATTTTTAACTGTATAGAGAAAATAATTTAAATATTCCAAAAAAAATATTTTTATCGACATTTTTTGTGAGGAATTCAATGTTCAGAAAATATGAAAATCAATTTTTAAGTAAAATAAAAATTCAAAAAAGGTCAAAATATTTTTCTGACCCATTTAATTTTTTTACCATTGAATTCAAAAATAATTTTTGAAAATAATTTTTGAAAGTCGCAATTTTTGAAAATAAATCTAAAAAAGTCACATTTTTCGAAAATATTCGAAAGTAAAATTCTTAGTTTAAAAAAAACATTGGTGTAATAATAAAAAACTTAGTAATAAAAAAATATTTTTTCAAATGATAATTTACTAAGATTTGGCTCAAGATTAAAAATTTCAAAATTATACTATTTTATAAAATGTATGAATGTAAGTAATTTTTGTGTAACTTCTCAAATGATTACTAATTCATATTTTTCATTTATGTAAATATTTTTAATACGTATATTTGCCTGTGAATACGTAATTTTCTTTTTGTTTGTCCTACATACTTATTATATATGTTTTATCACAATTACACTTAAATTTATAAATACAATATTTTACTCATAGAGACTACATTTTATCTTTACCACGTTTAAAAAAAAAATTATTTAAATTTGAATTTATACTAAAAATTGATTTTATATTAAAAGTTTTAAGAAGTCTTATTAATAATTTCCGGGATTGTTGCATAATAAGGAAAAATTGCTGTTTCCACTGTTTTCTAATTATCATTATTATCACTATTATCACTATTACTTTTATTATTCGTTACAAGACATTTTGTAACGTTTACTCTCTTAATTTATCCAATTCCTTTATTTTCTTTTATGTTTATTATGTTTAATGTTTTGTTTTTTATTTTAGACTTATTAACAATATCATGAATATAATTTGCAGTTTAAAACATTTATTACATGATTTTAACATAAAATTATGTAATATATAAAAAATAAATAAACATTTATAAAAAAGTTTATATTCTTCATACAAATAAGACTGTAATTTTAATTTTAGCAATTTTATCAACATTTTGTTTTTTGTTATTTTCCCCCTTTTTTAGTAACATTACTTGTAACTATTTTGCTTTATTAGACTCATTAGTTATTATTAGTTATTATTAGTCTTATTATTATTATTATTATTATTATTATTATTATTATTATTATTATTATTATTATTATTCCTTCGTTTTTTTAAAGAGTTGCAAAAGTTGCAAAAATTTTATTGAAATTTTGCCTTTTTTTACGAGTTAGAAGCAAAAAACAATTAAGATTTATAATAATTAATGATGATTATAATTTCTTATATATATATATATATAAATTTATTTTCTAAAAGACGGGTTAATTTTTTTGTAAGAAGGTCTACTTTCAAACTCCATTCATCGAACATTTAACAAAAGTCCTAATGGTGTCAGCGAATCCTTCTTATATTATTTTTGCACAATATGAAAATTCATCTCAACATTGTTAGTAAAGATAAAAAAAAATTGTGCTTAATAAATCATTATTTTACATTATAATTGAATATTGATACTGTGACTTCTTCAAAATTATTTTCATCATTTCAATTCAATTATTATTTTCTAGAATCTTTAACTAAAATTCTTCTTTAAATCAATTATGTATTTTTAATCCTAATTTTTCAAAAAGTTCTTTGAGAATATTTTAAATCCATTCGTTTACAATTCCATTTTACGAAATTTTGATTATTCGTAAATTCTTCAATTAAATATGTATTAGAGAATAAAAACTTTAAATAATTTCAAAAAAGTTCCATTAAACTTTAAAAAAAAAATAATTCTACAGAATCGTTAGTTAAAAAAAAAGAAAAATTCAGATTTTCAAAGATTTTAATATAAAAATTCAAAAATTTTTTAAATTTCAAAATTCAATTATTTGTAAAAATTCACGCTACAATGCTTTTAATATTCAATTATTATCTCAAATTTTAACTGAAATTCATTTTTAAATCTATTTTTATCAGAAAATTCTACGAAAATTCAATTATTTAAATACAAAAATTAATAATTTATTGAATAATTGAATGTTTCTTAAAATTCAATTTCCACAAAGAATTTTATCAACAAATGTTTAAATAATTGAATTTTTTCGACGAATTTTAATAAAGTTTTTAAGAAAAATCACATTTTTCGAGGAATTTGATTAAAATTTTATTAAAAATAATTGAAATTCGGCGATGAATTTTATTATTTATGAGAATAATTGAATTATTGCGAAGAAACTTATAAAAAATTTGTAAATAATTAAATTCCATGTGAAATTTTTTTTTTTTTATAAAAATAATTAAATGTTTGCGTAGAATTTTATTTAAATTTTTTTTTTAAAAAAATAGTAGATATTGAAAGTCATTGAATTGAATACAAATTTTTGAAAATAATCGAAATTTTGCCAAAAATTTTATTAAAATTTTAGAAAGTATAATTGAAATTTTTTGCCAAGAATTTAATTAAATTTTTAGAAAATAATTGAAATTTTGCGAAAAATTTTATTTAAATTTTTGAAAATAATTGAATTTCGAAAAAGATTTTTTTATTAAAAATTATTAAAAATTCTGTTATTTATAAAAAGATAATTAAATTTTTAACAAGATTTTTTTTAATTTTTTGAACTTAATTGAATTTTTGCAAAGAATTTTATTACTTTTGAAATAAAAATAATTGAATTTCTCCAATTATTTGTAATTTCTTTAAAATTCAAATTTTTTTTTTTTAGTGTCTATAAGTAAAATTATTCTGTAAATTCATTATTTTTTATAGACTAATTAAATATATATATATTTAAAAATTGAAATTTTATAAAATTTCGAAAATTCGAATTAAAATCTTTTTGAAGTTCATCTATTTATGAAAATTTTAAATGTAACTCTTTTAAAATGTAATTAATATTGAAATATTTAATATTCAAAAAAGCTTTTACGTCCGAGTTGCTTTTTCAATTAATAGGTAAAATAATTAATTAATTAATTAATTAAAAATGAATTAATTATTTTTTATATTTTTATTTACTTATTTCTTTTTATTTCATTTAACTTTATATTTTTATTTATTTATTTCATTCTATTTATTATCTAATTCTCATTTATCTATTAACTATTTTATTTATTAATTAACTTAAATTTCCACTTTTATTAAAATTAACATTTTACATATTCAAAAAGACTTTTTATAAATTTCAGTTACTAACTCCAAAATGACACATTCCATTTTTTTGACTAAAATTTCTTTTAATTTCTTCAACATGTAATGTTCTTATAATTTATATTATTTTTTTTATTTTATTTTAGTTATTGTTGTTTCTAACTATTATTTAAAGTCTTTGTGTATTCAATTTATATTGTTTAATGTTTCTAAATTATTGTCTAATTTCTTAGTAATTTTGTTTTGTATTTTTAATTTTTATTTTATATTTTTTGTTTTTCTGTATATTATTTTCTAGACTCCCTGAAGAGGAAATCGTATTGATTTCGAAACGTTGGAGTAATTTTTTTTAATAAAAAACCACTTGTCCAAATGTATTCGTGTAAAAAAATTTATTTTACCTATTAATTAAAATATTTAAGTAAAATTATTCATTAAATAATCTATGAGTAATAATTTTATGATAGTTTTTCAAGAATTAAATTACTTATTTAAAAAGAAATTATTGTCAAAAACTTTTACTATTTTTGTAGACAATTTTTTTTTAATAATAAATAATAATAAATTAATTAATTAATTACTGTTAATAATGTTATATTATATTAATGTTATAATAAATAAACTTTAATATTGGAATAGGGTAAACGTACCAATTGTCGAGGATGGTTCCTGTTGTCGAGTAAACAAACTTTGAATTTTATTTAAACAGTGTAGCACATTGTAAATGAAAAAAAGTAATAAATATTAATTTTTTTATGCGTTATAAATGTAAAAAAAGTATATTAATATTATATAAACAAACAAATGAGACATTTTAGACAATATTTTTTGGTTATTACCATGGTAACATCGACAAATGGAACACCCTCGGCAATTGGTACACTTACCCTATAACAGAAATAATTTTACATTATTTCATCATAAAAATTACTCATCCACAAATTGCTAATGAATCGAATTCACAGAAATAAAATTATACAAAAGAGAAAAATGCGGGGGATTTTATTTCGATGTGTAGGGGGAAGGAGGGGAAAGCGGGGAGGTAAATGTGTATAAAAATCGATAGCGTTTCATGTATAGAATAATTATAAAGTTGTGATGAAAAAAAGGAGAAATTATCTCATAATTGAAGGAAAATTTTCCCCCTTGGGAAGTACCGAAAGAAATGAATTATTGTAATTAAATAAATATTAAGATAACGGTAATTTTTTTTTTTTTTTTGAAAAATATTCCGTTAGGCATAAGAAATAGAAAAAAATAGAGAATAATAAAAATTTACCTCTGCTTTTTCGAAACCATCTGGATTCATCGAGGGCATTAAAAATATATCCGTATTATCGACGAGCCTCGTTACTCGTTGATCCTTTCCATAATTATGAAGAAGATATTGTGCGAGATAAATGAGAAGTTCCCTGCCAACTGATTCGTCGCCATGCATATTCGCGACATATTTAACCATTGGTTCACCAATATCACGTTGCGCGACATTTTTCGATATTTCAATTGCCAATAGTTCTCGATTCTCAACAGATTTTCCAATTGAATGAATTTTCACTAAATCCGGATATTGAATGGTGAGATTTTGAAATAATTGCTTTAATTCATCGTAATGTATATAATGGGGTTGAATGAAATCTTCAATTGCTGACGTTCGTAGAGTACTTGTGAACACTGAATTGGCCAAAAGTCCGAGAAAGAGCAGAAAACTTGGGAGTAAAATCATTTTTTTTTTTTTTTGCTATTGGAGTTAACACTTTTTAATTTTTAATTATTTTTTTTTTGGTAGTAAGGTAGAAAAAGTTTTTTTTTTTAATGGAACATTGTGAAATGTTACTTTATTTTCTTGTACTTGTCGCGCTCTTTAGAAATTTAACTTCACCACTGGAACACTTCCAGCAGTTTCAGAAGTTAAAACTCTTCTGAGGTTGACGAGCTGGTTCTGTGTGTTGGGGGAGTGGAACCGAGATAAAGGAGAAAAGCAGGATCTCGCATTGCATTTAACGCAGATTAGTTGACGCAGCTGACGTCATTGGAAATTATCGGCGCGATCACGATTTTGTTTGTTTACCGTGGAAAAAATTGTAAAGAGAGAGGGACTTCTATATCAAAAATAAAAAAAGGGTTTAATTGTGTTATAGTTTATAACAGTGTGAACTAACCATAAAAATGTTTACTATCTCTCTTGCACTCAATTGCTTTTGGTATTAGGGTCTGTCCACAAAGAAATTAATTGAAAGATACAGAACCAGAACGTAACGTGATCGTGTGACGTGTCACGAAAAACATTCCATTCTTACTTTAAATTTTAGTGGAGAATAATATGAATTTTCAAGATCGAATCACTAGATTTAATTGGTTTTGGACCAAAACCAATGAAATCTAGTGATTCGATCTTGAAAATTCATTCAGTCATATGTCATGAACTAAAAGCATTTTAAGGGGCTTTCTACAACTTTTTTTCATAAGGTAGTTCAAGTTGGGTGGGGGAAATGCAATATGGCTGACATCAGCTGATTTACCGGAGGACAAACAATGCATTGAATTCAATGGGACAAATCAGTTTTTTAACCATAACTTTTTAAATATTTATTTTTGAACCATAGTGTAATGGAAAATTATTCTTTATTTATCGAAATCTATTTTTTAAAACAATAAAACCAAAAAATTAAATTTTATTGTTTTAAAAAATAGATTTCGATAAATGAAGAATAATTTTCCATTACACTATGGTTCAAAAATAAATATTTAAAAAGTTATGGTTAAAAAACTGATTTGTCCCATTGAATTCAATGCATTGTTTGTCCTCCGGTAAATCAGCTGATGTCAGCCATATTGCATTTCCCCCACCCAACTTGAACTACCTTATTGACACGAACAAGATGCACTGCAAAATAGTTGCGCGCGCACCGTTTTCACGTTCATGTCAATGAAAAAAAGTTGTTGTAGAAATAGCTTAACAGAAATAACATTTTCGATTATTATGTCCAAATGTAAAATAAAGCTTTAAAAAGCGATTGATTGCTCAAAATTATTTTAAATTCTCAATAAAAAAGATAAAAGAACATTCAGATCGAGAATATTCTCATGCTCGAGAGATGCGCACAAACAGGAAATTGTTGTTCGCGCATCACCCTTAAGTTGTGTTCACAACATTTTTTTTCAACGTCACGAACAAAATGCACTGTCAAGACAATATGCGCGCGCATCAATGTTCAGTTGCTAAAATTCTTATTTTACTTTAAATAAATAAACTAATTAATCGAACTCGATAAATAATTAAATAATTATTATTACATTGATTTAAAATTCATTTACTTCGCTTATTTAATCAGTTTATAAATTATAATATTAATAAGTAAAATAAAAATTTCTAAAGTTGCGCGCGCATTGTCTTGACTGAATTTAATGTTGGCGTCGAAAGTTTGTTGTAGAAGCACCTTAGAGCGCCTTTTAACCAATTCCATTTTTTTTACGTAAGATACCCATTTTTACATTATCCGTGACTATAAAAACTATACGGCACTGATTGTAGAAACACCTTAAAAATTAAATTCCTGTAGAGCTTAAAAATTTGTGACCTATCCGCTTTGATTCGCATCATTCGCTTGTTTTCTCGTAATGGTGGATTGTCGTTTGTTCTACACTACACACAGTAATGTTAACGGTGAAAGAAAAGAACTTGAATATTTTTCGTGTTTAGTGAAAATTAATTATACATTATAGTATGTCGATCAAGGTAAATTTTACATTTTTATCACAAATCCAGTAGACGCACACTTGTGTTTTTCTTTTCATTTCAACAACACCCCTCTGAAATAAATATATTAATTATATGAACGGGAAAAAATGTTTAAGTTTGCAAGCGTTTTTTTAAAAGCTAAAAAGTGAAATCCTTTATTTTTATAATTTACAGCAAAATATAATAATCACCGAAGCAGAAAAAGCATATCGCACAAAATACTATCATTGTAAGTGAAGTTTTTTCAGAATCAATTTTTTTTTCAATTTCTGTTTTTTCTCTCCATGTGAAATAAGCAAAAAAAAAAAAAATGTTTTTCTTAACTTTTTGGTATTTTCTCTTTAATTTGTCAATGAATTTAAAGAAAATTAAAAATATACATTTTTTCGATAAACATAAAGACAAAGGATTTTAATTTAGAGACAAAAATAAATGTAAATAAAAATGTCTACTTTCCGTTAGAGCTAAATTGACGGCAAGAGTAATAAGAAAATTTTATTTCATGTTTATTTAATTTGAAAGGTTAGAAAATTAAATTATTAATTATTTTATTTATTCATTGGAAATTTTTGTCGATTAAAATTCCCATAGAGAGTTTTTATTATCGTTTATTTATTTATTGAGAGCACAATTAATGACATTCACGTGAAATATTAAAATTTATTTAGTTTTGATAACAAAAACATAACGATCATTGGGAAGGTCAAAGCGAGTGTTGTTATATATTTTTAAAAAAATATTTTTTTTTTCATTATTTTAAAAAAGAAATTTTAATCATGCAATGAAAATGTAATTAATATATTTTAAAAAATAATTTTTTAATTGCATGCCTCAAAATTTTTTTTTAATTTATAATTCATAATTAATGAAAAACAATTTCTTTTTAGAAAAAAAAATTTAAATACTTATTTTGAATTAAATTTTTTAATTAATGGAAATTAAAGAATAAATTTATAAAAAGTGGTCTTCAAATATTTTAATTAATTTAAAATTAATTAAAGTAATTTAAAGACAATTTTTAAAAATGATTTACAAAACACGGTGTTTAAATTTTAAGTTTTAATTAATTAAAATAATTTGAATACTATTTTTTATAAATCTATTCTTTAATTTTCGTTATTAAAAAAATTTAATTGAAAATAATTTAAATGTATTTTTCAAAATTAAAAGAAATTGTTTTTCATTAATTATAAATTATAAATTAAAAAAATTTTTGAGGCATGCAATTGAAAAATTATTTTTTAAAATATATTAATTACATTCTAATTGCATGTCTACAATTTCTTTTTTATATTTATAATGAAAATAAAAAATTTTTAAATTTTCTAATTTGTTAACAAAATTATTCTTTAATATATAATAAGATATTTTAATTAATTAAATTAAATTAACTATATTATAAATAAAATTAAAATCAAATATACTAAATTAAATACTTAATTGCAGTTTTTAATTTTCTTTTGAATTCTAAAATTGATTAATTTTTATTTTTGCATAATTTGATGAGTGCATTTATTTTTGTGTCAAAACATTATTTGACTTTTTATTATTTTTTGTTTACTAAACGAATAATGATAATAGAAAAATATTTTTTTGTGGAAATAGTAAAAATTAAAGTTATTTTTTTATGTTTACAGTTTTTCAAGTGGTGAGTAAGCGGCAAATCTCTTGCTGTTCCTGTGGCAACGAACTAAGTCCATCATCGAAATTTGTATTTAGTCATCCTATTTTGGAAATCCTACAATGTAATGTAAGTAATTTTGTTTATTATATTTTTTTAAGGGAACTTTCTAGTCAAGGATTTAAAATAAAATTGATGTTATAAAATTTACTCGGAAAATATCGAATTTTTTTTTAATAAAAATTATTCAATTTCCCTCGAATATTACAATTAGTTATTAAATATTCTTGTTTTTAGAGTAAATTTTACTATTTTTGAAATAAGTTTTTCTAACTTTTTATTTAAAAAAAAATTGTTTTTGAAAATAGTAAAAATTACTCTGGAAATAACAATTTTTAAATAAATAAATTTTTTTTTATAGAAAAAACTTTTTGATACAATTCTACAAAAAGATTCAATTATTTTCATAAATAACAAAATTTTATTTTCTAATTCAATTATTTTCATCGAAGAATTTTAAATATTTTTAATACAATTTTAAATAAATTCCTTGAAGAATGCAATTATTATTAAAAATTTTATTAAAACTTTGAGAAAAGAATTGAATTTTAAGAAACATTCAATTATTCAATAGAACAATAAAATTCGTTGCAATAATTCAAATATTTTCATAAATAACATTTAATCGTCGCAGAAAATCAATTATTTTCAAAAATTGTTAAGAAATTTTGCAAAAGAATTCAATTAGCTTGATAAACAACAAAATAGCATAAATTCTTCCCATAAAATCAATTATTCTAAGGAATTTTAATAAAATTCTTTTCCAAAATTTAATTATTTTGATAAATATCAATATTCATCACAAGAATTTAAATAAAAGTATTGATGTTTTTGAATAATTTAACTTTTGAAGAAATTTGTAAATAAATTTAATAGAACATTTTTTTCGTATCTAATAATTTTGAGAGTGAATCAGAATATTCTTTAGGGTCAGGGAAAAAGTGAAAGTTGTGTTTGGAAATCAGGGAAAAGTCGGGGAAAAATAAAGTTTAATTTTTGTGTCAACCCTGTAAAAATAAATTATATTTTTATCTTTATTTAACCAATTTTTATGGTCCCTTAAAAGTCCCCTATTTTTTAATTTTTATTCCTCTATTTCCCCTAAAATACTTTTTAGGGGCAGTGTGAAGCCTAAAATATACTATCTACTGGTTATCGAAACCTGTGTCCGACGGAGGGTCAAATTCTTCTCTATATTAAAATAAAGTTTTTTTTAAAAATTTGTTCTAGACGTGTTTGGATAAATTCAAGAATACAAATTTTAAATCCAGTAAAAGCAAATGTCTCATTTGCTGTAGCAGTAGTACATACAATTGTAGCAGTAAATCCTGTCCGCACGAGTTTTGTCGGGTGAGTATTCAAATACAGTATAATTTTTTTTTGTAAGGCCTAACAGGTGTTGTAACACTATTTTTACCTTCGCTCTATGATTTAAGAAAGGAAATAGGTAGTTTCTTATAATTTTCTCTAAAATGCGAAATAGCGATTTATCCGCACCCTTAGACTAACGGTCTATAGTTTCTTTATCACTATTCTACATATTATTTTAACCGAGATTTTAAATAGGTATCTATTTAGTAAAATTAATTCTAGGACTAAAGATGAGCTTAAAAAAATTAAAGCTTAAAAGCAGCTAATTAATGTAAATTAAAAATTGAAATCCGTTTATATTAATTGATAAACTCTAGATTCTGATCGTAAATAATTATAAAATTACGAATAAATTGAAATTTAATATGGATATACTTTAATACGTTGCTCTCCACCTGCGAACGCCAAGGTCACCGCTAGGTGGCAGTTCAGTTTCTTCTTGGAATTTTTCTTGCCACCTGGTGGTGACCTTGGCGTTCTCAAGTGGAGAAATTAAATCGCAGTTTATTCCCCAATTTTTTTCTTAATCAATCAAGACTCCCAGTTAGGAAGTCCGGGGTTAAAAGTTGATATTTAACGTCCAGAATTGATTGATTTTTAGAAATGCATTAAGAGAAACGTAAATAAATGCATTCAAGAGGCTGAGAAGGACAACTGGAAATGTTTTGTATGTAACGTGAAGCCATTTTGGGAATTAAGAGGAATTTGTGCTGCTATTATGGCTTTACCAAACAAGTAAGAACTAACTTTCATTCTTTCTGTTGTTTTTTTTTGTAATTTAAAAAAAAATTCACTAATCTTATGATTTATTTGAAATTAGAAATGGGATTCGGATATTTAAAAGTTTAACTTTTATTTATTCTTTCTTAATTTGAAGTAAATTTTTTTGCAAATTATTTCTCAAAAAAGAAAGTTCTAAATTATTTTTTAAAAGAGAAAAATTATTTTCAACCTAGATTATGATAATGTGGAGAAAAAAAAAGTGTAATTTCAAGCGTCGCATTGCATATTCTTATTCGCTTTTCCTTATGTAGTTCTTTCTGTAGCCTATCCCAGTTCATTTTGACTAACATTTCCATAAAAGAAAAATTTATAAAAATTTATTTGATCCTTTGAGGAAATTTTTATTTACACATTATTCCGCCAGAACAATTCTTTTCTCAATATTTTTTTTTTGAGAAAAAATTTAATTTCAAGAAACTAAAAGAAAATTTATAAACAAAAAAAAAAAAAAAATATGAAAACAGTCCGAAAACCTTTCGTCTTCTCGAAATGTCTCGTTCAGAAAGAATCAACACACGAAGAGCGAATAGAAGTTTGCATATGCAACGTTCAAACTTCAGTTAGACTATTTTGAAGGACTGAAACTTTGTTTCAGAAGACAATCATTGCGGAATAAGGAGAAAATAAATTCTCCCTATCAACAAAGAAAAATGCGAAAATCAGAGAGAACTGTTAAGAGATTAACAAAAATTTGTGACGTCTCAAGTGGCGATAGTTCTGATGAAGATGTAAATAAAGTTCGTCCACTATTTCAACCAAATAGACGTAAACTTTATTCCTCAATTAAGGAGAACATTGAAATTATTCAGGAAAATATTTCCAGTGACGACGACGATGATGATAATGATGATGATGAAGGAAAGAAAGATCGAAAGAAAGCAACATCGAAATTTCATAAAAATTTCTCAATCTATTTTACAAATTTAAGAAAATCACTCGCTAAAATTTCTACCGCTATCGATGCATGTGAGGAGCAATGTCGTAATAAAATTTTTACATCAAAAAACGATGCACTCGAAATAACGAAAAGTTTCGAGAGCGTTCTCATGGAAACCGAAACCCTATCGATCGAAAATTCGAAGGAAATCAATAAAACCTATCAATCGTGGTCTAGAAATTATAGTTCATACTTTAGAGAAAAGAATGGTTACAAGAAACGAAAGAAGAAAAAAAATAGTTCAACAAATGATGAAGACGAGGAGAAAAATGGCACCGAAGAGGAACCAATCGAAAAGAAGAGAATTCTAAAAGTAACAAACAATGAAGTTCCATCTGATTGCGATTCCGATGAAATATTTTCCGCTAACGATAAAACAAATTCATTAGATAAATCTGACGATTCCACGAGGAGGCAGAACGAAAATTCTCATGGGGAGAAGAGGAAAAAATTAACCTCCGAAGAGGAAGACAGTCAGAAAACAATAATAAGATCTAGACATAATTCTTCTTTGGAAGATTGTTCCAATGATAAGGAAACGGATAAATCGAGAAAGGATTCAAGAAAGGATTCGAGAAAGGATTCGAGAAAGACATCCGATTTAGAAAATTTACATTCCACTGGTAGATTAACAAACGATTCTGATGATGATAGAGTATCGACAGAAATTGAGAGAGAAGAAAATACCGAAGAGAAGGCGAAGAAAAAATTACTCGAATCAAGTAGTTCGGAGGAAATTAAAAAACGAACCTCGAGTGATGATTCGCCAACTGACGACGAAAGCGCTTCCAAAACAAAGAAAAAGAAACTTAAGGAAAAAATTTCCGAGAGTTCCGAGAGTGAAAGGAGGGAAAAACGAACTGAAGAGCAAAAGGAGAAATTACTAACTAGTGATTCTGATTCTGGAAACAAATCCTCAGATTCGAAGAAAGAAAAAAGTGAGTCAATGAAAAAGAGGAAAAAATCGGAGGAGAAAGCAAAGAAGAAGTTGCTACAAACAAGTAGTCCGAGTGAGGACTCGGATTCGGGAAAAACAGCCGATTCGATGGCAAATGAATCAGAGGTGGAGAAAACAAGTGAAGAAAGAGATAAAACTTCCAGAAGGGACAAAAAATCGGAAGAGAACGCAAAGAAGAAGTTACTTCAATCAACCGATGATTCAGAGTCTGAAAAGGAGAAAAAATCCACGGAATCGAAGAAAAAATTGCTGCAAACTAGTGACGAGACGGACTCCGAAAGAAAGAAGGAAAATTCTGAGGAGAACGCAAAGAGAAAATTACTCGAGAGCAGCGATGATTCCGATTTGGAAAAGGAGACAAAAAAAGAATCAAGACCCGAAATAATTGAAGAAACCCCCGAAGAGAAGGCGAAGAAAAAATTACTCCAGACTAGCGATGATTCCGATTCGGAAAAAGAAAAAAAATCGAAAAGTATTGAAAGCACCGAAGAGAAGGCGAAGAAAAAGTTACTCGAAACGAGCGATGATTCCGAAAAGGAGGCGAAAGGAAACTCGAGAGCGGAAAGAATTGATGAAACACTCTCTAATGACGATCAGAGTTCGGAGGAAATCGCGAAGAGAAAATTACTTCAGTCAAGTGACGATTCCCAATCGGAGGCAACTCAGAACCAAAATTCAAAAGAAGAAGAAGAAAGTGAAGAAAGAGATGAAAGAGAAGAAAGAGATGAAAGAAAAGAAAGATCTACTACCGAAAAAGAAAAGAAAAAACCCAACGATAATGATAAATCGAAAAAAGAATTAGAAGCAAAAAGAAAATTACTCGAATCAAGTGATTCGTTGTCAGAGAAAGAAATCACACCGAAGAAAAATTCCACTGAAGAAAATACGGAAGCATCGGCAAAACGAAAATTACTCGAGTCCAGTGACGAATCATTTAACGAAAGAAGAAATTCGAAGGAAATGGAAAAAAATTCTGAGGAAGAGGCAAAGAAAAAATTATTAATATCAAATAGTGATTTATCGTCTGTCGATGATTCGAAAAAAAAGGGAAAAAAAAGAAATTCATCATTATCGTCGTTTTCTTCTTCTTCTTCATTGTCATTGGATGAGAAAAGTCAGGATTTATTTACATCATTCGATGTTGAGAATTTAAAGAGAAAGAGAAATAATTCTGATGATGATGATAATGATGATGATAATAATTCTGAAACATGTCGTCAGAGACGTAAGAAAAAATTTAAAATTACCAAAAATCAATTTTACAGAGCCGATGAGAAACTACGTAAGGCGTGTCGTGTTGAATTAGAAAGATTGGGTAGGAATGTTCTTAGAAATCATGCGAGAGCACTGAAAAAATCGAGACAACATCTGGAGCGAGAGAAGCATAAAAGGTACTCGGATTTTTCAAATAAAACGATGGCAATCAATTTTTGTTTTTCTTATTGTATTCTTTTCTTTGAATCGTTAATATTCCATTACACTGAATTTGATCTAATCTCGAATTTTTATTTTAAGAGATTTTTAAGGAAATAATACCTAATTAAATTCCCCTAAATCGAAATGCAAGCAAATAAAAATTTTCCTTATCGAAAATTTTCTTTTGTTAGAGATTCGATAATTTAAAATTCGACATTAAACAAATTTTTTATAAGTTCAGTGTGAGAAATATTTACGCGTCTGTTTTTAGTAATTTTATTGATGGTTTATAGATTTAAATAGTATTTTTAGTTATCATGAACATCCTATTCAAAAATATCCTTTATCCAAAAAATTATCCAAATCTGACAAATTCCTTTCTAATATTTTTCTTATTTTTTAATTGTAAAATTCTAGTAAACAAAAATAAAATAAACAAAAAACAATAAAAAAAAAAATTGCTAATACATAAATTATAAAATTAGTCTAATTATTTGGAAATTTATTCTTTAAATTGAAGCGAATTTATGATGTCTGAAAAATAGTACATTATTAACAATACCCGTTTCACTTTCTAGTTATTTAATATTTTAATAATTATTTTAATTAATAAAACAATATTATGAAATAATTAAATTTCAATTGTAATATTTTTTTTTATAATTTCGAATGAAAATTTTCTAGTCTTTTATCAATGGATAATTTGGAGAAAGTACGAAAACGCAATAAGTTTGTTTCATCGTCGGACGATGATAACGATGGTTCTGAATCCAAAGTAAATCAACGAAATCGAAAGAAAGTCAACGAGAAGGATGACACATTAATGGATCATTTGAATAAAGTGGAAAATGGTGAAGTTGATGATAAACAGGAGCTAATGAAAACTTCTGACGATGAATCCGCAAATGAGTTGCCAAAAAAAATTGTCACAAAAAAAGATCTTTTCAATGCTGCTGAACAGAATGCTAAAGATTTATTACTCGCCAGTTCTGGATCAGATGTTGGTGAGTTATTAATTATATATTACAATTATTATCATTTCTTTTGGCAATTCTTTTTTTTTTTTTATTTTATTTCCAAAACAGGGTTGCCACGCAACCTGGAAACCTGGAAAACCTGGAAATGTCAAAGAATTTTATAAACCTTGAAAAAACCTGGAAAAGTCAGGGAATTTTGATCGAAATCCTGGAAAATTGTTATTTTCTAAAGTTTATTCTTGAAATCTAATTTTACATAAATATTTGAAAATTAATTGAATTTTAAAAGAGTTGCGTTTACAATTTTCATAAGTACAGATAAATTTCAAAAGATTTTAATTTGAAATTTTGTAAAATTTCAATTTTGAATGAATTTAACTAGAAATCGTCTTAAGGGCATGTTATTCAGTGGTCACGTGCCCCATATACTTTACTATGAGTCACGTGACCCCTGAATAACATAACCTTAAGGAACGTAAACTTTTGAGAAATTTTAATTATTCCAATTCTTCTGAAATTAGTTAAATTTTTTAATATATATTTTTAATTGATTATTAAAAATAATGGATTTATAGAAGAATTTTAATTAAAAACACTAAAAGAAATTAAATTTTGAAGCAATTACAAATGATTGCAGAAATTCAATTATTTTCAAAAGTAGTAAAATTTTTCTTAGAAATTCAATTATTTTTAACAATTTTAATAAAATTTATGGCAAAATTTCAATTATTTAAAAAAACTTTCCTCAATTCAATAATTTTTTATAAATCTACTACTTTTATAAAATTGTCCAAAAGAATTCAATTTTTTAAAAAAATTTTTAATAAAATTCTACGAAAACATTTTTTTTTTTTCATAAATAATAACATTTTTTACAGGAATTCAATTATTTTCATAAATAACAAAACTCATCGCTGACTTTAAATTATTTTTTATACAATTTTTTTTTTTTTTTTTTTTTTTTTTTTTTTTTTTTTTTTTTTTTTTTTTTTTTTTTTCTCGAAAAATGAAATTATTCTCAAAAATTTTATTAAAATTCATCAAAAAATTCAATTATTTTAAAAACCTTTGCTATAATTTATTTATTAGAATTTAAGTATTATTTTCTATAAAGTTTTAATTAAATTTCTTGAAAAAAATTAAATTATTTTCAAAAATTTTAATGAAATTCTTTGTAACAATTCAATTTTTTTCAAAATAATTTTAATAAAATTCTTCACAGAAATTTAAATAATTTCAAAAATTTGTCAAAATTCAATTATTTTCCATGACTACTATTTCAATAAAATTTCATAAAAGAATTCAATTATTTGAAAAGACATTTTAATAAAATTCGTCCCAAGAATTCAATTATTTTCAAAAGTAGTAAAATTCTTCTTAGAAATTCAATTATTTTCAACAATTTTAATAAAATTTATGGCAAAATTTCAATTATTTAAAAAAACTTTCCTCAATTCAATAATTTTTAATAAATCTACTACTTTAATAAAATTGTCCAAAACAATTGAATTATTTAAAAAAATTTTTAATAAAATTCTACGCAAACATTTCATTATTTTCGTAAATAATAACATTTTTTATTCAGGAATTCAATTATTTTCATAAATAATAAAACTCATCGCAGACTTTCAATTATTTTTAATACAATTTGAATGGAATTCCTCGAAAAATGAAATTATTCTAAAAAATTTTTATAAAATTCATCAAAGAAATTCAATTATTTTAAAAACCTTTGCTACAATTTATTTATTAGAATTTAAGTATTATTTTCTATAAAGTTTTAATTAAATTTCTTGAAAAAATTAAATTATTTTCAAAAATTTTAATGAAATTCTTTGTAACAATAATTCAATTTTTTTAAAAATAATTTTAATAAAATTCTTCGTAGAAATTTGAATAATTTCAAAAAATTTGTCAAAATTCAATTATTTTCAATGTCTACTATTTTAATAAAATTTCATAAAAGAATTCAATTATTTAAAAAGACATATTTTAATAAAATTCGTCTCAAGAATTCAATTATTTTCAAAAATTAATATAATTTTTCGCAGAAATTTAATTGTGTTCAATAATTTACAAAAATTCTCGTCAAAATTTCAATAATCTTTATAAATTTTTCTCCGAAATTCAATTATTTTCAAAAATTTTAATAAAATTCTCGGCAAAAATTCAATTATTTTCAAAAACTCTTAAAAAATTCTTTGGAGAAATTCAATTATTTTTAATTGAAATTTTAAACAAATTTCCGAGAAAAGAACTTATTTTTAAAAATTTTATTAAAATTTGTCTAGAGAAATCAAATATTCAAAAATTTGTTGAGAAAATTCTTTCTGAGAGTTCAATTTTACGAAATATTCAATTATTCAATAAATTATTCATTTTTGTATTTCAATAATTGAATTCTCGTGGATTTTTTTTTAGTAAATATTGATTTAAAAATTAATTTCAGTTAACATTTTACATTATCATTAAATATTAAAAGCTAATAGCGTAAATTTTTAGAAATAATTGAATTTTAAAAAGATTTCAAATTAAAATCTTTGAAAACTTTAACTTTTCGTACTTTTTGATTAACAATTCTATAGAATTAATTTTTTTAAAAAAGTTTAATTGAATTTTTCTTTAATTCTTCAAGTTTTTATTTTCTAATATATATTTAATTGAAGAATGTCAGAATAATCGAAATTACGTTAAATTGTAAACAAAAGAATTTGAAAATTCTCAAAGAACTTTTTCAAAAATTATAAAAAAAAAATTAAGTTCAAGAAGAATTTTAGTTAAAAATTCTAGAAATGAGCAATTGAATTGAAATGAAAATAATTTTGAAGAAATTACAGTAACAATAATTTTATAATATAAAATAATGATAGTATCAAGTTTTTATGATTATAAAACATGAAGAAAGCGATTACTCCGAGTCGAAGACTCGGAGTGATCGATATCTTCATGTTTTATAATAATATTCTTATATGTTATTGAATTTAAAATTTTTAAAAATCTTAATATTCATAATTATAATTAATAATATTTTTTAAAAATAATTCTATTTCCGAAAACAATTTTAAAAAATTGAAACAATTGAAAATTTTATAAAATTTCATTGAAATAAATTTTTTATTTTAATAAATTTTATTTGTTTATTTTTAAAAATTATTTTGAAGAAATTTGAATATTTAAAACTATTTTTGAAGAATTCGAATTTAAAATTTGGAAAATAATTGAATTAAATTTAATACTTGTAGTGAAAAAATACTCATAACACGATAATGAATAAATTTATTTTCTCACCTCAATTTTTTTTACGTGTTTTAAAAATAGAAATGGCACCTGAAATTTTCGATGAGACTGAAAATGCGATAGAGGAGAATAAAGGCAAGAAAAATAAAGAAAAAGCGCCTAAAGAATCGAAGAAGAAAGAAAAAGTAGAGGAAGTAAAAACTGAGGAAGACAAATCAGAGAAAAATAACAGCGATGATTCCTCAACTGACGAAAAGGTAAATTAAATAAATTCTTTCGGTTGCATATAATTATTTATAAAATAATTCTAAATTTTTGAAATAAAATTAATTTTTTCCTTTTTTATTAATAATTGTATATATATTATAATTAAGAATAAATAAGTTTTTTTTACACCTTCTGTTCTTTTTAGTTTGTCAAGAATTAATTAATTTTTTGTCTTTTTCTCCCTTTAGGAATCTAAGAAGCAAACGGCAAAGGACAAATACAAAAATGATAAATTACTTAGCACAAAAATTTCAGATTCAGATTCTGAAGTTGAGAAAGCAAAGTTCGATAAGCGAAAAAAGAAATTGGAAGAGAAAGAGAAAGAGAAGAAGAAAAAGAAGGACGAGTGAGTTTTCTTTTAAATAAATATTTTATCTAATTATCGAAATTTATAATAATAATGATAATAATAATAAAAATGTGTTAAAATTTAAATAATTATATTACAATTTTTAATTATTTAAAGTTTGCTTAAGAATATTTTTAGGTGTAAATTATTTATTTAATTTTATTGTATTCTTTTTCAGTTCCAGTTCAAATGAAGAGGATTCGCAAATTAAAAAAAAGAAAAAGCGTGTCAAGAGAAAAATATTAGATTCAGATTCGGATATTGAAATTCTCAGTGACTCGGAGGAAAGTTCAAGTTCTTCAAAAGCCTCGAAATCGAAGGAAGATACGAAAAAATCACGTAAACGAGGAAAACAAAAATCTACAGACTCTGATGATTCAATTGAAGAGAAAAAGTAAATTTTAATCGACTTTTATTATTAAAAATCAAAAGGAATTGCAAATGTTTTAACTTTTTTAATTTCAATTATTACATTCTTTTTTCTATTATATTTTCAATTATTTATTCTCTATTTTATTGATTTATTTATTATTTATTTTACTTTTTTTTTTATTTTTGATTTTTAAATTTGCATCTATTTTTTGCACATTTCAAAATGGTTTTGTTTTATAATTTTTTTTTTTTGTTCTTTTCAGACCGAAAACTAAAAGAAAACGAATAAAACCAGTTAGCGATAGTGATAGCGATAGCGAGGCTGTCACTAATTCACAGAGTTCACCAATTAAGGGTGGCAGAAAAAATATACGAAAAGTTCTCAAAGACAAACAAGTCGCCGATGACACAAAACAAGCGGCTAAAGAAGAAGAGGAACGTCTCAAGAGAATCGCAGAAAGACAAAAAGTGGTAAGAAAAAATATAATTCTCTCAGAGGAAAAGCTGTTTTATCTAAATCTGATAAATCATTTTTAAAAATATTAATTAAATTCGATTATTTTCAAGAATTTCAATATTAAATTACACGGCCCGTGTAAATAAATAAATAAATTCAATTACTTTCAAAAATTTTGATAAAATTCTTTTTAAAAAATAATTTTCAAAATTTTTTAATAAAATTCGTTCAAATAAATTCAATTATTTTCAAAAATTCAGATAAAATTCTTCGAAACAATTCAATTAATTTTATAAATTGTAAAATTCTTGCCAAGAATTCAATTATTTTTGTAAATAATAAAATTATTCTAAAAAATTCAATTCTTTTCAATCCAATTTTCATAAAATTTCTAGGAAAAAATTCAATTATATTCAAGATAATTTTTAATAAAATTTATCTAACAGAATCAATTATTTTTAAAAATTGTAATAAAATTTTTCTAAAAAATTCAATTGTTCTCAAAAGTTTTTAATAAAATTCTTTGTAAATTTCAATTATTTTCCAAATTTTCAATTAAAATTTACTTTAAAAAATTACATTATTTTTATGAAATTTAATGAAATTCTTAAAAAAAAAATTTAATCATTTACAAAAACTCTAATAAAATTGTTTAAAAGAATTAAATTTTCTATGAATAATTTTAATATAATTTAATAGGAAAATAGTTAATTACAATTAATAATAAACACAATTATTTTAAAACTTTGAAATGAATTTTTGAAATGAATTCAATTATTTTCAAATTTTGTTTTTGTTTTATTTATTTATTTTAATTTATTGAATTTATATTGTTTTCGATTTTTCAGTACAATGAAATGTACGAGATTCGATTGGCGGGAGAGGAAAAAGTTGATAAATTGGTATTAGATTTTGATGAGGAGACGAAGAAGGAATTAATCTCGGTTGATCCTGGATTAGTGAAGCGTTTAAAACCCCATCAGGCAAAGGGAATAAAATTCATGTGGGACGCCTGTTTCGAGTCTGTGAGTCGAATTAATTCGTCCAAGGGCTCGGGATGTATTATTGCCCATTGTATGGGCTTAGGAAAAACTTTTCAAGTCGTCACATTGGTTCACACTCTTCTCAGCCATAAGGAGACTGGTGTTAATAATGTAATGATTGTCTGTCCGCTGAGTACAGCTCTCAATTGGGCCGGCGAATTTGAAATGTGGCTCAAGGATCTCAAAAATTATGACGACATTGATGTCATCGAACTCGGAAGGTAAATTTCTCCTTTTTCTTTTATTTTAAATAAAAAAAAAAATTAAAGAATTATTAATAATTAATTTTAATTAAAAATTCAAATTGTTTGAAATTTTAATTTCTGTGGAAAAATAAATAAAAATAAGAGTTGAAAATTGTACTCGAATTCGTGCGAAGAATTTTATTGAATTTTTTATTTAATATGTCTAAAATAATTGTCTTTTTTTTTCATTTTAGATTTAAGCAGAATTTCGAGAGGAAATATCAGCTTGAATATTGGAAGAAAAATGGCGGAGTATTAATAATTGGCTATGACATGTTTCGTACGTTGACGGCAACTGGTAAAAGACTGAAAAAATCAATGCAAACATCGTTCTTGCAATGTTTAGTTGATCCAGGACCAGATGTTATTGTCTGTGATGAAGGTCATTTATTGAAAAATGAAGATACAGCATTGAGCAAGGCAATGCGAAGAGTTAAAACACTTAGAAGAGTAGTTCTCACTGGAACTCCACTGCAGAACAATTTAGTAGAATGTAAATTATTTTCACTTTCCTTAATAGTTTTATTGAATACACTCGAATCTTGTTATAACGAATCTCGTTACAACGTTCTCTCGTTACAACGAACATTAAAACTCTCGATACAACGACAAAAAAAACACGAACGAATTTAAGAATTTAATTTAACCAAAATTTTGGTTAACTCAAAAAAAAACGACTAAGTTAATCAACCCTTAACTTTATTTAACCTAAAGAATCAGTGATCTGATTATTATTAAAAATTCTTACTTTTTCTTTTAACTGATTCCATAATGCAGAAACTTTTAATATAAATAAACATACTTTACGAAATTTTTTACACGTATTTGACGTTTTGTTCTGTTAATCACAGATAAATTCATGTGTTTGAATAGAACGTGAAGTAGGATTCCTCCTTCCGTCGTAATATCGAGATTTCGAAGTCCCAAGATCGTCGTTATAACGAGAATCGAGTGTATTCCAAAAATTATTATTTAAAATTCAATTTTAATAATTTAATATTTTAAAAATACATAAATAATGAAATTCTTCGAAGAAATTCATTTTTTTTTTAAATTTTCACAAATATCTCGTCAAGAATTCAATTATCTTTACAAATAGCAAAATTTTTCGCCCAAAAATTCAATTATTTTCAAAAATTTATACAAATCTTTGCAAAAGTTCAATTACTTTCACAAGTTTTTTGCAATTCAGTAATTTTCAATATTTACTATTTTCATAAAATTTATCAACAGAACAGATTTAATTATAGAAAAACCTTTTTGATACAATTCTACGAAAAGATTCAATTATTTTGATAAATATCAAAAGAATTCAAGAATTCAATTCTTTTAAAAAGTAATTGGAATACTTTGCAGAAATTAAATTATTTTCAAATTTTTTTAAAAATTCTCGTCAAGAATTAAATTATCTTTATAAATAGATAGGAAAATTCTTCTCTAGAATTAAATTGTCAAAAAAATTTTAAGTATTCTTCTCAAGAAGTCAATTATTTTATTATTTAATTAAAATAAAAGTTTTAATGCACTTATCTTGATAAATAACAAAATTCTTCACAGAAATTCAATAATTTTTAGGAATTTTAATAAAATTCTTTACAAAATTCAATTATTTTCATAAGTTACAATATTCATCCCAAGAATTCAATTATTTTCAAAAGTAATGAAATTCTTCGAAGAAATTCAATTATTTTTTAAAAATTTCACGAATATCTCGTCAAGAATTCAATTATCTTTACAAATAGCAAAATGTTTCGCCCAAGAATTCAATTATTTTCAAAAATTTATAAAAATCTTTGCAAAAGTTCAATTACTTTCAAAAGTTTTTTGCAATTCAATAATTTTTAATATTTACAATTTACAATTGTAAGAAAAGATTCAATTATTTTCATAAATAGTAAAATTTCATTTACGAATTCAATTATTTTCATCGCAGAATTTCAAATATTTTTAATATAAATTTAAATAAATTCCTTGAAAAATGCAATTATTATTAAAAATTTTATTAAAACTTGAGGAAAGAATTCAATTTTAAGAAACATTCAATTATTCAATAAAATTTGTTGCAATAATTCAAATATTTTCATAAATAACATTTAATTCATCGCAAAAAATTAATTATTTTCAAAAATTTTTAAGTAATTTTGCAAAAGAATTCAATTAGCTTGATAAACAACAAAATCGCATAAATAATCAAATTTTTCGAAAGAATTCAATTATTTTAAAAAATTTCTATAAATTTCTTGTCAAGAATTCAATTATTTTCATAAATAATAAAAATCTGCAAAAGAATTCAATTATCTTGATAAACAACAAAATTCTTCCCATAAAATTAATTATTCCAAAGAATTTTAATAAAATTCTTTTCCAAAATTCAATTATTTTGATAAATATCAAAATTCATCACAAGAATTCAATTCTTTTAAAAAGTAATTAAGTAGTTTGCAGAAATTAAATTATTTTCAAAATTTTTTTAAAATTTTGTCAAGAATTAAATTATTTTTATAAATAGATAGGAAACATTCTTCTCAAGAATTAAATTATTGTCAAAAATTTTTTTAATAATTCTTCTCAAGAAGTCAATTATTTTCAAAAATTTTAATAAAATTCTTCTCATGAATTCAATTGTTTTCAAAAATTATTATTCAAACTCTTCTCAAGAATTAAATTATTTTTAAAAAAATTTAATAAAATTCTTCAAAAAGTTTTCAATTAGTTTCAAAAATTGTTATAAAATTCTTTAACATAATAAATTTCATTAAAATTTTAATTAAATTCCTTAAAAGAAATTAAATATTTTCAAAAGTTGTTAATACAATTCTTCGTAAAAATTAAATTTTAAGAAACATTCAATATTAATTATTTTTGTTTTTAAATAATTGATTTCTCGTAGAATTAAATTATTATTTTTCTTACTTTTAACTAAAAATTCTGTAGAATTAATTTTTTTTGAAAAAGTTTAATTGAATAATAATTGATGTTATTGATTTAAAGTAGAATTTTAGTTAAGAATTCTAGAAAATGTGAATTGAATTGAAATGATACAAATAATTTTGAAGAAATTACAGTAACAATATTTTTATAATAATAAAATAATGATTTTGTCTGTCGGTCATCTTTAATTATTATAAATTATAAAGAAATGGATCACTTCGAGTCGAAGACTCGGGGTGATCCATTTCTTTATGTTTTATATTAATTGAAATCTTGATAAGTATTTTATTAAAATTGTAATAAAACTATTTCAATTTTCATAAAGAATTTAATTGAAATTTTCCAAAATAATTGAATATCAGCGAAGAATTTTATTATTTAGGAAAAGAATTAAATTTTTCAAAGGTATTTAATGAAATTTATTTTTTGCTCTCGAATTAATTATTGAGATATTTCTCTTCTGCAGATCATTGTATGGTTCAATTCGTGAAACCAAATCTTCTTGGAACGAAGAAGGAATTTTCAAATCGATTCGTTAATCCGATTAAAAATGGATCGACTGCTGATTCAACGCCGTACGATGTGAAATTAATGAAGAAACGCGCGTTTATTCTTCATAATTTATTGGAGGGCAGCGTTCAACGTTTCGATTATTCTGTACTCACGCCTTTCCTGCCACCAAAACAGGAATACGTCATTTCTGTGAAATTGTCACCACTACAAGTTGAACTTTATCAGTATTATCTCGACAATTTTACAAGAGGGTAAATAAATTTTTTTAATTTCTATTCTTTGCTGCCTTTATCTAAATTACTTTTTCAAATTTTTTTCAAATTTTCAGTTTTAAGAAATATTTTCGATATTAAATATAACAAAAAATATTAAAGTGAGAAAATTACAAAAAAGAGAATTAGAAAAATATAGGAAAGAATACAGAAAACTAAAAGTTATAGCGTTGTAATAATTTCTAATGAAAAGAATTTTGTATAATATTGAACATTTTATCGGAGGAAAAATTTATTTATTGAAAGTTTTAAAAAAGGGAATAAAATAAATTTTCTTTTGTTCTTTCAAAATAAAATTCTTAAGTAATTTCAATTAATAAAGAAGAAGAATAAATAACTAAAAAAAATTGAATTGCTTTCTTTATTTTTAGAGGATCAGCTAGAGGACCGAAACTTTTTGCTGATTATCACGCATTGCAAAGAATCTGCACTCATCCAATTGTTATGAGAATGAATGCGGAGAAAATGGAAAAGAAAAGACTTGAAGAAGAGTCTGACTCGGAGGGTTCGCTGAAAGATTTTATCGACGACGGAAGTGATACATCGGGAAGCTCTTCTAATAGCGACAATGATGGAAGTGATGTTCAGTGTGTTGATTCTGACAAGGAAGTACCAGCTCCCCGTCGAGGAACACGAGCCAATCCCGTTGGTAAGAATTTTTAATTATAATTATTGCCTATTAGAAACGAAAAAAAATTAAGTTTTTGAAAAATTGTAATTTTTTTCAAGATAGTTGAATATCCGAAAATAATTTTGAAAAATTGAAGAATTCTAATTGAAAATTAGAAAAATAATTGAATTTTACAAAAATTTTTAGAAATAAGTAAATTATTTTCTATTTATTTTTATTATTCTCGAAAATAATTTTTAAAAAAATTGAAAACATTGAAAATTTTGTCAAATTTTATTGAAATAAATTTTATTATTTTTTCACTTAACTAAAAATTATTTTTAAATATAATTCAGTCTTAAAGCTACTTTTTTTTTAAATTAATTAACGAGTACAAAGACTGAATACAACTAACATTAATATTACAGAAAATGCAGGAGCGGAGGCAGAACCAGAGACTATAGAGCCAAGAGAATGGTGGTCGGAAATGATAAAACCTGAACATTTCGACGATATGCGAGTTTCTGCTAAATTAGTTCTTCTCTTTGGAATTTTGAAGGAGAGCGAAAAACTCGGCGACAAAGTGTAAGTATACATAGAACAAAAAATATAAAAAAGAAATACGGGAATTTTTCTGGAATTTGAATGCCCGATTTTTTAAAGGTTATAAACATAAACGAATAAATTTTGTAATTTTAAATTGAACTGATTTTTGAATTATTGTAATTTAAGAAAAAAAAAATGTATTTTTACTTTTTTTTCCAGACTCGTTTTTTCACAATCACTTTATTCTCTAACACTCATTGAGGATTTTCTTTCTCGAATTGACGACGCCGCACAAAATAACACCGAATCGGAGAATATTGAGAATCACAGTGGAAGCTGGAGTTTGGGATTAGATTATTTCCGACTCGATGGTCAAACCTCAGCGGATAATCGAGCGCTTTGGTGTAAAATCTTTAATCGCGAAACAAACACAAGAGCCAGATTATTTCTCATATCGACGAGAGCCGGAGGTTTGGGAATTAATTTAACCGCTGCAAATCGTGTGATAATTTTCGATGCCAGCTGGAATCCCTCTCATGATGTGCAGAGTATTTTCAGAATATATCGGTACGTTTTGTTTATTTATTTCATACGTTTTGTTATTAATTAATTAATTAATTATTATTGAACAATGAGACGATAAAAATTATCATTCATTCTTATTAATACTTTTTAACTAAAAGAAATTCATATATTAAGTTTATATTTATTACTATTTTTTATATTACGATTAAGAATATAAACAGCGTTTTTTTTTTATAAATAATAACATTCTTTGGAAGAATTCAATTATTTTTATAAAAAATGTAGTAAAAATTTTTGTGAAATTTAACAAAATTTTAATAAATCTTCACGAAATAATTAAATTATTTTCCAAAAATTTTAATAAATTCATGAAAACAATTCAATTATTTTTTTTAAATAGTAAAACTCTTTGCGGAAATTCAATTATTTTCAATAAAATTTCGTGAAAAAATTTAATTTTTCTCTTAATTCGTTAAAAAATTTTACGAAATAATTTAATTATTTCTAAAATTTTAATAAATCCTTCAAAACAATTCAATTATTTTTATAAATAGAGTTCGAAAGAGTTTTAACTCTTTGCAGGAAATGAATTATTTTTAAATAAAATTACAAGAATGGATTTAAATCTTTTCAAAAATTTCCACAAAACTGAATTTCAACAAGAATTTAAAATTCTCTAAAAATAATTCAATTATTATCAAAATATTTTTAAAAAAAATTCTATATAAAAATTAAACTACTTTCAATGCAATTTTTACATATATTCGTCAAAAAAAATTGAAAGAATTCAATTATTTTCAAAAAATAATAAAATTCTTTTGATGAATTTTATTATTTTCAATATTACTTAATTTCAATAAAATTTTTTACAGAAATTCAATTATTTTCAAATATTTCCATAAAATTCTCCAAAACAATTCAATTATTTTCTGAAATTTTAATAATTTTTTTTCAAAACATTTTAATTCTTTCCAAAATTTTAATAAATCCTTCGAAACAGTTAAATTATTTTTATAAATAGTAAAATCCTTTGAAGAAATTCAATTCTTTTCGAAACAATTTTAATATAGAATTCCTCGAAAGAATTGAAATATTTTTTCAAATATTTACATGAAATTCATTTATTTTCTAAAATTTTAATAAATTTCTTCGGAACAATTCAATTATTTTTAAAAATAGTAAAATTCTTCCCAAGAGTTAAATTATTTTTTATAAATAATAAAATTCTTAACAGGATTTCAATTATTTTCAATACAATTTTTAATAAAATTCTTCTTTTTAAAATTCAATTGCTTTCAAAATTTTCAATTAAAATTATTAAAAAACTTCATTATTTTAAAAAAATTAAGACATTCTTCAAAAGAATTTAATTAGGATTTTTTTTAATTTTAATAAAATTCTTTGCGAGAATTTAATTATTTTCATAAATAAAAAAATTCTTCGACGGAATTCAATTATTTTCTTTAAATTCAATTATTTTCAGAAATTTTAATAAAATTTTTTGCAAAATTCAATTATTTTCGTAAATAATAATAACATTCTTAGCAAGAAATTTAATTATTTTCAATACAATTTAAATGAAATTCCCCGAAATAATTTCATTGTTTTTACAAATATTTATAATATTCGTGAGAAGAATTTAATTATTTTCAAAAAATGTGATACAATCCTTTAAATAGGAATTGAGTTATTTTCAATACAATTTTCAAACTAAATTCTTCGGAAAAATTTTAATTTTCTTCGAAAAAAATTTAAATTCATTTTAAAAATTTTAATAAAATTCTTGATAAGAAGACAAATATTTTCAAAAATAATGTAAATCTTTTGGTCAGTTGAATTACTTTCAACTTAATTTCTACAAAAATTCTAGATGGAATTCAATTATTTTGAAAACTTTTAATAGAAAAAAGACAAATACTCAAAAGAATTCAATCATTTTTGGAAATTTTAATAAAATTTCTTAAAAGAATTCAATTATTTTAAAAAATTGTGATTATAATTTTTTATGTGTTTTATGTGTTTAATTATTTTCAATGTTAAGTAAATTTTTTAAAAGAATTTAATTATTTTCAAAAATATCAATACAATTTTTTTTTTAATTTTAATTTTAATACAATTTCTCAAAAGAATTCAATTATTTTTAATACATTTTTAAATTTTTAATAAACTTCATTGAAATAATTTAATTTACTTTAATAATTTTATTAAAAGTTTTTGAAGGATTTTGAAGGATTTCAATTATTTACAAGAATTTTAATATAATTCTTTGCACGATATTTAATTATTTTTAATACATTTTTATTACAATTTTAATAAAATTTCTCCAAAGAATTCAATAATTTTTAAAAATTTTAATAAAATTTTTCGCCGAAATTCAATTATTTTCAAAAATTTTTTTAAAATTCTCGCCAAGATTTTCATTATTTTTATAAATAGCAAAATTCTTCGTCGAAATTCTATTAATTTCAAAATTTTTTTAAAACATTCTCGTCATGATTTCAATTATTTTTATAAACAGCAAAATTCTTTTGATGAAATTTAATTATTTCTCCAAAAATTCTTCACAATTCAATGATTTTTAATATTTACTATTTTCATAAATATGGTAATAATTTGCATAATTTATTTTCGAAAAAACATCTATAATTGAAACCTTTTTTTTATAAAATTCTTCTCAATAATTCAATTATTAATCATTTTTCAATAAAATTCTTTATAAGAATTCAATTTAAAGAAAAAATGTAATTATTCAATATATTATTTAATTTTCTATTTGAATAATTTTAACTAATAATTTTGTGGAATTAATTTTTTTTTTTGAAAAAGTTAAATTGAATTTTTTTAAAAATTATTTCAAGTTTTTATTTCCTAATGTAAATTTAAATAAAGAATTCTTGATTAAACGAAATTTCGTAAAATTGAATTGTAAACAAATTTATAGAAGATTTTTAGTTGAAAATTCTAGAAAATAGTAATTGAATTGAAATTATGAAAATAATTTTGAAGAAAAAGTGAAAATTTCGTTTGGAAATTAGGGAAAAGTCATGAAAAAAAAATTTAATTTTTGTGACATTCCTGATAATGTAAATCAACTAATACTAAATATTTCATATTTAATATTTATCGATGTAAAACAATTAAATGAATATGAATATTAAAAATGTGAATTTCTATTTTTCTTTTTTTTTAGTTTCGGTCAGAAGAAGCCGTGTTACATTTATCGTTTCCTGTCGAAGGGAACAATGGAAGAGAAGATTTACAATCGACAAGTATCGAAATTGTCGCTCGCGTGTCGTGTCATTGACGAGCAACAAATTGAACGACATTTCAATAGCAGCGATCTCGACGAAATGTACACATTTAATCCAAATCCACCGAAAGATTCGCAGACTCTCAGTTTACCGAAAGATCGATTACTAGCGGAACTTTTCCTTAAGTACAAGGATTTGGTTCACAATTATCACGAACACGATTCGCTTTTAGAAAATCAGGTCAGTTACTAATTTTCCAAAAAAGACAATATTACAAATTTTCGATATTTTATTTATTAAACTAAAATATTCTAAAATATTCAATTTTTTAAATTAAGATTTTTGAAAATTTGTCTATTTTTTATTTATCAAACTAAAATATTCTAAAATACTCAAGTTTTTATATTTAGGTCGTAGAAAATTGCCTATTTAATAAAATCATAAAAACAATAATAGAACTAAATTAAAATAATAATAAAAATAAATTATTTATAAAATATTATAAAGAAAATAATTAAAAGAATAAAAATAGAATAAGGAAATAATAAAATTAAAATAATTGCAACTAAATTATTCGTTATTGGAAAAAAAAGTCTTTGTAAGTCTTGTAAAAGAAATTCAGTTGAAATATTTGAAGTTAAAAACATTTTTATCTTCTTACAGTTGGATGAAGTATTAGACGAGGAAGAGCGAAAGTTAGCGTGGCAGGAGTACGAAGAAGAAAAGAAGGGAAGACCTGTGATGCAGTTCAATAATGTAAATCCATTTGGATTAAATCCAATGAATGTAAATATGTTCCCTAATCAGGGAAATATAGTTTCTGAAGTTGAACGTATGGTTCCCTTGTTGAGAAAAGACGTAAGTTGGATTTTTCTTCTAATTCTCTTTTTCTTATTTAAAGGCATAAAAAATATGCCCAAATAAATATGAAAGGCTCTAAAACCTTTCATTTTTCAATAAGAAACAAAATTCTTTAATTTTCTTTCGAGCATAGTATTGATATTCTGCCTACATAAACTTACAGAATGAAGCTTTCAAATTCTGCACGTAAACAGATGAAACAAATCTCCTTTAAAGTTAAAAATGATTTAAAATTGCAAATTATTTTTAACATGTAACAAAAAAATTTTAATTATTCCAATTCTTCTGAAATTAGTTAAATTTTTAAATATCTTTTTTTAATTGATTATTAAAAATAATGGAATTATAGAAGAATTTTAATTAAAAACACTAAAAGAAATTGAATTTTGAAGCAATTACAAAATGATTGCAGAAATTCAATTATTTTCCAAATTAGTAAAATTCTTCTGAGAAATTCAATTATTTCCAAAAGTTTTAATAAAATTCGTGGCAAAATTTTAATTATTTTCAAAAAATTTTATCAATTCAAACGATTTTTAATAAATCTACTACTTAAATAAAATTTTCCAAAAGAATTTAATTTAATAAAATTTTACGTTAACATTTCTTTATTTTCATAAATATAATAAAACTCATCGCAGACTTTCAATTATTTTTAATAAAATTTTAATGGAATTCCTCGAAAAATAAAATTATTCCTTAAAATTTTATTAAAATTCCTGAAAGAAATTCAATTATTTTAAAAACCTTTAAAACAATTTATTTATTAGAATTTAAGTATTATTTTCTATAAAGTTTTAATTAAATTTATTAAAAAAGTTTAATTAAATTCTTTGTAAATAATTCAATTTTTTTTTCAAAATAATTTTAAGAAAATTCTTTGTACAAATTTAAATAATTTTAAAAATTTGTCAAAATTCAATTATTTTTAATGTCTACTATTTCAATAAAATTTCATAAAAGAATTTAATTATTTAAAAAGACATTTTAATCAAATTCGTCTCAAGAATTCAATTATTTTCAAAAATTAATATATTTTATCGCAGAAATTTTTAATTGTGTTCAATAATTTACAAAAATTCTCGTCAAAATTTTAATAATCTTTATAAATTTTTCTCCGGAATTCAATTATTTTCAAAACTTTAATAAAATTCTTGGCGAAATTTCAATTATTTTCAAAATTTCTTAAAAAAATTCTTTGGAGAAATTCAATTATTTTTAATTAAAATTTTAATCAAATTTCCGAAAAATGAACTTATTTTTAAAAATTTTATTAAAATTTGTCAAGAGAAATCAAATATTTAAAAATTTGTTGAGAAAATTCTTTCTGAGTATTCAATTTTACGAAATATTCAATTATTCAATAATTTATTCATTTTTGTATTTCAATAATTGAATTCTCGTGGATTTTTTTTCAGTTAATATTGATTTAAAAATTAATTTCAGTTAAAATTTTACATTATCATTGAACATTGAAAGCTAATAGCGTAAATTTTTAGAAATAATTGAATTTTGAAAAGGTTTCACATTAAAATCTTTGAAAATTTAAACTTTTCGTACTTTCTGATTAACAATTCTGTAGAATTCATTTTATAAAATAGTTTAATTGAATTTTTCTTTAATTCTTCAAGTTTTTATTTTCAAATATATATTTTAATTGAAGAATGTCAGAATAATCAAAATTACGTAAAAATTAATATTGAAAATAATTGAATATTTACGAAGAATTTTATCATTTTTGAAAATAATTGAATTCTTGCTGAGAATTTTATCAATTTTAAAAATAATTGAATTCATGCGAAGAATTTTTTTAATTTTAAAAATAATTGAATTATATCGAAGAATGTTATTCAAATTTTTGTGAATAATTGAATTCCTGCGAATAATTTTAGTATCTATAAAAATAATTAAATTCTTGACAAGATTTTTAAGGAAATTTAGTATTAATTTTTCTCAAAAAGTTTAATGGAATTTTTTTTTTAATTATTTAAAGTTTTTAATTTCTAATTTTTTTTCATTGAAGAATGTCAGAATAATCGAAATTTCAGGTAAAATTGAATTGTAAACAAATGGATTTAAAAATTCCCAAAGAAGAACTTTTTCAAAAATTATTAAAAATAATTGATTTAAAGAAAAATTTTATTTAAAAATTGTAGAAATGAATAATTGAAAATTTTTGAAAATCTTAATTTCTGTAAAATAAAAAAATTTCTGAATAAAAATAATCTAATATAAAAAACTTGAATTGCAAATTGTAATAATAATTTTTTTTCAGTATCCTACCCGGACTGACGATGAATTGCGAATATTGGCGCAAAGTACTGTTCTAAACATGTATAGTAGTATAATGGAACGACAAGCAATGCAGAGGACTCATCAAAATCAGTTTGTTCAACAGGTAAAATCTTTTTTAAAAAAATTGAAAGTGTGTAATGATTTTAATTTAATTCATTATTTTTTGTTGAATCACCATTTATTTATTTATTTTTCACATTTATTTATTTGTATATAATATCCCGCAGTCCATTTAATTATATTCAAAAATCGCAATTTTGTTTTGCAAATATTTCATCAATTTTACACGTTGTTTTTCTGAATTATTTGCATATTTGGTTTCATAAATATTTAAAAATTTTTTGTTCTCTATAGCCTTACGCAATGAATTCGTATATTCAACAACAACAGTATCAATATCAACAGCAGCAACAACTTTTGCGAATGCAAAGACAGCAACAGCAGCAGCAGCAACAACAACAACAGAATCCATTTACGAAGATGTCACCTGCTGGCAGACCTCCAGGTAGACCGCCCGGCAGACCTGTTGTAGTTGATGTAAGTTTTTTTTATTTTATAAATTTATATTTTCCATTCTTTCAAATTTTTATGAACTACTTTAATAAATGACAAATTTTTCAATTTGAAAACGCAAAATAATTATTATTGAATTCTTGCCGAGAATTTTATCAACAAAAAAAAATTCTCGAAGAAGGTTTATTAAAATTTTTGTAAATTCTAATTAAATTCGATTACAGGACAAAAAATCCAAGAAAAAAAGTCCAAAGTACAAAAAATTCAAAATAAAAATGTTCAAAGTCAAAAAGCCAAAAAACAAAAAAGTTCATAATAAATAATTAAACATGTGAAAAAGCCACGTTTTTACTTCTTACGCAGGGTTGCCACGCAACCTGAAAACCAGGAAAACCTGGAAATGTCAGGGAATTTTATAAACTTTGAAAAAACCTGGAAAAGTCAGTGAATTTTGATCGAAATCCTGGAAAATTGTTATTTTCTAAAGTTTATTCTTGAAATCTAATCTTACATAATTATTTCAAAATTAATTGAATTTTAAAAGAGTTGCGTTTACAATTTTCATAAGTACAGATGAATTTCAAAAGATTTTAATTTGAAATTTTGTAAAATTTCAATTTTGAATGAATTTAACTAGAAATCGTTTTAAAGAACGTAGATTTTTCAGAAGTTTTAATTATTTCAATTCTTCTGAAATTAGTTAATTTTTTTAATATATATTTTTAATTGATTATTAAAAATAATGGATTTATAGAAGAATTTTAATTAAAAACACTAAAAGAAATTGAATTTTGAAGCAATTACAAAATGATTGTAGAAATTCAATTATTTTCAAAATTAGTAAAATTCTTCTGAGAAATTCAATTATTTCCAAAAATTTTAATAAAATTCATGGCAAAATTTCAATTATTTTCAAAAACTTTTATCAATTCAAACGATTCTTAATAAATCTACTATACTTTAATAAAATTGTCCGATAGAATTCAATTATTTAAAATTTTTTTTAATAAAATTCTACCCAAACATTTATTTTTATAAATAATAACATTTTTTACAGGAATTCAATTATTTTTATAAATAATAAAATGCATCGAAGACTTTCAATTATTTTTAATACAATTTTAATGGAATTGAATTTTGAAATTTTAAGCAAATAAAGAACAATAAATATTTATTTTACAAAAATAATTGAAATTTGAAAGATTTAATTTGGAAATTCTGAAAAAATTAAGTTTTTGAAAAATAGTAATTAAAATTTTTTGAATATATACTTAAATTCATGAAAATAATTTTAAAAAAATTGAAGAAATTGGAAATTTTGTAAAATTTTATATTTTAAAGAATTTTATTTTTTTATCTTTAAAAATTATCTATAATTGTATTTTTGAAAATACATTATTTTATGAATTTACAAAAATTATTCTATTTAATTAAGTCGACTTTCATAAGTGAATTCTTATATGAATTGATTTAAAAGAATTTTTAATTTAAATTTTAGAAAATAATTGAATATTAAAAGCGTTATTACAGGAATTTTAGGAATTAATTAATTTTTAAAATATTTTTAACTTAAATTCTTTGAAAATTTAAAGGAAGGAAAAGTATAAAAATAAATTAAATTTTTGAATAATTTTATTCATAAATTCTTTAAAAAAAAATTGAATTTTGGAAGAATTACATTTGGAATTTTTAGAAATAATTTTATTTCAAATGGGTTTTCATTGAAATTATTTGAAATATTAATTTCCTATGAATTTTTGTAAAAAATTGTATTAATATTTTTGAGAATATAATTGAATTTTTTTGAAGAATTTAATTAAAATTATTGAAAGTAATTAAATTCTTTCAAGAAATTATTTAAAATATTAAAAATAATTTAAATACTAAAAGACAACAAATTTTATCAAAATTTTTGAAAATAATTGAATTCTTAACAATACAATTTGATTAATATTTTTAAAAATAATTAAATTATTCTGCACAATTATTTTTAAAAAAAAGTTTTTAAATAATTAAATTCTTTTGAGAAATTTAATTAAAATTGTGTTGAAAATAATTGCATTCTTTTAAGAAATTGAAATTGAATTTTATTGAATTTTGAAAAATGAAAAATATTTTAGTTCGGTTTGAAGAAAATTTTTTTTTTAAATTGCATTAAAAAATACTTGAATTCATACAAAAATTTTAATATTTTGAAAATAATTGAATTATTTTGAGAAATTTTGTTAAAATTGTACTAAAAATAATAATTGAATTATTCTGAATAATTTTATTCAAATTTTTAAAAATAATTTAATAATTGAAATTTTTTGAGTATTTTCATTAAAATTGTATTAAAAATAATTGAAGCTCGTGCCAAGAATTATGTATTAAAAATTGTTTAAAATAATTAAACACTAATAGACAAAAAAAAATTATAATTAAAATTTTCGAAAACTCTTTTGTTGAATTCTATTAAAAGTTTCAAAAATAATTGAATCCCATCAAGAATTTTTATTGTATTATTTACGAAAACATTTGAATTCTTGCGAAGTGTTTGATTATATTTCTGGAAATAATTGAATTCTAATGAATAATTTGATTAAGATTTTTAAAAATCATTTAATTGTTTTAAACAATTTGATTTAATATTTTTGAAAATAATAAATAATAGTAATTATTAAATGTAAAATTTTTTAATTTTGAAACTAAAATAAATCAAAAATTGAAGTTAAAATTTGAAAATAAAAAAATTTGAAATTTTCAATAATAAATTGAAAAACCACATTTTGCGCGCGTAACATTTGCTCTTATTTATTTATTCAAAAATTGTTTAATTTTCTCTCTTTTGTTTCAGATTACGTCTCCAAATGGAAAGGAAGAATAAGTTTATTGTTCAATCGTATTTTGTCAAGTGATATTGTTTTTTTTTTTTATTTTCGTTTTTCATCTCTTAATTTAAAGAAAAGAATTTTATTTATTTCTGGTATTTAGTAACTACAATCTCTCCATGTTTATGTATAGTCTTTAAGTGTAGAGAAAAAAAATGGAGATATACTTGTTATTACGGACAAGATTCCTTTTATTATAATAGAAAAATTTTCAATACATAACATTTTCATGGTAATAGGAAATTTTTATTTAAGTTCATTTTTAGTATTTCAATGATTTTCAATTCAAGTGAAAGAAGAAATCTCTAGAGAAAATAAAAAGTTTTGACAAAAATTTGATAGAAAAAATTTAAATATTCATTTATAAGATTTTTCTTTATATAAATGGTTTTGTTTTCTTGAATTTAAATCATTTTAATACTAAAAAAAATATAGTGAAATCTCATTTTTTTTTTTTTTTGATAAATTTTATAAAAAAAATGTATCGTATAAAAATCGATGGACCTTTTTCTGAAAAAAAGGGGGAAAATATAAACTATCTCTCGTCGTACTTAATAAAAAAAAAAGTAAACTTCTTTCTTTGTGATAATGACATTTAAATAACTATAAATGCTATTATTAATTGATAAGAATCTATGAGAATAAAAAATTATTAAGGAATTTTTTTTTCTATTTTAAATCACCTCTCGAAGGTAATTTTGATTTTTGAAATAATTTTCTTCACTTTCTTCCCTTTTATTTTAGTTTTTAAAATCTCATTAGGTTTTTATTAAATATTAAAATTAAAATTTTCTTCAAGGAAAAAAAACTAAGTTTTTAAGAATAAATTTATTTATTTAAAAATAAACGTTAGAAATTACATTTTTAATTTCTACTTTTTAACTTAAAATTTAAAAGGAAGACAATTTTTATTAAATTGTAATAACAATAAATAAAAAAGAATAATCTCGTATAATTTCAAAACTATTTTGAAATAATGCAGTAAACGTAAAATATAAGCGAAAAATTACGCTAACAAAACGTTTTATTTTATAGCGTTTCTTACGCCGATCGACAATAGTTATATCTTTCTTAATGTAAAACTGTTTAACGTTTAGCAATATTTATAACTTTCCATACATTACATCTTTTTTTTTATTTCTTTTCATTTTTTTATTTAAAAAAACGGTAAAAAATATTCTCTCGAATTAAGAAATTAAGAGGAAAAAAACGACTTCAATTCTCATTCCCTAAAGACGAAAAAATACATTTTTTTGAATGAAAAAAAAGGAATTTTTTCTCAATATTTAAAGAAAGAGTAAGAAAAAATAAAAAGTAAAAAAAGCATAAAAATCAGAAATAAAATAAAAAAAAAATGTAGGAAAGAAATTATCGAAATTTGGATGAATGAAAAAGTTCCCAAAAACAAAAAATAATATTTTTTTTCAATAAAATTAATTAACCTAAAGGTTTGTGATAATTCAGATGGGACCAGTCAGCGTTGAGTTGACTCCCTTTTTTTTGGCTTCTCACGAGGTTCTTTAATCCAAAGTCATCGAGAAAATCCAGTCTTGAATATTGACAAATTAAAGATCTCAAATTTCGATGGTTATTTGCCTGAAAGCAGAAAGAAGAGAAAAATCTAATTTATAATTTTTCTTTAATGGTCTTATTTTGTTTTAATGACAGACTCTGCAATCGTTAATTAATTTTAAAAATGTAGCAAAAAGTAGTTTAAAGACTGAAAAAAATTGCATATTCGAAAACAATTTTAAAAAATCGAAACAATTGAAAATTTTGTTAAATTTTATTGAAATAATTTTATTATTTTAATGAATTTCAATTGCTTTACTTTTAAATTGAAAATTTAAAAAACATTTGAATTTTAAATTAAAGAATTGAAACAATTGAAAATTTTGTCAAATTTTATTAAAAATAAAATTTATATTTTAATGAATTTTATTTCTTTACTTTTAAAAATTATTTTCAAATATAATGCTATTTTTGAAGAATTCTAATTGAAAATTTGGAAAACAATTGAACTTTAAATTAAAAAATAGAAACAATTGAAAAATTTGTCAAATTTCATTTGAAATAAATTTTAGGTATTTGTTTACTTTTAAAAATTATTTTGAAAGCCTAATCGTATTATTGAAGAATTCTAATTGAAAATTTGGAAAATAATTGAATTTTAAATTAAAGAATTGAAACAATTGGAAATTTGTCAAAATTTCATTGAAATCAATTTTATATTTTAATGAATTTTATTTGTTTACTGTTTAAAATTATTTTGAAAGCCTAATCGTATTATTGAAGAATTATAATTGAAAATTTGGAAAATAATTGAATTCTTGACAACAATTTTATTAATATTTTTAAAAATAATTTTATTATTCTGCATAATATTAAAAACAAAATATATTTATCTAAATATGTATTGAAATTAATTGAATTTTTGTCAAAAATTTTATTAATATTTTTAAAAAAATAATTAAATATTTGTTTTGAAGAATTTAATTAAAATTATTGAAGGTAATTAAATTCTTTCAAGAAATTTAATGAAAAAAATGAATTGAAAGTAATGTAAATACTAAAAGACAACAAATTTTATCAAAAATTTTGAAAATAATTGAATTCTTGACAACAATTTTATTAATTTTTTTAAAAATAATTAAATTATTTTGCATATAATAATAAATTTTTTTTTTTTTTTAATTGAATTCTTTTGAGAAATTTAATTAAAATCGTATTAAAAATGAAAAAAAAATTTAATTAGGTACATAAATTTTATATTTTAATGAATTTTATTTGTTTACTTTTAAAAATTATTTTGAAAGATAATTGTATTTTTGATGAATTCTAATTGAAAATTTGTGAAACAATTGAATTTTAAATTAAAAAATTGAAACAATTGAAAATTTTGTCAAATTTTATACTTTTTAATCAATTTTATTTATTTACTTTTAAAAATTATTTTGAAATATAATAGTATTTTTGAAGAATTTTAATTGAAAATTTGTAAAAATTTATAAAAATAATTTAATTCTTGACGAGAATTTTTAAAAAATTTTGAAAATAATTTAATTTCTGCAAAGTATTTCATTAGAAAAAGAAAAAGAATTCAAAAGAATTGAATTCTTGTGATGAATTTTGATATTTATCAAAATAATTGAATTTTGGAAAAGAATTTTATTAAAATTCCTTAGAATAATTAATTTTATGGGAAGAATTTATGCGATTTTGTTGTTTATCAAGCTAATTGAATTCTTTTGCAAAATTACTTAAAAATTTTTGAAAATAATTGATTTTCTCCGACGAATTAAATGTTATTTATGAAAATAATTGAATCTTTTCGTAGAATTGTATTAAAAAGGTTTTTCTATAATTAAAGTCTTCCCAGAATTTTATTAAAATTTTGAGAAAATAACTGTATTCTTTCGAGGAATTTTATAAAAATTATTCTGAAAATAATGTATTTTTAATGAAGTTGTTTTTTTTCGATTTTTGGAAGCAGTTGGAAGTACAGATAAGTTTTCTAATCAAAAATAAATTTCGTCAAATTACTAAAATTTAAAACGAAGAAAAAAATTAAGATTTTCAAAATTATTCTGCCTTGGTGATTAAAAAAAATCTTCAGTTAAAACTTACCATTAACAAAAACGGAAGTAGGAAGCATTTTTTCATCGAGTATTTCTAATTTCACATAAGATATCATTCGAAGTTTTTCATTTCCACCATTATCCGATTTTTTAGAAAGTTTCAATAACTTTTTAAGTTTCGATTCTAGGAAATCGGAATTATTTTTCTTCTTCTTCAAATCAATTCCGATCGAAGAATTAGAATTTTCCAAGTTTTTCTTCCCTTTGGAAATTGTTTTCTCTTCTTTTTCTTTAGTTGAATTGATTTCCATTTTTGAACCACCGTTCGATTCAAAGAATTTATTAACATTTATTAATCCCTTTAGTCTTTGTTCCTTCAATTTTTGAAATTTATCTCTTTTATCCTGTTGTTCTGGTGATGTCTCAATTTCTACAGTATTTTTGTGATTTTTATCAAAATCTTGAGTGATTGAACTAATTTTTTTTAATCTTCTCTCTTGTTCAAAATCAATTCGAGTTAAATTGACTTTCATTTTTAGGGAACAATTATTTTCCCTTAATCTTTGAATATCGGAATTACTACTCAATTTCATTCCATTCACTGGGGAATTTTTTTCCTCTGAAGAAAAATTTTCTTTATCGATTATTTTTCCTTGAACAGAATTTGTATCCAGGTGTTCTTCAAAAATTCCAAATACCAAAGTTGAAGAAAAATTATCTTTCGATAATGTTCCATTTATTTTTTCACTCTGTTCGGTGTTTGATTCGATTGTTTCTCTTGTTTGGGAAGTTTTCGATCTTTTGTAACTCCTCTTTCTTGTGTTTTCCTCTTCATCGCTGTCACTTTCTGAATTATTTGCTGCGTTCGTAATTCTTTTGAACTGACGTTTTTCTATAATTTTCTCGTTGAATGACATTGTTTCAGTTTCGCTAATTTCTTCCTGACTTTTAAATTTTTTCATTGACTTTAAATGAGAACTGTAATTTCTCGACCACGATTGTTGGAGTTTATCAGTTTTCTTGTAATATTCGCAAATTTCAGTTTCAATATCCTTGAGAATTGTTTGTAGACTTTTTGTTATTTCGAGAGCATCATTTTGATTTAAATTAGTTAAATTGAGACATTTCTCCTCGCAAAGATCAATTTTTGGTAAAATTTTCATAAATGATTTTTTTACTTCCTTACAATGAATGGAAAATTTCTCCTTGAATTTTTCCATTGCTTGCTCTTGATTTTTATCGTTGTAATCCATCTCCAATGGAATTAAATCCATATTTTCATTCAACGAAGTAAAAAGTTTACGTTTATTGTTTGTAATTGTTTTTTGTTTATTATCTGGTAATTTTTGTAAATTTACGTAACTGCTGCCACTGCTGCAACTACTGACATCGGAAGTAAAAGGACTTTTCCAATTTTCCCAAGAATTTTTACTATTAACGTTTAATTTTCTTGGCGAAATATCCAAATTTTTTGATTGTGGCGAATCAGAAGAATCGTTTTTATTACAACCATCTTCACTTGTGTCGTCGCATAAATTTTTTAAAATTTCTTTAGGACTTCTTTTCCCCAGACTCATTGATTTACTTCTCTTTCTGAAAAACAAATTTCATTTCTCTTTTAATTTCAAGGCAATTATTTTATTTAGATCAACAAAAGTATTTGCGAAAAACATAATTATTTAAACATTTAAAAAAAAATTTATAAATCCATATGTACTTCCAAAGTTTATAGTATGTATGTAGTTTATAAAATGTCTTTGTTTTTTGTTCCAGGACTTAAACTTTTCAAAAAAAACCTTTTCGGCCGTAAAAATTAGTCGATTTTAAATATGAAATTTATCTCCGCCATTTTGTTATAAAATTTTAAATAACATTTTTTTCCACACTTCTATATATGTATTTAACAAACCCTCCAAAAAGAAATCTTATTCCATTTTTCATTTTTTCAAAATAAATCATTGAATTAATTTCATTGAATAGAAAATTATATAGAATAAAAAAATTTGATATTTAAATAGAAAAACTGTAAAAGAAAATTTATTTTTACTTTTTTTATATTTAAATATAAAAAAAGCTTTTAAAATTTTAAAAGTTTTTAAAAATAATGGGTCGAAAGCTATAAAAACTGTAAAAGAAAATTTACTTTTACTATTTTTTATATTTAAATAACAAATTTTTTTTATTCTATAATTATATTTTTCTAAAAATACGTAATTTTCTGAAAAAATTCATGTTTTATTCATCAAAATCGGTCAAAAATTGTCAAATATATTTAGCTCTTATATTAAACTAAAATTTCTCCAAGTTTCGTCAAATTTTACGAACCACTTGCAAATTGTGATATTTCTGACGTAGAGTCAACCATAACCTAAAAATATTCCCATTTTTTAATTGCAAAAAGACCGAGAAGCATATAAGATAGAAAAGAACATAAATATTGCTGTCCTTTTCTATCTCATGCTTTGTCTAATAATTCAAAACCTAACATAACCTCATTGTTTAATATCTTTGTTAAATTTTAAAAAATAGGACAAAATTAAAAAAAAATAACAAAAAATTTAATCCTGTCTTTCTTTCGGAGAAAATTAAGACCATATGTTAAGTTAGAAATTAGAATTTTATTTCAATAACAAAGTTCGTAAGGTTGGAAAGGTTGGAAATATTCGACTGAATTTCAATTGATGTTAATTTTTTTTTAAGAGAAATTGAAAAACCCAAAATAAGCCATAAAAGTTGTGTTGATATTTTACTTCTAAAGACAAAAAAAAATGCGGAAACAACAACATGCTTCTCTCATATTATAACTTTACCCCCACTTTCGACAACACAGAATTTAATACGTTATTCAACAAATTTTCAGTAAATTTCAAAGAAGAGTAAAATTTATATACACAAAATAGAAATAAATAAGGAATGAGCAGGAGGAAAGGAATAATTTGATTATTCTTACCTTCGATTGCTGTGAAAGCCCATGACGATGCAAATGGATATAAACGATATAAGAGCAGCGAAATTGTGAAACAAAAAACCATTCAGTTGAAACTATATAGGAGCTGAGTCTGGGACTGCGGGGACTACAGTGGAGAAAGGGGTTAGGAATCGAGTGTTGCGTCACGACGGTAAAAGACGAGTTTGTGAGGATAACATCGACAGTCGATACAGAAGAATATCTCTTTTTAAAGGTAAATATTGATAATCTCTAATTTCTTTATTATTTTTTATATTGTATTTTAAATAAAAATCTTAAAAATGAAAACAAGTTTTGAGTAGGATATTTATTAAATTATACATTAATGATATACAATCTTTCTCACTTAGCAATAAATTTTCTTGCCACAATTAAATTTTTTTTTGTAAAATTTTCACCCAAACTTGCATCAATGTGTAATATATAATGTACAGACTCAGGGACCAATGCTGATACGAAACTAAATAGAAAATTACTTTCGTTTTAGTTCTTGAATAATCCAAAAACAAAAGTATTTGAAGCAATTTAGTTTTGTGTCGACACGAAACTAAATAAACGTCTAAATATTAGTTTAGTGTCAACTTGAAACTAAATTAACTGATTGAATGAAGTTTCGTGTCGACTCGAAACAAAAGATTGAAAAACATAAATATTTAGTGTCAATCACAGGAAAATTGTTTCCCTTGACTTACGTAACTCGAGAAACTTAAGTAATTAATGTATGTTACGTAAACAGTAAATAACGTAACTAAAGTAACTTACGTAATTTATCTAACTTACGTATGTAACGTAAACAGAGTAAATAACGTAACTAAAGTAACTTACGTAAAAAATAGAACTAAATACGTAATAATAGAACTAATTACGTAAGTTACGTAACTAGAATGTCTTACGTAATTAATGCAACTTACGTAAATAGAGTAACTTACGGAACTAATCGAACTTACATAACTAAAACAAATTACGTAAGTTAACCTAGTTACGTAACTTATGTAAGTTCCATTAATTATCTAAGTTTGGTTAATTACATAAGTTACTCCAGTTACGTAAGACATTCTAGTTATGTAACTTACGTAAGCCTGATTTTTTACGTAAGTTACTTAAGTTACGTTATTTACTCTGTTTACATAACATACGTAACTTCTATTTTTTACGTAAGTTACTTAAGTTACGTTATTTACTCTGTTCACGTAACATACGTAAGTACGTAAGTTCTAATTTAATATTATGATATTAATATTTCCGTAATACTTAACAATTTCAGGAATAATTCTTGAAAAAAAATTTTCCGTCTTTGTAAAAAAAGATCTTGATAGTACCGAAAATTAAGGATCATTACTATTAAAAAAAAGATAATATCAATAGAAAATTCAAACAAACAAACAAAGTAAACATGTAGAAAAAGGTAATTTTCTAACATAAAAATAAGAATAATACAAAATTTGTCACTATCTTTGAATCTAAGAGTATAATAAATTCTTAAGTATTTTCTTTCTTTTGAAAAACCATCATTTAAAAAACTACCTCAGAAAGAGTTAAACCTATCTTCAATGCAATTCACTTTTCTCAAGAATATAGTTATTGTTAGGTGATATTCTATTACTGCGGAAAAGTTTACATCTACTTGCTCCTGGCAAAACAGATAATAAACCATGGCAAAGTTTTTGTGCTTTTGTTTATTTTTATCATTTTTTGGATCAGTTACCTTTGGAATGTCTGCCAACAACAGCTATATTCGAGGATTAATAAAGTACCTGAAGAAAGAATCAAAACTGCATCAGGTAATGTTTATCATTGATGATCAACTACTTAACAATTCAAGTTCAAGCTCGAATTTTCTAATCACAAAAGTTTCGCAACACTTTCCATCATACACTGTTAGTATGACTAAACTACGATTAGAACCACAAAACACATTTCCAGCTTCTTTACAACTACCAAAGCGAACGACGTTGTTTATCATGATGCTTAATGGAAATATTCCTAAAATTTGGGGTAATGTGTCAATTACACTTGCGTTACTTAAAAAATTGTCACGGAAATACTCACATCCGAAACTATTGATAAATTTCTTTTCGGGAACAAAATCTAATTTGATTAGAAGAAGATTAGAAGTTTTCTGGAATTATCAAGATTTTACGGAAATTGAAGTTCTAGAACACTTGCAGGATTATGAAAACACATTGACACAGGGGAGAGTTAGACAGATTATTTTGCATGAAATTAATGAATTTGCAAAAGTCTACACAGCTCGGGAAGTAACATCACAAACAAAATGGTTTCCAAACAAACTGCTCAACCTGAACGGACATAAAGTCAAATTTATATTAACTACCTTGAATAATCTTTTGACTGTTGAACGTCATGAAAAGTTGAAAAAATTTGCAAGAATTCTTACACATTCCTTGGGTACTTCGAGTATAATTGTAAATGTTAAAACTGCAGAAAAAAAGCATATTATCAACCTGTTTACAATACATAAAGCAGAAATTGTGCTAAACGGTGCAACTGTACAAATGATAAAAGACAACTATACACAAAAGATGCGAATTATAAGATTTGAATCCTTGATGGCTATCATTCCTGTTAACGCAAAATTGTCTAACGTCTTTGAAATCTCTCATGAATTTGTGTACATGGTACTTGCTACAACCATTGTGATTTGTGCTATTCGATTTACAGCTTTCATTATGAAATTTAACAAAAGCACCTGGCAAATTTTTAACATTAGCCGAATTGTAATTGGAATGTCTGTTGTCAGAGAACCGAACAAAGTAACAGAAAGAATTGTTTTTGGCTCATTAATACTGAGTTGCATCGTCTATTCAGGCTACTTGTTCTCCGTAATCTTGGACATCACATTTCGAAAGGAGCCTGAAATTTCAAGTCTTGAGGAACTTGCTAATTCATCTTTGACGCCAATGTTAACCTCCTTCGCAAACACCTCATTGTTATTAAGCTCAATCAGTTACATTCGACAACTGGGAATGAAGTCTATAAAGATTCCAGATAGTGGATTAGCATATGATTGCTTGACCTATTTAACCAGGTATGAAAATGTAACTTGCCTTATTTGGGATGTTAAAGAAAGACTTAGTGACATTAGAAGAGATGGACATGATTTAAATGTCAAAGTTCTGCAAGAACCCTTGGGATTTTTAATTCGGTCTTGGGAAGCAAGAAGTGGATCTCCTTTTATTGATCATTTCAATAAAGTTATATTAGAAGCTTCAGAAGCTGGTTTACTGAAAAAATTGATGACCACGGATGATGGAAATACCGTCAGTTGTCTCTCACCATCAGAAGAAATGGGCAAGGAAACATTACTACTGATCGTCTCTTACTTGCTTGTTATCGGATACACTGTTTCAATAATTGTCTTTATTGCTGAAATGATTAGCATTATTGTGTGGCGCAAACTTAATTACTTTTGCATGCACTTTCTTAACGTTAGAGCGAATTAAAGAGACCAGATAATCAGGAACGTAAAATTTTTTTGAGTTATGTTATAAATAAAAAAATGTAATTGTGGTTTAAAACGTTAATTAACAAAAAGAATGGGCCTCTCAGAGTTAATTATATGTCTTTAATATCACTATTAGTAGATTTTCAACCTCGTTTTCAACTAATTTTTAATATATTTAACATTAAATGTATGCTTTCTTTCTAGGTGATAATCCGCATGAAAAATTTTAATACTATTGTTTAAAAATTGTAATTATTTATTTAATTAAATTTCAAATTTATAGTGGAATATTTTAATCTGAAAAGCACAGAAGCAGATGATATTATATTTATGGGGATTTTTGTTTGCGTTTCAATGTAAAAACTGTAAATAAAGTATATTGATTTTTTAATTATTAAAAAATTTTCCATGAAAATACATAACAAAAATACATAACACATCGATTGGAAGTATTTTTAGGAAAGCATCGATTATGTTGTATTTGCGAGGCCAGAAAACATGTAAGAAAAAATTATTAATGTTACTAGTTTTAAAATTTAAATAAAATTTTAAAAATACAATTCTGAACTTTTATATTATTTAAGAAAAAATGCAGATATATATTATTTACACCCATAAGATATGTTTATTTTCAATTATACAAAGATTATTTTGTTTTAGAGACATCCAGAAGACTTCTGAAAGACTGATATTCAATTACACGCCCGCATACAGTTTTCGGATTGTTTCGTACTTGTTTCGGAATAGGATTTTGCAACACTTAATTTCAAATTGTTGCGGACTAATATCGGATTTCTTGCTTACAGAGTTCGGATTGCTTCGGACATTTTACGGATTAAGTTATTTTAACTAGATTAAATTCGGATTGTTGCATAAAATTACCCTATTAACTGGTCACCAAAAATGTCGTAGAAACTACTTTCTAATCCCCATCAAACTTTCGAATTATCCTCCATACAAAATGACAATCAATCTTTCAGTAGACAGAAAGATCAACAGAATATTTAATTTAACAAAATGAATCTAATCATTAAGACGTTATGTATCATTGTGATTTGAAAAGTAATCTTGCAAATATCTGCAATTGGAAAACATTATGATGGATTAGTAAAGTATCTAACGGAGGAATCGAAACTACAAAAATACCATAGTCGATTCAGTAAGTCTTCTTTTCAAGTCAATCAATAAAAACTTCCCATCTTCAAGTATCGAATACAGTAAACGGAGAAGTGAACTGCTCAAGGTTTATTTGAAATCACTTGAACCTCCAAGAAAGACTACGCTATTTGTAGTTGTAACAAATAGTCTGAACTATGTAACTACTAAATGGATTCGTAAACCTCTTTTTACGATTAGAACGTTATCAAAAACTTTACCTACGTCGAAATGTTTAATCGTGCATAGGGCAAGGATAGTTAGTTGCTGTTATGCTTAGACGGCTTGCTCAAAAATCGCGTAATTTATGGTATATTCGCGTTTTAACACCAAAAGATGATTGTAAAAATTGCAAGTCAATCTGTCACCATTTGCGAAGTTGGGAGATTATTTTTGAAAAAAGCTTGTTTTGCTAAAATGTCAACGTAATGTTTATCATATTGTTATTTCTACATTAGAATTTCAGAATATTTTTTACGTAAGTGTTTTCCGGAGTGGAATGTCCTGCTAAACGCACAAATATCGCATATTTATTTTCAAATTAATTTACGTCGTTCCTTAAAATTTAGAAAAAATTGAGATATGGGCTCACGGGGCAAGGATATAGTTAGAGATAAGGGGCCATCCATAAACCACGTAGCCTCTTGAGGGGGAGGGGGGGTCAAGCAATTGACTACGACAAGAGGAAAAAATGGCGCTAATATATGTAATAGCGTACTACATGGGGGGAGGGGGGGTCAAAATTCCCCAAAAATGGGGCTACGTGGTTTATGGACGGTCCCTAATACGGCACGGTAAAATTCTGTTAATGCCATTGCAAATTTTAAAAAAGTTTTTAAGGGGGGAAACCACATCGATTTTTTCTTTTTTGCATAAATTGTTAGTTAAGGTATTCAAAAATAGGCTAAAAAAGTTTTTAGACCAAAATTCGAAGTCCTCGCTGTACTAGCGATGAACGGAGCGCGCTCCGGGTTACCGTAGGTTAGTAGAATAAGCGTAGCACTTCTGAAACTAAGGAGAGCAGAAAGTCACGAAAAGAGAAATTATTAGACTTACATGCTACTTATGAAGTACATGAAGGGATATATACATATGTGACGCTCCACGAGAAAAGGGACCTTATGACTTACAGACGAATTTTGCAGGAGAGGCATTTCCTTCTATACACCTAAATACTTTCTCATGTGATGAGAATGTAATTAAAAAGAATAATCACAAAAATGTAAGCTGCGATTTACCACTCGACACAAATAAAATTGAAAATCACAAATATATAATAATTTTTTATAACACTATGTAATGTTTAGGTAGAAAAATTAAAAATAGGTAACTTATTGTGTTAAAAATAAAATGATGAAAGATACAAAAAGTATTTGTATATTACTTTATGTCTTTTCACTTTTCACAAAATTAAAACAAAAGCATTATAATATCAAAGCTGTTTTAAAATCATCAAGTTCTTTAGAATATAACTCCATTTCCTATCCAGAGAATAAACTTTTTTTTAAAAATATTTTACCTTAATTACTGAAATGTATAAAGATGATTTGTTTTTCGATAAATATAGCATTTCATCTTATACGTAGTAGGAATTTTATTAAATTTTTTTTAACATTCTAGAAAATTATTCTCGCTAACCAGATGCGTCTTCAGTTTTTTTCAAAACAATCTATTAATAGTGTCGTAATCGATGCATAATTGCTTGGGAAACTTATCGATTAAACTGTTTTCAAACTCAAACAACGAGGAAAAAAGAACATCAGAGTTGTAAAGAAATTTTAAAAAACAAAATCTTATTTTTGAAATATAAGTTTTTTGAAAAACATTTTTATTATTATTTGCTATGGCAAATTTAATTTCCATCAAAATATATCATTTATAATATATTACAAGTATTCTAAAGTAATTTGAAAACAAAAAAATTTTATTTTTGTCCATCTAATTTCGTGATTTCGGCAACTTTAAGTCATAAGCAAAAGCTTCAGTGTATGAGATATTGTCTAAATTAAAAAAAACTTGGTATAATTAAGGAGACCCGCGTAAGTGGCAAGTCAACAATATCGCCAAGTACTGGAGCAGGCCAATCGTCAATTTCATTAACTGTCGCATCCATTGCACTATTTCTCATTTCAAAAAGTTTTGGAGCTATTAACGCAACTACTTCAGTAAAAAAATTTACAATAGAAGCTTTGACCTCTCTTGTTTAGATCTCCCAATAAAATTGATTCATAAAGTCAGCAGGGGAGCGTTTCCTGGTTATCGAACGCAGATATCTAAAATCTGTAATTTAATAATTAATTCACCTGCGACTTTAGAGATGAAGTAATTTAACATATGTATTACTCCTTCTCTTAGAATTAATTTAATTATGAATAAAAACATCTAAACCGAAATTAAAGTTTTTTTTTGAAAAATCCTAGACTTTTCCCTAATATTCAATTTTTGCCTTCTTTTGTTGTATACATAGCAGTGCATCAATAAATCGGTTTTTCGGTTAGATTAGTTGCAGATAGGTAAAAGCATAAATAGGCTACAAAAGAAGAACGTTCAGTATTATTAGTGGTCTATTTTATCGTAAAACTGTCACTCAATTATAAACTAAAAAAAAATAATCACTTATAACGCTAGTTTATAAGTAATATTTAAGACACATTTAAAGAGACATAAAAAGGTTGTACAATATGTTTATAACCCACAAGCACTTTTTTATAAACCACTCTTCAGAATAAAGTATGCACACTGATATTTCTTCATTCGACAATCACAATTCACTCCAGCTGTATCAGTAAACAATATTTGGTGCAAGTACTTGTTCAAAATGCAAACAGTGATTAAATTAACAAATTGTATCATCCTTTTAACGGTTTTTAAAGCAATGACACTTACAGTGTCGTGCAGTGGCAGTTACACACGAGGATTAATAAAGTACTTAAAGGATGAATCGAAATTGCATCAGGTAATGTTTATCATTGACGATCAACTACTAAATTCAAGTTCAAGCTCCTATTCTCTGCTCACAGAAGTCTCCAAACACATTCCATCGTATAGTCTTAATTTTACAAAATTAAGATTTGAATCACAAAACACATTTCCATCTGCATTACAACGACCGAAAGGAATGACGTTGTTTATCATGCTTCTTAATGGCAATCGATCGGATCTTTGGGACCAGATGAATTTTTCACTCAAACTATTAAAGCAATTGATGCAGAAAGATTCGTATCCAAAATGTTTGATAAACTTCATTTCTCACACGGAATCTGATTTGATACAGGAAGTTTTAAAATATTTCTGGTCCCAAGGTTTTACTGAAATTGAAGTACTAGAACACTTGCAGGAAAATCAGAAAACGTTGACAAAAGGAACAGAAAGGCGGTTCATTTTGCATGAAATAAATGAATTTGCAAAAGTCTACACAACTCAAACCGTAACATCGCAGACAAAATGGTTTCCAAACAAACTGCTTAACCTTAACGGACATAAAATCAAATTTATCTTAACTACCCTGTATGACACAATAGACCATAGGTATTACTTCGTCTTACTGAAATTATCAAGAATTCTTACAGATTCTTTGCGAACCTCTGGTTTAATTTTAAGATTTAGAATTACAGAAGCATCTGTTCTTTTGAAACTGCTTAACCATGAAAATGCAGAAATGGTGATAAACATTTTTAAGGATTCAAATACTAACGTGCATAATCAACAGCTGCGTGTTATTGGATATAGTTTTGTGAAAGCTATAATTCCTAAAGTGGAAAATCCATCTAAAGCCTATATAATCTCTCAGGAATTTGTTCTCATGGTTGCTGCTACAACAGTTGTCATTTGTTTTACTCGAATTATGGCTTTCCTCATGAAGTTCGACAAGAGCACTTGGCAAATTTTTAACATTAGCCGAATTGTAATTGGGATGTCTGTTGACAGAGAACCGAACAAAGTAACAGAAAGAATTGTTTTTGGCTCATTAATACTGAGTTGCATCGTCTATTCAGGCTACTTGTTCTCAGTAATCTTGGACGTCACTTTTCGAAACGAACCTGAAATTTCAAGTCTTGAGGAACTTGCTAATTCATCTTTGACGCCGATGTTAACCTCCTACACAAAAAACTCATTGTTACTAAGCTCAATCAGTTACATTCGACAATTGGGAATGAAATCTATCGAATGTCCTGGTCGAGGATATGCTTATGATTGCTTGACCTACTTAGCGAAGTATGGAAATGTAACTTTTATTACTGATGAAGCTGAAAGTTATGTTATGAAATTCAAGCAACAGGTACAAGATATAAAAGTTAAAATTTTGCAAGAACCTTTGGCCTTCTATAGTCAGTCTTGGATCTCGAGAAATGGATCTCCTTTTCTCGATCATTTTAATAAAGTTATATTAAAAGCTTCAGAAGCTGGTTTACTAACGAAGTTGTTGCCCTTGAATAACTGGAGCAAAAGTACGATTTTACCACCAGAACAGATCGCTAAGGAAAAGTTATTTCTGATCGTCTCTCACTTGCTTGTTATCGGATACACTCTGGCAACAATAGTTTTCATTGCTGAAATGGTATACAGCATCATATGGCGCAAAGTAAATTACTTTTGTCGTCACTGGTTAAATGGTTAAGAGCATTATACAGAACAGATAATTGACAAAAAAATTACTTTAGTAAATTACTTTGTGCAACTAATTTAAAACAAAAATTTTACAAAATTTTTAAAACTTCTAATTTTTCACTTATTACAGTAAATGACGTCCTGTATGTAAATTAAACGAAATAAATAACTCAATCAGTATTAAACTATTAAAAAAAGAACAATTTTTTTGGGTCAGGGGTGATTCTTCTTTTTTCCTTATTTCCCCTTGTTGATAATTTCTTTTATTTACCGTATTGAGTAGTGATCTGGAATAAGTGTTGTAATTATATTATTTAGACAATTTTATATTTATAGAATGTATCTTTTAATTAATCAATTATTTAAGTTTTTATGAAAAATATATTTCTTAACAAATACAGAAATCGACACTTAATTCTAAAATAACTTTCGTAAAGAAAGATTTTAAATGATCGATAATCCGCACTTTCTATTCCCCTAGACTTCTGATATTTAACAATTCAATACTAATAAAATAATGGAACGTTGAACCGCGTACAAATATATATGTACATAAATTTTCTAAACTAAATTATAGAAACTTTACTTGCATGCAATTCATAATAATCATTGAGATTCTTTTATACAATTGATTTTATTATTTTCTCAATTCACGTAAAATATTCACGTTCATCAAGTTTGGCAAATACTGCATTGTAGAGCTAGTATTTAAAAAGAAGCTTTTACTCTACTTTAATATTAATCTCTTTGTAACAAAAATTTTTCACAACCTTCCTTTTTACAGTTTTATACATTATTATCATTATTAAAATATGGAAGAATTCAGACATAGATTGAAGTGAATAAAAATTGATTTTCTTAAAAATGAGTAAATTATAATATAATCTCAGCTCATAATAGAGAAGAGTATTCTAATTTCTAATCCCATATCCCGAACTATCAAAAAAATTTAAAATTATGTAAATATATCGGAATATTAAAAAATAATCATATGGTCAGTGATTAAAATAAATCAAAATAAAAAATCTCAAAAAATATGTTTAGAAAATTTTTTGGAGTCACCCATAAGATTCTCTTCTATCCTGTAAGATAGAAGTTGTTTCATTAGAATGATAATTGGAGTGACAAAACATAGAAAAAAGAAAATTTTTACTAAAATGTCAAGAGTTGTGATTGAGAATTATTTTCAGGTCATCAGGCAGTGTGCGCGTAATGTCGTTTATTCTCTCTCGCAACATGTCTTGCACGGAATTTCCTACAGGGACGTCGTATTCATTGCTTTTTTTAAGTTTCTGTCTTATTCGCAGAACCATATCGACTAACTCGACCTCCTGTTTACCCTGGATCCAAGTTGTTAAATCCTGAAATTCAACAAATATAAAAATACAATTTTTCTCAACAATATCTCAGGAGAAGAACTTTTTTCAATTTTGGGGAACTTTTCAAATGTAAAACAAACAAAAAATCGATGAGCGACAATGAAGAAACTAATTATAAAAATGTAAGGGATTTCCATGTCTAAATCAATATTATTGAAATTAAAATTATTTATTTACCGCTTGGGATAAGGTTTCAAGATGAATAGCCTCAATTTTTTGAGACAATTCCGCATATCTCGTGTGAAACCATCCGGAGAAATTTGGAGATTTAAGAAAGCTTCGATAAAGTCCCACCCAGTCGCCTTTTATACCGCTAGTCAATTGTGGACCAGAACTACTTAATGTAGACAAGAAATCCTCTTGTTCGAATAAATTAGGTATTGGTGTTGCCTGTGAAGTATTTTTTTTCTCATTAACTCGCTGTTAATTCTCAAGTAAAATATTAAGATGTTTATTTACAAAAATTAATTTTACCTTAAAAGGTGATATATTCTTTTGCAGTGGCATAAGACTTGCTATGTATCTTTCAAGAGGAATCATAAAACTTTCAGTAAGTTCAATTAAATGTCGTCTTAGAAGAACAGTTTGAGCCTCTCCAGGTCTCTTTGTCTGAATTCCCCTAAGTAATTTCTTTATAATGGCTTTGTCCTTTTGCAAAAATGGTTTATACTCGGTATAAACGCCTGGTTTTGAATCTAGTATTTTCAGGTTTTCAGACTTTTTTATTCTATGTTTAAAGTTCTCTATAAATAAAAGTAAAACAAGAAAATTCATTAATACCAAATTCCCACACTGACGCGCAATTAAACATGCATACTTCTTTTTCACTCCACTTCTCCTAATATTTAAAAATGAATCTCAAAAACGGTTGAACATTCGCAAATTCGTGTTTACCGAAACGGAATCGGAAACGAATAAGATTTTAACTTACAAACTGAAATTATACATGAAACTTTTTAATTAAAAGAAAAGTTTTTCTATACATACCAGAATATGCGGTATCCGTAATTCGAACAATGTGAGGCCAATGTTGAAGAGTTTTGGCAAAAAAAGGATTTGTAACTCCGAGAATTACAGCTGGTGGATTTTGGGTATCTGTTGTGTATTCCTTAAATTCAGAGTCGTGAATTGTAAAGTAAGGTCGATGATCTGCATTGTATTTTAATGGAGTTATCATTCTGTTGGGAAACAAAATTAACATATTGATACAGAATGCTAAATTTATAATATTGGAATTAGAAATAATACTATAAGTTTCAGATTTCAATAAAATTGGGACATATTGCATTTATATGATGGTACACATCGAAAATGTGAAATTGCGATTAAAGAGGTTTAACTCTGTAACACAACTTTATATAAAAAGCCTCTATTAATAACCATAAAATTTCTATAGGCTTCAAAGTCTGACCCCTATTTCCCTAAAAGTCCCTTTTTTTAATTTTGGCCCCTAAACGTACACTGAAAAAAATACATGAGACATTTTCAACTACATCCCCTTAGTAGAGTAAAAAGTAATAAAACGAACTACTTTTTTAGTTGGTCTGGCTACTTTTGATACTTATTTTAACTGTTTTATGTAGTTAAAAATTATTAATTAAATTAATGTAATTTTATAGTTAACTTTGTAACTGCAGGTATGTTACAGAAATGACTACAGAAAGTAGTAGATTCTACTACTTAAAGTAGTTCGATAGACTAATTTTGTAGTAGTTTTTACTTCTTCTAGGAGTTGAATTATTTTCCATGTAATTTATGTTATAGATTTTTATAGAAGATTATCAACTGTGAAAAGTTGTAAATGCAACTACTTTAAGTAGTAAAATTAACTACAGTTATCAGTTGAACGGTGTCTGGAATGCCTATAAGTATTAAGCAACTCATCGAAGCGGGCGAGCGTGGTTAGGTGGTTAGGTTATCGGTTTACGAATGTTAGGGTCGAGCGTTCAACTCCCGACGTTTAGAGATTTTTCTCCGTTAGGTATATAGACATTAAATAAATAAGGTATAGGTAAACAAAAGTGGGTAGGGGGAAATATAAAAAAATACAACTCGATAATATTTATAATAAATTATAAATAATTTTATTTTACCATTTTCAGTAGTTGTCTTTATTACTGAGTTATCTTAGTAACTTTAACTACATATCAGCAGTTAATTCTACTGCAAAACTGTCATTGGTTCCTATTTAACTAAGAAAAGTAGTTAATGCAACTGTATTATCACTTCATTCAACTACATATCTGATAATTAATATAAGTTCAAAATTATCTTTGGGGACTTATTGAACTAAGGAAAGTAGTTAAAAAGTAGTCAAATCTACTAAGAATTTCTTTCAGTGTACCCTATTTTGAAAATTTCCCCTATTTTTTTCTTTTATCCTTTAATGATGAATTCACACCAAATTTAGCAAAGTGCCGTTGAAACTTTCAATTGGAAACTTTTGTTTTCAAAGTTTCAAATCTTGAAATTTTTCATGAAATTTAGAAAATTTGTAAAATTAGTATTTTGGTGAAGTCAAGTCTCAATTATGTTTAGAAGTTGGTTGTATTTTAAATTCTTATAATCTGCACAAACTTGTTATCACACACATTATTTTTAAAAGACTAAATTATTTTTCAAAATGTAATAATTGGTTCAATTTAATTATGATTATGTAGATGTTCTTTAATTAGGATGTAAATGGATTAGAAACTTGTTTTTTGTTTATTTCATTCATGTATTTAAAAAGACTTTTAGCTTAATAATTAAACTGAAAACAAAATTTTATGAAAATTTAAATTAACAAAACAAATTTTTGTAAAAATAAATATTTTCAATTTATATTTGACCCTTAAAGACTAGTTAAATGTAAATTGATATATATCGTTGTACTCCTTATTGTACTAAAATTTCATAAAGCACTAATTCTAATACAAAACCTTCAAAAAAATTTTCTATTTCTCACAAGAATAAAATTTTTAATATTATTTCATTATTACAAAAGTTTTAATGCAATTGTCTTGATAAATAACAAAATTCTTCACAGAAATTCAATAATTTTTAGGAATTTTAATAAAATTCTTTACAAAATTCAATTTTTTTCATAAGTTACAATATTCATCCTAAGAATTCAATTATTTTCAAAAGTAATGAAATTCTTCGAAGAAATTCAATTATTTTTAAAAATTTTCACAAATATCTCGTCAAGAATTCAATTATCTTTACAAATAGCAAAATTTTTCGCCAAAAATTCAATTATTTTAAAAAAATTTCTAAAAATCTTTGCAAAAGTTCAATTACTTTCAAAAGTTTTTTGCAATTCAATAATTTTCAATATTCACTATTTTCATAAAATTTATCGGGGCGCATGATTATTCCCCAAATGTCATTTTTCCGAAATGTCATTTTACCGAACTGCACTTTTGCGAATACTCATTTTTGCGAAAAGCCAATTTTGCGAAATCTCACTTTTGCGAATTGTCATTTTTTCGAAAAGCTATTTTTGCGAATTGTCATTTTTGAGAAATGTCATTATTGCGAATTGTCACTTTTGCGATTTGTCAATTTTTCGAAAACTCATTTTTGCGAATTGTCATTTTTACGAAAAGACATTTTTGTAAAATGTCATTTTTGCGAATAGTCATTTTTACGAATTACCATTTTTGCGAATTGTCAATTTTCCGAAAAGTCATTTTTGTGAATCGCCATTTTTACGAATTGTCAAATTTCCGAAAAGTCATTTTTGCGAATTGTCATTTTTGCGAAAAATACAATAGAAACTTGTAGGTATCTATAAATTCACTATTGTATTTTTCGCAAAAATGACAATTCGCAAAAATGACTTTTCGGAAATTTGACAATTCGTAAAAATGGCGATTCGCAAAAATGACGTTTCGGAAAATTGACAATTCGTAAAAATATCGATTCGCAAAAATGACAATTCGCAAATATAGCTTTTCGCAAAAATTACAATTCGTAAAAATGGCAATTCGTAAAAATGGCGATTCGCAAAAGTGACATTTCTTAAAAATGACAATTCGCAAAAATGGCAATTCGTAAAAATGACTTTTCGCAAAAATGGCTTTTCGTAAAAATGACAATTCGCAAAAATGAGTTTTCGAAAAATTGACAAATCGTAAAAATGTCGATTCGCAAAAATGACTTTTCGGAAAATTGACAAATCGTAAAAATGGCTTTTCGCAAAAATGACTATTCGCAAAAGTGCAGTTCGGTAAAATGACATTTCGGAAAAATGACATTTGGGGAATAATCATGCGTCCCAAATTTATCAACAGATTTAATTAAAGAAAAAACTTTTTGATACAATTCTACGAAAAGATTCAATTATTTTCATAAATAATAAAATTTCATTTACGAATTCAATTATTTTCATTGCAGAAATTCAAATATTTTTAATACAATTTTAAATAAATTCCTTGATAAATGCAATTATTATTAAAAAATTTATTAAAACTTGAGGAAAGAATTCAATTTTAAGAAACATTCAATTATTCAATAAAACAATAAAATTTGTTGCAATAATTCAAATATTTTCATAAATAACATTTAATTCATCGCAGAAAATCAATTATTTTCAAAAATTTTCAAGTAATTTTGCAAAAGAATTCAATTAGCTTGATAAACAACAAAATCGCAAAAATTCTTCCCATAAAATCAATTATTCTAAGGAATTTTAATGAAATTCTTTTCCAAAACTCAGTTACTTTGATAAATATCAAAATTCATCACAAGAATTCAATTCTTTTGAAAAGTAATGAAATACATTGCAGAAATTAAATTATTTTCAAAATTTTTTAAAAATTCTCGTCAAGAAGTCAATTATTTTCAAAAATGATAAAATTCTTTGTAAATATTCAATTATTTTCAATATTAATTTTTACGTAATTTCGATTATTCTGACATTCTTCAATTAAATATATATTAGAAAATAAAAACATGAAGAATTAAAGAAAAATTCAATGAAACTTTTTTATAAAATGAATTCTACAGAATTGTTAATCAAAAAGTACGAAAAGTTCAAATTTTCAAAGATTTTAATTTGAAACCTTTTTTAAAATTCAATCATTTCTAAAAATTTACGCTATTAGCTTTCAATATTCAATGATAATGTAAAATTTTAACTGAAATTTATTTTTAAATTAGTTTTTATTAAAAAATTCTGCAAGAATTCAATTATTTAAATACAAAAATAAATATTTTATTAAGGAGGATGGTGACTCAAATAGAAATGTTAAGAATTTTTTGAAATTTGGAAAAACTCGTTGTTAAGAATGTCTAAATTATAGAACAATTTTTTTTTTTAATTTTTTACTGTCCCGTTTTTGAGAATTTAATTGTTGAAATTGCATGTTTTTATATGGGCTCTTATGGGGAGTGTTATGTGAAGTGCACTATTTTGATAATAACTTGTGTAAAAAAGTTAAACTTTTTTTAAAAATCATACTCTTTTAAAGTTTAATACTTTTGGAATAATTTTAAAAAATAATTGAGTAAACCGACTGTCCTGATTTTTAGAAATAACATTAAAACTGACGTAAAATTACAGATTTTCTAACCTCTCTAACATAATACACAGAAACGTGGCAACGTCGCAATGTAATCATATACGAATGAAATCTTATTCAGTGTTACCAACACTGTTTCTAGCATGCATATGGAATGCGCTGTTGTCACGATCTCCATGCTCATAAAATTTTTTTACAAAATTTTTTTTACGTAATTAAATAATTATTTTTTAAAATATTTTTTAAGAATAATGAATTGGAATTATTAAAAATACTATTTTTTATGTCTAATATATTAAGTATTGCATATTTCAGTTATAAAATATATATTAAAACAGTTGGTATTTGCAGTTTTAATCCCATATAAAAGCATGTGAATTCCCCTCTCGCCGCCTGCCCCGAAAAGACAGTCTCCATCCTCCTTAAATAATTGAATGTTTCTTAAAATTAAATTTTCATAAAGAATTTTATCAAACAAATTTTTAAATAATTGAATTCTCTTGACAAATTTTAATAAAATTTTTAAGAATAAGTTTATTTTTCGGAAATTTGATTAAAATTTTATTAAAAATAATTGAATTTCTCCAAAGAGAAAAAAGTTTTTAAAACTTCTTTTTTTTATAAGAGTTTTTGAAAATAATTAAAATTTTGTCAAGAATTTTATTAAAGTTTTTGAAAATATTTGAATTTCGGAGAAAAATTTATAAAGATTATTGAAATTTTGACGAGAATTTTTGTAAATTGTTGAACACAATTAAATTTCAGCGAAGAATTATATTACTTTTGAAAATAATTGAATTCTTAAGACGAACTTTATTAAAATGTCTTTAAATAATTGAATTTCTTTGATGGATTTTAATAAAATTTTTAAGAATAATTTCATTTTTCGAGGAATTTCAGTAAAATTGTATTAAAAATAATTCAAAGTCTGATATGAGTTTAATTATTTATGAAAATAATGAAATGTTTGCGTAGAATTTAAAAACTTTTTTTTAAACAATTGAATTCTTTTGGAAAATTTTATTAAAGCAGTAGATTTATTAAAAATCATTGAATTCAGAAAAGTAACTTTTTCGTAATTTTTTTCAAAAATCCTTACTTCTTTCTTACCCTCCTAATAAATTGAATTCCTGAAACGAATTTTATTATTCATTAAAAAATTTAAATATTTATAAAAATAATTTAATTCTTGCGAAGAATTTTATAAAAATTTTTAATTAATTAATTTCTTTTGACTAATTTTATGCAAATTTTAATTTAAATAATTGAATTTCTGAAAAAGTTTTATTATTCATGAAAAGAATAATTTACTTTTTACGAAAATTATTACAAAAAATTGTTTAAATAATTAAATTCGGTAGAATTTTGTGTAAAAAAATTAATAAAAGAATATCAATATTATTATAGATGGATAAAAAAAAAAGGTTAAAGACTCACGCTGTCAAGGCCTGAACCATTCTTGAGCACATTGTAGGAGACGAGGCCATAACGACAATCGGTTCAGCCAGTAAAACAAGTTCCCACAATAAATGAATATGAGTAACAACAACAGCTAAACTCTGAAATATATTATCTTCATACACTGAAGTTAAAACAAGATATTGATCCGAGTCCTTGCGAAGTGTTGAATTTGACGCCACATCCGACACTGATAATTTACGATAATTATTCGGGATGTAGGTCTAAATTAAAGGAAATAAATTAACGTTAAATATTAACAATAAAACGCTCTCTACAACTTACAATACTATTTTTAAGTCAGCCTGACCAAAAATTGTAAAAAAAAAATATCAAGTCAATCAAGTGTAGGATGAACAAAAAGATAACTAAGAAAATTAATTTAAGGATTAAATTACAAGAAGAAGCAGCTCACTTGAAATAAGACGCCCATAAGTGGCAAGTGAACAACATCGCCAGGTACTGGAGCAGGCCAATCGGCAATTTCATTAACTATCGCATCCATTGCACTATTTCCCATTTCAAAAAATTTCGGAGCTATTAACGCAACTACTTCAGTGAAAAAATTTACAAATGGAAGTTTTGATATCACGATAACGCTCTGAAAAATAATACCTTCATGAAATTATTGCTCCATGCAGACAAAAAAAAAAGAAAAATTATTTTAAGAAATATAATAAAATTACTTTTCGAAATTAACTTACTTTTTGAAAATATCCTCTAGGCAATGTTCTATCTTTAACTTGACGAAAATAAACATAACCCCAATAATGATAAGCGTCAGATCGCAAAAATATTGGAGCATTTTTATCATAATTTTTCAAGGCGGAATTCAATTGTGAATTACTTCCGCTTTGTCTAATTCTAACATGATATTGAGTATCGCCCATGCATCCTGAATTTGAATCAGGAAAAGCTAAATAACAGACATTTGATCTTTCTTGTTCAGACAGTTTAATGTGAGACGGATAAATAGCCTGTAAAGAGAAAGAGAAAAATTAATCTTTAATTATTTTGAGTTTTCTTCGCATGCAAGACAATGACAACTGAAGCTCTTCCTTTTTTCTTTTTTTTCGCATTTTATCTTTTTTCAAAATTCATTTTTTTTGGATTCATTTTTGTGTGTAAAGTCTTGAAATAAATATTTAAACTTCAGGCTTCACAGTGCCCCTAAAAAGTATTTAAGGGAAAATAGGAGACTGAAAATTAAAAAATAGGGGACTTTTAGGGGACCATAAAAATTGGTTAAATTGGTTAAATCTTCGACTCGGAGTAATCGCTTTCTTCATGTTTTATAATCATTCAAACTTGATACTATCATTATTTTATACTATAAAAATATTGTTACTGTAATTTCTTCAAAATTATTTTCATTTCAATTCAAGTTTTCATTTCTAGAATTTTTAACTAAAATTCTTCTTGAACTCAATTTTTTTTTTTAATTTTTGAAAAAGTTCTTTGATAATTTACAAATTCTTTTGTTTACAATTTACGTAATTTCGATTATTCTGACATTCTTCAATAATTAAATATATATTAGAAAATAAAAACTTAAAGAATTAAAGAAAAATTCCATTAAACTTTTTTAAAAAAATTATTTCTACAGAATTTTTAATCAAAAAGTACGAAAAGTTAAAGTTTTTAAAGATTTTAATTTGAAATCTTTCCAAAATTCAATTATTTCTAAAAATTTACGCTACTAGCTTTCAATATTCAATGATAATGTAAAATTTTAACTGAAATTAATTTTTAAATCAATATTTACTAAAAAAAAAAAAAAAATCCACGAGAATTCAATTATTGAAATACAAAAATGAATAATTTATTGAATAATTGAATATTTTGTAAAATTGAACTCTCAGAAAGAATTTTCTCAACAAATTTTTAAATATTTGATTTCTCTTGACAAATCTTAACATAATTTTTAAAAATAAGTTCATTTTTCGGAAATTTGTTTAAAATTTCAATTAAAAATAATTGAATTTCTCCAAAGAATTTTTTAAGAGTTTTTGAAAATAATTGAAATTTTGCCAAGAATTTTATAAAAATTTTTGAAAATATTTGAATTCCGGAGAAAAATTTATAAAGATTATTGAAATTTTGACGAGAATTTTTGTAAATTATTGAACACAATTAAATTTCTGCAAAGAATTATATTAATTTTTGAAAATAATTCAATTCTTGAGACGAATTTTATTAAAATTTCTTTTTAAATAATTGAATTCGTTTATGAAATTTTATTGAAATAGTAGACATTGAAAATAATTGAATTTTGACAAATTTTTGAAATTATTTAAATTTCAAAGAAGAATTTTGTTAAAATTATTTTGAAAAAAAATTGAATTATTGTTACAAAGAATTTCATTAAAATTTTTGAAAAATTAATTAATTATTTAATTAAATTTTTTTCAAAAAATTAAATAAATATAATATAAATTTCATGAAAAATTTCATCGATCATAAATTTCAAGATTTGAAACTTTCAAAACAAAAGTTTTTAATTGAAAGATTCAACGGCACTTTGCTAAATTTGGTGTGAATTCATCATTAAAAGATAAAAGAAAAAAATAAGGGAAATTTTCAAAATAGGGTACGTTTAGGGGCCAAAATTAAAAAAGGGGACTTTTAGGGAAATAGGGGACAGACTGTGAAGCCTGGATTATTTTTAAAATTGTTGGTTTATAATTTTATATTTTGAATAGAAATTATCTGGTCTATTGCCTCTTTCTTGACTCCGTATACAATGAAAAATATTTAATTTTAAAAAAGAAAAAATGTACCTATTATTAATGAATCGAGAAATATCTTAATGAATAAGAATCACAATTCAGTTTGTCTTTCAAAAAGCAAAAGCTAATAGTTATTAAAAAAAAGAAGATAAGAAAGATAATAGAAATTATTGTGACCTCAATTGCCTGTCCTAGTTCAAGATCAAATGCCACAACGCAAATACAGTGAATCCATTTTTTTAGGCATTCCCATTTGTTCTTTGAATTACTACCACCATCTGTGCTGGTGTGTCCTTCTTTGTTCTGAATTGATGAGGAAGACATTGTCATTCCAAATTATTCCAAACTATTAACATTTTTAACTTAATTTTTAATTTTCCACTTCACTGAAGTCATTAAATTATAAATTCCATTCCATTCTGAAAAATAAATTTCAAATTAATTTTTAAAATTTAACTTTATACTTAAATAAGTAATTGATTTTAAAAAATTTTAATAAAATATTAGAAAAAAATCAAATATTTTCAATCAAATTTTTAAAAATTTCAATTTTTCAAAGTCTCTTTAATTGTATATTTCGAAAATTTGTTTACAAAAATTATTCAAAAAAAATTTTTGTAAGATTTGTCAATTGTTATTTTTTACACTGTAAAAATCGAAATTTGCATTTTATACAAAATGTTGTATTTTGTTACAATATTTGGAAAGAAAATATATTATTACAAATAATAAAACAGTAAAATTTGAAAATCAATAATAATTTATGACCCTTTTTAGCAATAAAAAATTAAATGAAACGATTAATAAATAGCGAAAACTTTATTACTGAAAATAAAACGAAAAATAATTTTTCCTTATAAATATTTGACTAAAATAAAGACTCAAAGTATTTTACAGTGTTTACCTTGATATTTCTTTCACATGGAATTTTTATTTATTAATAAATTTATTTTCCACTAGATTCAAAAAGTAAAAAAGTTACATTAAAGAAAAAATTACGTTGAAAAAGTAATTTTTGTTTAATATAAAAAGAAATATAAATAAAAGAAAAATTTTTTTACTGAAAATTTCTAACCTAGAATTGAAAAAAATAAACTAGAGCAGTTATTAAACAAAATTATCCTGAAAATTGTGAATATTCGTCGAAATTAATCATATTATGTGGAAAATTAAGTTAAACTTTAGAAAATAAAATCAAAAGATCAAAACAAATTGAAACGTCAAAAAATAAAAATAATTGTTAAACAAAGTAATTTAATTTTATCACTATTATAAAATACGATTGTTTTACCTGTATAAATAGTTGATATATTACATTTTCTCAATTTCCGTCTAATATTTTTATAAACATATGTATTAAGTATAATTGAATAATTACAAAACAAGATGAAAAGTATATAACACATACAGAAAAGGAATATTTATTATATATTCATAAAAGTTGTGAAATTCGAAAATTAAGGTTAGATTTTGTCATTGAATTAAAAATAAACACAGAAATGATTAACGAGTTGTGTATATAAAACGTACTTTATTATTAATATATTGGTAGAGAATCCGAAATGTGAATAGTAGTTTTTACCGTTTGTACCTTCCCAACCTTGCTCGACTGTGTCCTTTTGCAGAAGTGTGACAGCACCTTTAACATTGTTTTCCACTTTCCGCGCCTTCCACACTGCACACATCGACAGATCAAAACGACTTCAACTGTCTTTTTAAATCACAAAAACAAAATCGAACAGTGTTATTGTAATCGTCGTCATAAACAGGTGAGATAAATTATTTTAACCTTACTTTTCTTTCTTTTTTAATTTAAATAAAAAAAAAGAAATAACATGAAAAAACCCGTTTACTATAAAAAAATGTTTATTATTTTATCCATTTTCTATTAGTATTTTTTATATTCTAAAAAATAGTACATTTTTTTGTGCAAAATATAATATTTAATAATCGCGAGAAGAAGGGGTAAATTAAACGAATTTAGCAAGTTCAAACTGGTCGGCGAGAATTATTTCTTTTCTTGCGGTTGCAATTAATAAAAAAAGGGTAAGAACGGTTTTTTTTCATGTCTTTTAAAAAATTTAAAAAGAATTTATTTTTTAGGTTGAAATTAAGTGATTTTTTTTCTATTTATTACAAACATTTTGTTTTATAATTTAAGGTAAATTTTAAAGAAAAAGTATATGTCATTATATTTTTTTAAGGTTAGAAATATTTTTCGAAAATTTTAATTTATAAGTTTTGGGTTATCAGGGTTGCCACAAATATTTAATTTTATTTTTCCCTGATTTCCAGAAAAAATAATTTCAAAAATTATTTAAAAGTATTTTGAAAAATTTTACTCACTTTTTTATTAACTTTTATATTTTCCTGTAAAAAGAATTTTGTCAGGGAAAATAATTCTAATGTTAGTAATTGTAGAAAATAATTGAATTTTGGAAGGGTTATAATAATTGTAGCTCTTAGAAATTATTAAAATTCAGAAGCAAATCCTAAAATTTTTTTTAAAAAATTCTTTTTCAATGTTATTATCTTTTATTTTCAGCTTATTCGAGAAATTTTGATGCATACCACGGAAATTAGTGTTGTTCTCTGACTTTTTTTTTATCCGTTACAGTCAGTTTGGTATGTATAAAATTTTTCATTTAATTTCTTTAGGTGGTTCAACGTTACGAAATACGAATTTTTAAGATTTATATAATATGTTCAAAAAAAAAGTTACCTACCATTTTAATTATCATTATAAATGAATAGCAAAATTCTTCGAAAATATTCAATTATTTTCATAAATAATAATATTCATCACAAGAATTCAATTATTTTCAAAGGTAAAATGAAATTTAATTATTTTCAAAAATTTTAATAAAATTCATGGCAAAATTTCATTTATTTTCAAAAATTTTTCTTAATTCAATGATCTACTATTTTAATGAAATTCCCCCAAAAAATTCAATTATTAAACAAAAATTTTAATAAAATTCTCAACGTATATTCAATTATTTAAAAAACAAAAAAAATTAAACAGGAATTCAATTATTAAAACTAAAATTTGCTTACATTTTTTTGAAAAAAATCAATTGTTTGAAACTTTTTTTTATAAAATTCTTCGCAATAATTGAATTATTTTCAAAAAGTAATAAAACTCATTGCAGAATTTCAATTATTTTTAATACAATTTTAATCGAATTCCTTGAAAAATGTAATTATTCTTCAAAATTTTATTAAAATTTGTCAAAGAAATTCAATTATTTAAAAATTTGTTGATAAAATTATGTATAAGAATTCAATTTTAAAAAACATTCAATTTTAAAAAAAATTTAATTATGTTCAAAAATGTTTAAAAAATTCTCGTTAAAATTGCAATCATCTTTAGAAATAATAAAATTCTTCTCCAAAATTCAATTATTTCCAAAAATTTTCTTAAAATTCTTGGCAAAATTTCAATTATTTTCGAAAATTTTCCTGAAGTCAATTATTTTTAATTCAATTTTAATCGAATTCCTCGAAAAATGTAATTATTCTTCAAAATTTTATAAAAATTCGTCAAAAGAATTCAATTATTTCAAAATTTGTTGATAAAATTCTTTATGAGAATTCAATTTTTAGAAGCATTCAATTATTCAATAAATTAAATTTTTATTTAAATAATTGAATTTTCGTAGAATTTTCTAATAAGAATTGATTTAAAAATGAATTTCCGTACAAGCTTTTTAAGATAATAATAATTGAATATTAAAAACAAAAAAGCGTAAATTTTTAAAAATTTAATAATTCTTGGCAAAAATTCAATTATAATAAAAAACTTTAAAAAAATTCTCGTCAAAATTTCAATTATCTTTATAAATAATAAAATTCTTCTTCGAAATTCAATTATCTTCAAAAGTAATAAAATTCTACGCAGAAATTAAATTATGTTAGCAAATTTTTTAAAAATCTCATCAAAATTTTAATTATTTTTATGAATAATATAATTCTTATCAGAAATTCAATTTTTTTCAAAAATTTTAATACAATTCTTGGCAATATTCAATTATTTTCAAAAATTTAAATACAATTCTTGGCAATTTTTAATTATTTTCAAAAATTATCCTTAATTCAATGATTTTCAATATCTACTATTTGAACAAAATTTTTCAAAAAAAATTCAATTATTTAAAACAAATTTGGAAAAAATTTCTACAAAAACATTTAATTATTTTCATAAATAATAAAAATATCACAGGAATTCAATTATTTACAAAGAATTGAATTTTTTCTGTTAGGTAATAATTCCATTATTTTCATAAACAATTTTTTACAGAGATTCAATTATTTTCATAAATAATAAAATTTTTACAAGATTCAAATATTATTCTTGTAAATAATAAAATTCTCTTTTGGAATTCAATTATTTTCATAAATAAAAAAATTCATCGCAGGATTTCAATTATTTTTAATACAATTGTAAACGAATTCTTCGAAAAATGTAATTATTCTTAAAAATTTTATTAAATTTCACCAAAAGAATATTTAATTATTTAAAAAGACATTTTAATAAAATTCGTCTCAAGAATTCAATTATTTTCAAAAGTAGGATAATTCTTAGCAGAAATATAATTGTGTTCAACAATTTACAAAAATTCTCGTCAAAATTTCAATAATCTTTATAAATTTTTCTCCGAAATTCAAATATTTTCAAAAAATTTAATAAAATTCTTGGCAAAATTTCAATTATTTTCAAAAATTCTTATAAAAAAAAAAGTTTAAAAAAACTCTTTTCTCCTTGGAGAAATTCAATTATTTTTAATAAAATTTTAATCAAATTTCCGAAAAATAAACTTATTTTTAAAAATTTTATAAAAATTTGTTTGATAAAAGTCTTTATAAAAATTCAATTTCAAGAAACATTCAATTATTTAATAAAATATTTATTTTTGTATTTAAATAATTGAATTCTCGTGGATTTTTCTAGTAAATATTAATTTAAAAAAAAATTTCAGTTAAAATTTTAGATTATTATTGAATATTGAAAGCAATATAGCGTAAATTTTTAGAAATAATTGAATTTTAAAAAAGTTTTCAAATTATAATCTTTTGAGAAAATTTGAACTTTTCATACTTTTAATTAACAATTCAGTAAAATTTATTTTTTAAAAAAGTTTAATTGAATTTTTCTTTAATTCTTAAAGTTTTTATTTTCAAATATATATTTTAATTAAAGAATGTCAGAATAATCGAAATTACGTAAAAATTAATATTGAATATAATTGAATATTTACGAAGAATTTTATCATTTTTAAAAATAATTGAATTCTTGCTGAGAATTTTATCAATTTTGAAAATAATTGAATATTCTTGCGAAGAATTTTGTCAATTTTAAAAATAATTGAATTATTTCAAAGAAGTTTATTCAAATTTTCTTGAGAATAATTGAATTCCTGCATGATAATTTTATTATCTATAAAAATAATTAAATTCTTGACAAGATTTTTAATGAAATTTAGAATTAATTTTTCTCAAAAAGTTTAATGGAACTTTTTTTTTTAATATTTAAAGTTTTTAATTTCTAATTTATTTAATTGAAGAATGTCAGAATAATCGAAAGTTTAGGTAAAATTGAATTCTAAACAAATGGATTTAATTCTCAAAGAAGAACTTTTTCAAAAATTATTAAAAAAATTGTTTTAAAAAAGAATTTTAGTTTAAAATATTCTAGAAATGAAGAATTGAATTGAAAATATTTTTGAAGAAATTACAGTAACAATATTTTTATAATATTTTTTCTTATTTAACTCGGACAGAACCACCTAAAATAAAATTATAAAATACGAAAATATTCTAATAATAAATTACTAATATTACAGGTTTGAAAAGATGTATCCAGACATTATAAAGGCCGTGCGAAGTGGCGACTTTCCGTTGACAAAAAAATTAATAAACAGTAAATCAAAATTAACTCTGAAAAATTTGGAACAAGAAACGATTGTTTGGACAGCGACGTCTTTGGAATTCTCAGAGATATTAAAATTCCTCCTAATAAATGGATTTCCAGTGAACAGCTCGACGGGAAGACCGAAGAAATCGATTCTTTCTTTGGCGATCGAAAAAGGGAATGTTGAAATTTTGAAAATTATCCTAAAATACAAACCCGATTTAAATGATCAAAATTCTAATGGTCTAAGACCATTGCACCAAGCGTGTCTTTCGAATAATTTACAAATAATTTCAACGCTTATTAATGTGAAAAATTGCAACTTAAATGTAGAGACAAAGGATGAGCAAACTCCTCTCTCACTTGCAGTGAAAAATAATCTTTCATCAGTAGTTTCGCTTTTATTAACAAAAGGCGCTAAATATCAACTAGCTGACGATGACGGGAAAACTATTTTGAATTCAGCTTTAGAAACCTCGGAAACCGATTCGGAAACTTTGAGAATAATTTTAGATTTCTTTAGAAATAGTTCAAAGTTCAAAAAATTGATTTTTCCGAAAAATGAAATTTTTCTGAAATATCAGAAGATGATGAAAAGTGGGAATAAGTCGATTTTGCATTGCGCCGTGGAGAAGGAGGATGAAGTAATGATTCGTATTTTGTTAAATTTTCGTATAAGTTTGGAGAGTTTGGACGAAAAAGGAAATACGGCGCTGGAATTAGCGGTGATGAATGGTTCGCATTTTGTTGTGAATATTTTTTTGGAAATCTTCAAAGACCCGACGGTGTTATTCGTCTCGAGGGGTGAAAATGGTTCAACTCCGCTACACATTGCTGTTAAGGAGAACAAAATCGATTTTGTGGAATTGTTCCTCAAAGCTGGTGTGTCGCCGAATTTGACTTCAAACTCCGGGTTGACTCCACTTCACATTGCGGTGGAGCAGAAGAATAAATGCGTGATAACGACTCTTTTGAAGAATGGCGCGAATGTCGATGCGGCCGGATCGTTTGACATCGAAACTCCACTATTGTCAGCGGCGATTGCGGGAAATTCGGAAATTGTGGAAATTCTTTCCGAAGAAACGGAGCAAAGATCGACGGAATGGAAAGAAGGTTTGTTGGTGATGTACCTCGGGGCCTACTATGGGCATAAAAATATCGTGGAACTTATGTTAAAAAAAAAGGTCGATCCAAATGGAACATGCAATAATTCCTTAGCGCCTATGCACGCCGCTTGTCAGCAGGGACATAAGAATATTGTTATTTTGCTTCTGGAGAATGGAGCAAAAGTCAACTGTAAAAATACATTCTCGACTCCTCTCTTAGCAGCCTCTTACAGTGGTAATAGTCCAATTATTCAGCTCCTCGTTCAGAACGGCGCGGACGTGAATGCGCACATCAAGAAAGTGACTCCGAAACAAATGTCAAATTACGCGAAGATTCTAAATTTCGGCAGTTATCAAATGAGTGAAATCGGTATCAAAGGGACGCTCGGCGGCTACACTGCTCTGCATTTCGCCACTAAACGCAAGGACCTCGCGATTGTGAAACTTTTGATTCGAAAGGGAGCGAATGTAAATTTTGAGGAATCTTTCTCGAAACACACACCACTTTCCTTGGCGATAAAAAACGAGGACGAGAAGACAATCCGTCAATTATTAATCGCCGGAGCGAATACCACACTAAAAAGTAAATATACCCGAATCTTCAGCACCGAATGTTTAAAGAAGAACGTGAAACTAGCCGAGTTGCTAGTTTTTCATGCATCCACATCGCAAACGAATTCACAGGCCGGTTTTCTAACCCCACTTGGCGTCGCCATTGAAAACGACCTGGAGACCTGCGCCGAGAAAATTTTGAAGACAAAAGTCGATCCCAATATCGAACACCGAAGAAAACCCCTCCTTCACTACGCCGTCGAGAAGCAAAATCTCAATATCGTCAAATTATTGCTTAAACACAATGTCGACGTGAACGCAAAAACCTCCCACGAAGGTACGGCCCTGATAATCGCCGTTAAGTCAAACCAAACAAAAATTGTCGAGATTCTCATGAAATCTGGCGCTGATATCAATATTCCAAAATCTAGTTATTATTCCCCGGGTAATGACGAAATACTGCCGTTACACATTGCGATCGTGGGGAGAAATTCAAAAATCGTTGATATTATTCTCAATGAAGAGAAAGTGGAAAAACTTGCAGACGCATTTTCCCTTGCGGCAAAGAAAGGAACACGGGAAATAGTGGAGAAATTCCTAAAAAGAGGATTCAGTATCGAATCAAAGGACAGTTCGAATCTAACGCCTATTTTTCATGCCGTAAACGAGAATAATTTCCCAATTGTCCAGTTTCTTCTGGAGCGACGAGCGAAACTAAACCAGAACTCCGGTACCACTTCTCCGCTACTCTATTTCGCACTCACTGGAAATTGTTCGAAATTGGAAATCATAAGAAAAATTCTCATGTACGGTACGGACGCTAACAAGTGTTTTGAAAATCGTTCTCCACTCTGGATCATTCTCAACAAGGACTACGACGAAAAAACAAAAAACTGGAAGGACTGTCGTGAAGAACTCCTCGAGCTCCTCCTACAGAACGATGCGAATCCGAATATTATAATTCAGGGAAAAACACCGCTTCAATTGGCCGTAGAACGTAGTCTGCCGGGTTTGGTTCAAAAATTACTCCTCTACCACGCGGACATCAACCTGAACGAACCATTAAATGATTCGATTGTAAAAGCCAAAAAACTCTCCGAAAGCATTGAGGCAATTTATCCACGAGACGCGAACACAAGCGACGAACTATTCAACGAGTCCTACGATGCCTACTACCTCAAGCGTCTGCAGGATCGATACAGAAATCAAAAATCTCTTCCATTTCGCGAAATTGTAAAGAAAATAGTTAGGGAAATAGTCCGCCGGCAAGCAATAGACGAGGAGGTGAGCGAAAAAAATTCCCTGCTTTTAACATCGAAATATGTTGTTAAATATTATCAGAAGTGCCTAGACGAGGTGAAAGAAATGCGCGTTAGCGAAATTTCGGGCAATGTGACGTACTACGATCTCTTGGTGGGCAGTACCAAGAAACTTGTCTCCTTCGCAAGGAATGCGACTCATGAAAAGTTTTACCTCGAGCCACAAGAAAAATCGAAATTTCCCGAGTTCTCCCCGTTCGTGATGGAAAAACTAAAAAATGCGAAGGTTAGGAAAATTCTACTAGACGAGAGTGTTAAGTTTTTGAAAAAATTGATAAAGTACAATTGGCCTTACTTGATTGAACAGGAGATATTTAGTTACTTAACGAACAATGATATGAAAAATATTATGAACGCGTTTAAAAAAGATATGTTTGTTAAATCATAAATGAGAAAAAAAACCATTTGATGGAAAAGTTAAGAAATTTTTTCAAAAAATTTGAAAAAAATGACAAACCAAAGTAGGAAATAATATTATGTTTTGTTCGTTCTCTATAATATTAGATTATAGTATTTTTTTTCTACTATCAGTATTCTATTTGTTAGAAAAAATGTGTTGACTTTTTTTTTATATTATAGATTATAGTTTTTATTTGCAAAGTTCATTATTTATGGTATAACTTAAGAGATATTTTTCCATGTTCTTTTTTTAATAAAAAAAAAAATGACTTTGTTATTTAAAAAAAATTGTTGAATTTTATAATTTGTTTACAATTGAAATTACAGGTGGTTTTTTCCAGATCGAATTGACCTGAACTTAATATTATCAGGACACTCTTTTGCTATTTTGGTAAAAAATCGTTTTATAGACGAAAAAAAAATTTCTACACAAAAATTTAATTTTTTTTTCTATATTTCAGAACTCGAACTAGACCCGTAAATTCTGGCTTAAAATCGGTAAAAGAGTCAGTTTTTTTTTAAAAAAGTACGTAAAGTTCTTAATTTGATTGTAAAGGAAGAAAAAGTTCGTAAATTGTACGATATAATAATGGAGAATTTTAAAGAAATTACAAATGCTTGGAGAAATTGAATTATTTTCAAAAGTAAATAAAATTCCTCGCTGAAATTCAAGCATGGTCATAAATTTTTTTAAATTCTCGTCAAAAATTTCAATTATCTTTATAGAAATTAACAAAAATTCTTCTTAGAAATTCAAATATTTTCTAAAATTTTAATAAAATTCTTGGGAAAATTTCAAAAAATTTTCCTCATTTCTATGATTTTTAATCTCTATTTTTTAATAAAATTTCCCATAAGAATTCAATTATTTAAAAAAAAATTTCATAAATTAATTCTAAGCAAACATTTAATTATTTTCATAAAATAATAGAAATTTCACAGAGATTCAATTATTTACAAATTTTTAATAAATTTCTTTGCAATAATTCAATTATTTTCAGAAATAATAAAATTTTTAAAGGGATTCAATTACAGACCTCGGATCGACTTTAAGGTGCAAAAAAAAGTCGCTTTTTATCGATTTAAAATAGAAAAAAAGTTGAAAAAGTCCTTTACTTAATTCAGTGTCGTCACAAAAATTTTATTTTTTATTCTTTTGATCTTTCACTGATTTCAAAATTTAATTTTTTAAAACTTGAATAATTTCGTTAAATAAATATTTAAATACTTCTTGTTTGTTTTTATACGGGAATAAAATTTTTTAAATTTCTATTTAAAACCTTCTGAAATTTAATAACTTCTAAAAATTACAACTTTAATTCTCTTAAAATTCAATTATTTTCTACAACTTTTTATCAAACTTCTTCACGAAATCAATTATTTTTAATAATTTTCCGAAAGTTTAAGTTTTTAAGTTTTTTAAGTTATTAATTAATTTTCAAAAAATTACAATAAAGAAATTCTTAAAATTAATTTTTCAAAAATATTTTTAAAATAATTTATAAAAGATAATAGTTTTCCAATTATATAAAATTAAAAAATTTCCAAACAATTGCAATTTGGTAAATTCTATTAAAAAAATAATTGAATTTTTAAAGAATTTTAATTATTAATATAAACGCGATTTCTCCAAAATTTTAATAAATCTAAAAAAGTCATATGTTGTTAAAATGTTAAAAGTAATTGTAAAAAATGTTAATGTTATTATTTTTTGTATGTATTTGAATTTTTGGAAATTTGTATTTAAAAATATTGAAAATAATTTAATTTTAAAAAATTAGAATGCTAAAATTCTAAGAATTATTTTTATCCAAATTATTTTAATATAATTTTTTTGTAGCGAATTTTCATTAATCACCATTTTTAAATTTAAACTAGAAGATTTTTCATAAAAATTTTTGAGAAATCAATTATTTTCAAAATTTGCAATTAAAATTCTTTGAAAGTTGATTTTCAAAAATTTTTATCAAACACTTTGAAAAAAATCAATTATTTTCAATTAAATTTTGACAAAATTTCAATTATTGAAATTCTTTTTTATTGTAAATTTTGAAAATTTATTTAGTAATTTATAAAAATAGTTGAATTGTTTCGAAGAAATTATTAAAAATTTTTGGAAATAATTGAATTTTATGGAAATATTTGAATTCTTTCGAGAAATTCAATTAAAGATGTTTTGAAAATAATTGAATTCCTGCAAAGAATTTTACTATTTATAAAAATAATTGAATTCTTACGAATAATTTTGCTATTTATAAAAGAAATTGAATTGTTTCGAAAAATTTATTAAGATTTTAGAAAATAATTGAATTTATTCGAAATATATTAAGATTTTGTTTAAAACTTAAATTCTTCCGAGGAATTCAATTTCAATTATTATCAAAATTTGCAATTAAAATTCTTCAAAAGTTGATTTTCAGAAATTTTTATAAAACACTTTTAAAAAATCAATTATTTTCAATTAAATTTGACAAAATTGCAATATTTATTGAAACTCTTTTCAATTGTAAATTTCGGAAATTTAATTAGAGAAATTATTAAAAAATAATTTTTGGAGATTTGTCTATAGTTATTTTTCACACTGTATATAAAAATCGAAATAAGTTTCATTTTATACTAAAAATATTATTGCAATATTTGGAAAAAAAGTCGAAAAAGTCGTAATTTTTTAAAATAAGTCGGAAGAATAAGTCGCATTTTTTGAAAATAGTCGAAAAAGTCGAAAATGTTATAATATCCGAGGTCTGCAATTATTTTCGTCCAGAATTTCAATTATTTTAAATAAAATTTTAATCGAATTCCTCGAAAAATGTAATTGGAGGCTTAAAAATTTTATTAAAATTCATCAAAAGAATTCAATTATTTAAAAATTTGTTGATAAAATTCTTTATGAGAATTCAATGTTAAAAAACATTCAAATTTTTAGTAAATTATGTTATTTGTATTTAAATAATTGAATTCTCGTAGAATTTTCTAAAAAAAATTTATATAAATTTAAATTTTATTTAAAATTTAAACAATTATATTGAATTTTAAAAGCCATATAATCTAAATCTTTAGAAATAATTAAATTTTAAAAAGGTTTTCAAATTAAAATCCTTGAAAATCGGAAACTTTCAAATTTTTAACTAACAATTACAAGTTATTGCAGAAATTATTATTTTCAAAAGTTATAAAATCCTTCTCAGATATTCCATTATGTTCAAAAATTTGTAAATTCTTCTTAGCGATTCAATTATTATGACAAATAATAAAACTCAATGCAGAATTTGAATTATTTTAAAATTCTAATCCAATTAAATCGAATTTCTCAAAGAATGTAATTATTCTCACAATTTTTTTTTAAATTCGTCAAATGAATTCAATTATTTAAAAATTTGTTGATAAAATTCTTTATAAAAATTCAATGTTAAGAAACATTCAAATATTCAATATGTTATTTTAATTTGTATTCAATTATAATTGAATACGAGTAGAATTTTTTAATTAAAATTGATTTAAAAATGAATTTCAGTTCAAAAAAAATAAATAAATTTGAAAATTCTAAAAATACTTTTTTAAAAATTATTAAAAATAATGAATTTATAAAAGATTTCAATTAAAAACACTAAAAAAATTGCATTTTAGAGAAGTTACAAATGATTGCAAAAATTCAATTATATGTTCAAAAATTTAAAAAAATTCTCATCAAACATTCAATTATCTTTAAAAAATAATAAAATTCTTCTCCAAAATTCAATTATTTTAATGAAATTTAATAAATTTCTTAGCAAAATTTCAATTATTTTCAAAAGTTTTTCTAAATTCAATAATTTTCAATATCTATATATTATTTTAATAAAATTTTCCAAGAGAATTCAAATTTGGATAAAATTCTACGAAAGCATTTAATTATTTTCATAAAAATAATAAAAATATCACAAGAATTCAATTATTTACAAAGAAATTCAATTTTTTTGCAAATTTGATAGAAATTTCTTCGTATAATAATTTCATTATTTTCATAAACAATTTTTTACAAAGATTCAATTATTTTCGTAAATAATACATTTTTTTTAGAAATTAAATTATTTTCATAAATCATGAAACTCATAGAAAAAATTCAATTATTTTTAATTCAATTTTAATCGAATTCTTCGAAAATTGTATATAGTTATCCTTAAAATTTTTTTTTAAATTCGTCATCAATTTAAAAATTTATTCGTAAAATATCTTATATGAGAATTGAATTTTAATAGAAACATTCAATAATTCAATAAATTATTTATTTTTTGTATTTAAATAATTTAATTTTAATAAAAATTGAGATTAAAAAATGAATTTCTGTTAACATTTTAGATAATAATTGAATATTAAAAGCAAATATAGAGTTTGAAATTTATTTTTGAAAATGTTTTAAATTAAAATCTTTGAAAATCTGAATTTTTCATACTTTTAACTAACAATTATGCAAAATTAATTTTTTTGCAAAAAATTTAACTGAATTTTTTTTAAAAAATTATTTTATGCTTTTATTTTCCAATATATAATTATAATTAAAGAATTTTCAAATAAACGAAATTTCGTGTATAATTGAATTGCGAACAAATGAATTTGAATATTATTAAAAAACTTTTGCAAAAATTATTAAAAATAATTGATATAAAGAAAAATTTTTTTAGTTAAATTTTTTTTGAGAAAAGTGGTGTGCCTTCTATATGAATGTTTTAAGTCTATGGCGTGATGTGGACCATACGCCATAGACTTAAAACATTATTATAGAAGGCACACCACTTTTCAAAAAGTTGTCTAAACCGGAAGGAAAGCATATATGTTATTGAGTGTACAATAAATTAATGTGTGACGGCAGGCCTAAATTCACGTAATTCTCCGCTAGGGAAAAACACTACGTAACTCTTCGTACGGAAGAAACTAGGTAATAGCGCTAAGATTCAAAATTAATATCAATATAATAATTGAATTTTAATGTAAAATAAAAACACATGCATTTATTTGCTTATTCCCGTAAAGAATTTTATCACATGCAAAAAATCTAAAGAACGAAATAGAATGGCAACCAAACATGTGCTGCTTTTTGAAAAGGAATAATAGTTAAAATTACAGATGTTGAAATAGTCTGCGAAAATGAGGCAAATGTC